GATCACATCCATCATCTGGTATATAAGTCCGGAAAATACAGAGGCGGCGCTGCGCCAGAGGAGGTCAGCCCTAAGGGACAGTTGCTGGAGACATTTCACTATGAATGTTCATATCTGTCTTGCTCCGTTGCAGTATCTGTGCGGTTCGCTTCACCTGTCCTCAATGATGAATGGGTGCGACTGTTGGTAGACCCCGAAGTGCTACGAGAGCGGGCGAACGAGGCGTTTGCAACCCATCCTGACCGTCTGGAAGGAGTTGCTCCGCCCGCACCTCTCAATGTCTTGCTGAACTTGCGTACATATATCAGCAACGCTCTTCTTGATAGCCAACAGAGCAAGTCGATCTCAGCGGTTAATAAAAGATTCATGACGTGCTTTGGAGTTGAAGGGAAGCCCTGCAAAGACTTGTTAGCATTCCTGGGATTTAGCTTTAAGGTTTGTAAACTTGCACTGTACCATGTGCTTGCACGTTGCAATGTGGTTAATACTTTGACCAGAACGAAGGCTTTTGGGAGCCTCCGCGACCGAATCCGTGGGCAGAGTTCCCTTATCGCGACCAACAAAAAATATTTCTCGATGACGTTATACACGAACTTACAGCACTCATAGAACAGAGGCCAGTGGTAGAGAGGAAGGGCCACCAGCTAGAATTTAATCGTCAACCAGTCTTCAACGATCTCCTCTATGCATTGGAATCTTTGGACTGTAAGTGTATGCCAACAACTCATGCCATGGCTTTCATGCTAATAATACTTAGACCCAAAGGCCTCACGACCAAGTGAATTTCAGATGGCTCCTCAACCGTCTGTCTCAACTGAGAATCACACCCTTGTGAACGAATGCTAATCATTCAACAGTTACTACGAAGACCTGGGCGTCGTTGAAGACATGGCGGCTTCATCAATCATAGAGGCCTTTAACCGACAAGTCTCGGTGGACCCTGCTAGGACTCCTGTCTACCTAAAGTGTCTAAAGTCAATTGGAATTCTCAGAGGAGGGGATGATGGTTCACTTATAGATCAGGCAGTCCAGGTAGCCTACTCCGAAGGGAAATACACCCAAGAGGACGTAGTTGATGCCTACAAATACTTTGGTCTAAGCCACGATGATCAGCGACTCACAGAAGACAGCATCATTGGGAAATTCTATGCTTATCTAGGTGCCACTACTGCTGTTCAGGAGACCGAGACCCGCAGACAGCTATGGAGGATAGGAGATAGCAGACGGAGTGAGCGGATCAAGGCAGCAGCGGAAGAAAGTACGACTGAGTTGACCCAACCAGAAATGGCTCTCAATGAGATAACTAACGGCAATAGGGGTGTCAACTGCTGAACAGGCCCAGGTTTTCCTTGGCGTTAGCGCTGACACATCTGATGATTTTGTTATGGCAGTTTACACAGCTAAAGTATTTCTTTGATGCCTGAAACCTAGCTTTGAGCCTTTGTGCTGACTTCACTCAAGGTCAACGACAATCCATCTAGCCGGGACCTTGCTCGCCGTGCAGTCCAACTGCTAGCAGAGGAGCGAAAATCGGATGCCTTAAAGCATTTCCTCAACACAGGCGAAATGACTGCCGGTGAGATGGACGTTGCTGATGCCTATCGTCTCCTTCAGATACCCGACCGCACCGTGGATGAGGGGGCAATCATGGCAGCATACACGATTTGTGTAGACGAAGCTCCAGCACAAGCTGAAAACTACAATCAAGCGTTGCGGATTATCGCGAAAGATAAGAATAGCCCTCTGCTGAGCAATATGGTTTCTGGTTCCGCCACTAAACCTGACCGTAACCTGGCTGAATGGCCTGTCGGACTGCAGAATATCGGCAATACCTGCTACCTCAACAGTCTGTTGCAATTCTATTTTTCAATTCGTCCATACCGTGATATGGTCTTGGACTTTGAGAATTTCAAAATGGAGATAAATGAAGAAATGGTGAGCCAAAAGCAGGTGGGGTCTCGCAGAGTGTCGCAAAAGGAGGTTGAACGGTCCCAACGGTGTAGGTGATGTTCTTAATTTATTGAGTATGCGTGTTCGATGTGAAAAGCTCACGCCTATCTGCTCCAGTTCTCAGAGAATTGCGAACTCTCTTCAATGACATGATCACTGCCCCAGCAACTTACGTTATTCCCACCCAAGAGCTGGCACGGTTGACGCTGATCAGCCCTTCCAACGAAGCCGCTATCCGTCGCCGGTCGACGATATCTGGAATCAGACCTAGTGCTCTTGGTGAAATCAACGGTGTGCCGGTGATGGGACCTCTCGGGCCCCCACAGCAGACTACAGAAAGTGAAGCCAATGAGCTCATAGCTCCGGAGCCAGAGAAACCCCAACGCTCAACGACAAGCGATGTTGATAGCGAGGCAACTCTTGTTTCTGATGGCACTAGAATTGATGCCGTGGTCCCGCCTTCTAATGACAAGGAGCCCGAGCCCCTACGTGCAGATTTTCCGAAGACGGTCGCGCAGGGCGAATCAATCCCTGAAGCAGTTGAGTACCAACCATCCGACAAGCCGGCTTCTGCTGAGCAGAATGGGCAGAATGAGCCGTCTAGCCAGCCTCCTCCAGTTCCTCCACGGCCCGGTCCGCAACCTGATCCGCAGAGGCAACTTATAGAGGAAGTGGAGATTGGAGCTCAACAGGATGTGACAGAAGTAATCAACAATGTGCTGTTCCAGAGCCAATGTGCCATCAAGCCAATCTCTCTTGCTCCAGATGGTGAACAGCTCGATCAAGTGAAAGAGTGAGTTTCATTACCTATTTATCTCACGTTCTGGGCTGACCGATGCTGTCCTTTAATAGCTTGTTTTACGGTAAAGCCAAGTCCTACATCCAAACAAATGAAGGTGTGCGATCAAAGGAAGAATGGTGGTGTGATATTAAAATCGACGTCGCGACTGGATCACGAGATATCTATGCTGCCATTGACGGTGCTTTCGACGTCCAGAAAGTTAGCGTAGATAATTCGGTGGCGGAACAGTTCAGTGCAATCAGCAAGCTGCCGCCAGTTCTCCAAGTTCAGGTCCAGCGTGTCCAGTTCGATCCTGTCAAGAAACGCTCCTTCAAGTCAACCCACCACTTAGAATTGAAGGAAACTATCTACCTTGATCGGTATATGGACACCCAACAACCCGACATCTTGAATCGCCGTCGCCAGTGTTGGGAATGGAAAAATACGTTAAGAACACTCGAGGCTCGTCGAGCCGAGTTGCAGCGCCAAAGTGTATGAACCCACCGAAGGGTGGTTTTCCATCCACCGTGAATAGATGTGCTAACTCCTCACAGGAGGCTGATGGCCTAGACATACCGAGCTTATTCGATAATGCCAAGGATGTGCTAGAAGAGCTGAACTCTATGAAGGAGGACCCTGAGACCGCAGCAGATGCAGTTCCTATCAACCCAGAACTTATACCTGAGCTTAATCAACTTTCTCAGATAGCGAAGGCAGAGCTGAACTGTACGTGTCACACTATTCATCTTTCTCTGCTCTCATCTTTCCTAAGCTCCTATATTGTTTCGACATATGGCTTGGTTGTTGTGGAACATTTATACTCACATGATTTCTAGACATCGAGCAAGAGATCAAGGATTTACAAACTATGATCTCAAGCCAGTTTGCTGATTACAAACATTTGGCTTATCGTCTCTACGCTGTCTTCGTTCATCATGGCTCCGTTTCATTCGGGCACTACTACATTTACATTTGTGACTTTGAACGGAATGTTTGGCGGAAATATAACGACAACTATGTCACCGAAGTGCACGACCTGGATGAAATATTTACGAGCCAGGACCGCCAAAATCCCCCGACTCCGTACTTCCTAGTCTATGTCAACGCAACTATGAAGGACCGTCTAGTCAGTCCTCTTTGCAGGGAGATACTCGAGTCTCCTCCAGACGATCAGCCGAGTGTAGATGTGGCAAATGCTACTAAGGCGGTTACTGCACCGACAACTGCAGAAGATGTGGATATGAACCCACCGGCGTACGATGAAATATGGGCTGACAAAGGCACATCAGGTACGGAAGATAACCACCATATAGAAGACAAAACGGGCCCCACAGGCGTGGGGGGCAACGGGGTCACTGGCAGAGGGCCCTCAAACAAAGACACTGACTTCCATGATGTGCAATGGTAGGCTCTGAAACAATACTTCCGACCGGAGTCGCGACACTGAATCCATTGAAACGGAAAGGGTTAGATGATGTGGCTGGCTCAACTAGCTAAGCTGGGTGGCCCTCTGTGCAGCGACATCTGACCGTGATCCCGTGCCTGGTGCGCTTATATTTATGATACTGCCTATGTCGTCCTTTTCTATGCTGTACAGATGAGGTTTGGCGGTTCTTTTCAGCGGAACATGTAGTTTCGAAGTGAAGGCCACGGCAACACCCATTGATAAAGACAACCTTTTGCCCTCGCCATTCTTCCCAAGCTCGATCCAATGAGGACTCACTTAATTCAAATTACCTTGGACGTTTAAGCCGTTCCTATGGCCATGCATACGTCGACCACAAGCCGCCCATGCATTCACAGAATCTTCATGTCAGGTGTGAGATGTTGAGTTATTGTTGTTTGTACATGGCAGCGGGTCAGTACTTATTGTTCCTGTAAATAGCGGGTGATACCATTAGTTATGACTGTCTATGATGTACAATGACATTTATCTGTGTCTAATATCGTCTGGTTGTATGCTCTAATTGAACCACGTGACTCGGACTGCGCCGCTGATCCGACAAGGCGGGCCGCGGATCGGAAACGGAACGTTGCCCGCCATCGGCAGTCCACATCGGCAGGGTAGCACGCTGCCTTCATTCCGGAAGTTGACGAGCTGTAGGCTCATAGGATTGAGATTGGCGTAAATAATATAGGATGTCTTTGCGATAGGGATTGTACAACGAAAGTGCGGTTATTTTTTGAAGTAAAGCAAATGATGGATAAGAGCCTGTTGCCCAAGCTCCAACGAATGCGGGGAAATTCCGGGGGCACTAAGAAAATACCCCCAACGGGTACTAGCTTTCCGCATCTCCGCAGCAAGCCGCCGTCGGATTCCGCCAGACATTATATATCCGTTCGTACTGCTCCTTAGCTCACGAGCGTAACTAGAGACATCCTGACCTACTGGTTCTCAGTGTCTTCTTGAAATCTCACGAAGAGACTGACGCCTGGCTTGATCAGTAGCCACTCTTAACCGCAGCTGTAGTGCTTTCTGCGCGTCTAACCCCGCTGGGCTCTCAATTCACCATGCCTTCACAAGTTGCTACGTGTCTGCGCCTTGCGCGGCAATTTTCTGCAGATCCGAGCAAGGTAGTGCTCTCAATCCAGTGATATCGAGGCGGGATCATACTGACGAGTCTTCTACTAGCATCAACGATTCCTTGCGCGTGCATTCTCCAGCAGCGTCCGTCGCTCCGAGATCAACAAGGTTGTATCGTCTGCGGATTTAGCAATCAAGGACTTGAAGTCCAACTCAACCGTTCTGGCAGGTGGTTTCGGTCTTTCTGGTGTACCAGATACTCTCATCAATGCTGTGCGAGCAAACCCTTCGATCACCGGGTTGACGGTGGTCAGCAACAACGCCGGTGTGGATGGAGCGGGTCTTGGCCTTCTTCTCGAATCCAAGCAGATCTCGAAGATGATTGCCAGCTATGTGGGCGAGAACAAGACCTTCGAGCGCATGTACCTAACGGGCGAGATTGAGTTAGAGTTGACACCACAGGGCACCTTGGCTGAGCGTTGTCGGTCGGGCGGTCATGGAATCCCTGCTTTCTACACACCTGCCGCTTTTGGTACGGTTGTGCAGACAGGTGAGCTGCCTTTGAAGCACAATGCTGATGGCACCGTCGCTCTGCGGAGCCAGCCCCGCGATGTCAAGGTCTTTGATGGCAAGAGCTATGTCATGGAGGAGTCTATCAAGGGTGACTATGCCTTTGTTAAGGCTTACAAAGCCGATAAGCTGGGCAACTGCCAGTTCCGCTATGCTGCTCAGAACTTCAACGGAGCCATGGGTCGCAATGCTAAGGTGACAATCGTTGAGGCGGAGCACATCGTCGAGCCCGGTGAGATTGAGCCGGCTGCTATTCATCTGCCCGGTATCTACGTCAAGCGTGTTATTCAGAGCACGACACCGAAGGGTATCGAGAAGTACACCTTTGCCAAGGAGGAGGGTGAAGACACTGCTGCCCTGGGCAAGGGTGAAACCGCCGCGAAGCGTGAACGTATTGTCCGCCGTGCGGCTAAGGAGTTCAAGAACGGGATGTACGCAAACCTGGGTATTGGTATGCCCATGCTGGCGCCCAACTTCGTCGATCCTTCCGTGGAAGTCCAGCTCCAGTCTGAAAACGGTATTCTGGGATTGGGCCCCTATCCTAAGAAGGGCCAGGAAGACCCGGATCTTATCAATGCCGGAAAAGAGACGGTTACGCTTGCGCCCGGTGCGGCTTGCTTTGGCAGTGACGAGTCCTTCGGCATGATCCGTTCAGGAAGAATCGATTTGACTATTCTGGGCGCCATGCAGGTGAGCGCCAGAGGTGACTTGGCTAACTGTAAGTGCTTCTGCATATGATCTTCTTGTGTAAAACTTTGGCATCTGTCAGTACTAACTGTGGTATGATAGGGATGTTGCCCGGTAAGATCAAGGGCTTTGGCGGTGCTATGGATCTAGTCTCCAACCCCTCCGCTACAAAGGTGGTTGTGACTATGGAGCACACTGACAAGAAGGGCAACCCTAAGATCGTCAAGCAGTGCGAGTTCCCATTGACTGGCAAGACTTGTGTCAGCCGTATCATCACTGAACTCTGTGTCTTTGATGTTGACTTCACTGACGGTCTTACCCTGGTTGAGCTTGCCGACGGTGTCACTGTTGATGAAGTCCGGAGCAAGACAGAAGCTCCGTTCAAGGTTGCTGATGATGTGAAGCCCATGCTGTAATTGTGTCCTTTTTTCCTCTTTTTGTTTGCATGTCTGGATGTCACCAATTCGCAGAATTATGGGATTTATAAGCGTATAGTTTGTGAAATCATGTCGGGTACGGGAACTGTTGTATATACCAATTCTTTCAGAAAACAGTTCATATTATTCAAAAATATGTCTCGGACAGTAACTGTACATTGCCCCCACCAGAAGATATTAAGATAAACGTGATGCGGTGAAGGTAATCTTTATCCGTGATCTATATTCCCATCGCAGTAGATAGATAGTAGTACATTGAAGCATAAGTATACAAACTCCTCAACCCATCCCTAACTTCCAAGATTGCCAATATTGCAGTACCCTAGCTAAACCTGAAAAGACCCTTCAACCTCGCGCTGACTCTCCCCCAGAAATCCCGTGTCGGAGCCTCTGAGAACTCTTTAACGACATTGTCATAGTAGTCCGGGTTACCCGTCGGCCGCCGCAGCTTAGCAGGCAATGGATACCGTCGGGCATAGCGATCTTCCAACAGCGACGACAGTGCATTCAAAGAGGCCTCTGACAGAGGCGGAGGTGGCGATTGTGACGACTGTTGTTGCGGCTGCTTAGAAGGGTTCTCTGAGGTTTGAGGGAGGTGGGACTGGAGGTATGTCTGAACGGAGACGGCTGAAGGGCGGACATGGTCAACGGGCCAGTGTTTGAGAAGGTGGTTAATGCGCGTGATAGTTTGGGTCTAAAACAGGTGTCAGGTCACTGTTGATTGATCTAGTTTGGTTGCAGGAACAAATTCAAGACTTACCGGTGGCTTGGACATGATGCTTGCGACTGTGATGGATGAGCGAGAAAAGTGGTCTATTAGGAGATTTGGAATTTTGTAAAACACCAAAAGCCAGCGGGATTGTCCCGGACACAAATGCAAGTGATTAAGTGGGTTGCGATGTGTTGTCGGAGTAGCGATATCTAAATTATTTGATATGATCTACGCGGACAAAAAGTCAAGTCACGGGGGTGGGAGGAATGCCCCAGGCAGCAGCAACGGTTCTCAGCCACTGACAGAGGCTCTCTCCACTCCGTCATGTAATCGCCCTCATTCCCACCCCATCCTCCATCTACAGTCGATCCCTTTCCATCCTTATCATCGATTGCTCTCGGACGCTCTTTATTACTTGTCTTCCTTGTTGGTAGTACTATAAGGCCTCTGTTGTGCATATTGATCTTCTCTCTTTACCGCCCTTCCCCTCTCTTTCCGGATTTCCTTTCCTCGCTCAGCTCGTCATGAGCTCGCAGCGCTATCAAAGGGTAAGAGTCGCCCAGCGCCCTGGACTGGTTGCAAGTTGCATAGGAGTTACCGATAAATTGTGAAATATTTGGGACGGGTTGCTGATTTGGTGATTTCTAGGTAAATGCCCACGATGAAGATGAAGAATCACAATCACGATCGTCAATCCCTCTCCGGGGAACACCAAACTCTCCACCTCCCTCGTTTCGCTCTCGTTCCACCTCTCCATCATCCAGACGCCTTCTCCATGACGACCCCCTAGACAACGATGCAGATCAGACGCTGGCCGACGCATTTGATGACGAGAGTGACTCCGAAGCGGATGAGCCGGATGACCGTCAGCGACTAATGCGGGCTCAGCCGGATTCGCGACCAGTGGCAGGTAGCAGCAGTGCGAGCGCTAGTTCGTCATCTGGAGTGGGTAATGAACAGCAACCGTCCAGTGAAGAGCGTGGTGGGATCCAGAGGAGGCAGACACTCCTACCGAGTTTCAGTACTGGTAGCCGAGTGATCAGTTCGACAAATGACGGTGTCTTCGCGAATCTGGCGGCTAAGCCAGAGCGTGGAGAGAAAACCGAAGACCTTCCACCGGTGTGTATTCACCTACTGCTTTGTGTTGAGCGATGCGTATTCTCTTGAGCCCTTACTAACGTCTTGTGTATAGTCCTATGAAGAGGCGGCTGCTGACGCTACCCCTCCGTACTGGGAGACTACGATTTTGGCCCCCGGAATATCATCCGACGAGGTGTACGTTGATGGGTTACCAGTAGGGTCCGTTTTTTCGTTTGTCTGGAACGCTATGATCTCCATGTCCTTCCAACTGGTCGGTTTCCTCCTGACCTACCTTCTCCATACCACACATGCGGCGAAGAATGGAAGTAGGGCTGGTCTCGGTCTTACTCTCGTACAATACGGATTTTACATGAAAGGCGGAAGTGATACGAAACCGGACGATGGTGCAGACCAATACGTGACACCTCCGGACCCCAACAGTCATAATTTTGACCCTAGCTCCGTTACTGATGGATCTGGGAGCGATGGCGGCGGCGGTGGTGGTGTATCCGGGATCTCCACGAGTGAATGGATTTCATATGTTCTCATGATTGTTGGTTGGTTCATCTTAATCCGCGCTATCAGTGACTATCTACGGGCTCGACGCCACGAACAGCTGGTGCTGCAAAGCCCTGACCGTGGCCTTCCTGTGCCGATCATTGCAACAAATGAAAGAACAGAGACCGTTGTTTAAGTTGCCAGCATAGTGATCTGCAAAATCTTGGACGGGTTGGAGCCTTGGAGCCTGGGCGTTTCTGTCTTTTTTTTCCTTTCTTTTTTTCCCTACTATACTTTGCTTTGTATGGGTAATGCGCGCTAATTCCCCCGACGGACATTCCATAAGACGTGAAGTCCTCATTTCGTTTATCTTTGAGCATGGGACACTTGTAACTATTTGATTAGAGATACCAAATCTGAAAGACATAGCACTTGGCATTGATGCCCTATCGTTGTCCTTTGTACGCGTCTGTCATTCGCCAGCCAGGCAACCTTTTTTTTTTTTTTTTTAAACCTCCCCTACACCCCATTCTTTGCCTCCTCGCCTTGCCAGTTTATTATTCCCTTTCCAACTCTTAGTTTCTATTTTTAACATCTACTCATCTCTCATATAAATAGCACTTGTCCTCGACTATCTTCACAATGTACGCAAGCCTCGACTAGCCAACGATGGCAGAGTGATTTTCGTCTTCAGCTCTTGGCGGCACTCTCCGCAGCCCGTCCGACGTCTCCGCAAGCGTTTGTTTACCGTGCCTTCGTATTTGTTCATTCATATATTCTCTCCTTCATATTATCCCCTCGACTTCTCACCCTTTCCTTCTTGATCCCTGACGTTTGGAGATCTGTTCTCTTGCTCTCTCCCGTAAATGGCCAAGGTCGATGCTGCGGCGGATTCTCCGGCCGCCGCATCGCCAAACCACAGCCTTCCCCAAGGCCCCGTTGAGGCTCGCTCGTTGTCCTCTATTACCGCAGTAGCCTCGAATCCCCCGGCGTATCCACGGAATCCGACACAGAAGAAACTTGATCCTTTGATTTTGTATATCGTGAGAGTCCCGGGCAGTAAAGGTACGTCATGATCGGTTGCTGCATAGATGTACCCCGCATAAGCGGTGGGAGAAATTGACCGATCATTTAATTTATTCAAGATTGGACGATGGATGCTAATTTCAACGTCGTTGGCCTGCCATGTAGATGTCTTTCTCTCTCCACTGAAGCCACCAACGAAAGCCAGTGTTTCGGCTGAGGCCATCAATGCTTCCCTCTACTATCTACATGTCTCGACGCCCGAGGACGATGTCTTGCTCCAGGAATGTGAGCAAGAGCGCGAGGAAGAGGCAAAACTGCGGAAGGAGCGTGGAGAGGAGGTGGATGTTCCTCCTGAGTTTGCGAAAATGAATCAGGTTCGACGAAAGCCTGTTCCAGGCGGCGGCGGCGGTGGCGCAAAGGTGGACGCTGATGCACGCCCTCCTCTCCCTGCTCACCGATCCAATGTGTCGCTGCCAGAGAATGTTCTCCCGGTGCCAAATTCTGCGGAAATACCGTCGTCTCTGATGCCGGCTCGTCCGAGCTTGGCGGGGAGTCGCTCGTCGATTGATATTCCCCAGTCTGCGGCTCAGATGACAACGGACAGTCGCGATCCCTTCCGACATACGCTACCGGATGACGAGACTGAAGCAAGGCCGCCATTACCAGCTCGCCCACTTCCGCCTGTTCCGAAGGATGAGCTCGCATTTGAGCTGGTCGAGGACAATTCTGCGCCGAAGAAGGCCAATCGTTGGAGTGCCTTGTCGGGGTATTTGCCCGGACGAAATGCAGAAAACTGGAAGGAAAAGTATGAGGTCCTGACCTCAGGCCGTCACAGCCTCGACTCTAGAAGACCACAAGTGCGACCACAATCGGCTCATGCGAATCCATCATACAATCGCATGAGTTCTCCAGCGAGAAGTCCAGGCCAATCTCCAAGTAGGAGACCTTATGACAGCAAACCGCCGGAAAGACCTGGTTTCCACATCACCCTCATCCGTCGCGATCCTACCCATGGGAGTCAATGGAATGTCGCGACAATATCAACACCGAAAATGGACGGCAGTGCCATTGACATCGAGGTGTCCACGCCAGGGTATAACCGGTTCGCTGCGCAAAGCGAACCGCTTTCACTGGCCAGTCTAGGAATCAACCTACCTTCCGAAATAAGCAACCGCATCTCACTGTCTTCGTCTCGACCTACTCAGGCCGAACTGGCAGAGAGCACCCCCAGCCAACCATCGCATCCCCGAAAGTTCCACCGCAAACTCAAAGTATCACAGCCATACCAGGAAAACGGCCGAGGCTCCTTAGACCCAGGAGCCAACCGACCCTCACTCGACCACGGAACCAACAGTCCCTCGAAATCGAACACCTCTAAGCTCAAAAGCGGCTACTACACCTTCACCTCACCCTGGAACGGCACCTGCACATTCTCCACGAGCGTCAACGGCCGCAGCCTCAAGTGCAAGCACATGATCCCAATGCCCTCAACAGGCCCGAACGGCGCCCCCATCGACAATCCCGCCGTAACAGTCGCCGAAATCCGCTTCAACACTCCCTTCCAAGCAGGCCATCTCCACCACCAACCAGGCCCTTCCCACATCTCGCCCTTCACCCTCAGCCAAACCCCAGCTTTCAAAGACCCCACCAGCAATCCCAACAACCACGGCCACAACCTCGACCCAAGCTCCTCCTCCCCGTCAGACCGGACCTCAAAGCGCGCTAGCCTCGCTCAATTCCTCAACCCAAACGCCTACAACCGCCCGCGTGCCCGCTCCGGCGCATCCGCCCACTCCATATCCTCCAACTCCAACTTCGGAGCGCCCACCCGCAAACCCTCAACAAGCAGCACCAGCAGCGGCGTCGCAGACCTGGAGGACGGACCCCGTCGTCCTCTGCGCCGTCCACCAAGCGACGACCGCCTCGATTTCTCACTTGCGCGAGAAAACGCTGGGGGCGGCATGCGCGGGAAGAGCGCTAAACTAGGTAAACTGATCATCGAGGATGAGGGTATAAAGATGCTGGATTTGCTTGTTGCGTCTTGTATGGCTGTTTGGTGGAGGGGTTATTACTATTGATTGATGAACCTGTTTTTTTCCCTCCTTCTTCTTTCAAGAGTATATGGAATGGGTTGATGGGTTGATCTGATGTGCATGGGGATGGTTTTGTTTCCCTTGATTTCATGTAGTCTTTGCTCCTATGTATGTATGATTGACGATTGATGAAATGATTATATATCCTCGGATTTACTGTGCTGTTATCAGAATTAGAATTATGTTAGTCCAAAAGGAGAAGAATATGAACCACAAATAGATAATAGAGTACTTTCTCATATATGCTATACTATAATCAACTACTTCATCAGATCTATCCATTCATCAATCAAAAGATCAAACTAGCGCTCAATTGCAATGCAACTGCCGTCTTTCTCATGCACGCTTACACACAGACCCAGGTCCAATAGCCAGTCGCCAGTAGCATAGGTAAAGTCGGGTACATACAAGAACGGAACGGGAGTGAACCAGTCCTCTCTTTAACCTTTTGGTATGTAAACAGGGAGGAAAAAGGAAAAGGGATACCGCTGGAAACTAATTTGCATGGCATAACCAAAGATGGGGGAGCCCGTGAATATATTTATGTTCTTATCATATAGGCATCCGGAAACGCCTGCGAATTCCAGGGACGAAGATATTCACTTGGGTGAAGGGATTGTATACCACCCATGCCCGTTTATTGTACGTCCATTCCACGCTGCAGGGACGATTCCAGATCGTTGTGAACGCCACCGCCCGCGGCGAGCGCCTCCTGAGGCTTGGGCTCCTCTTGCTTCCAGACGCCCTGCTGGTTCTCGGGGATCGGGACGTTGGTCTGCTGGGCGATCTGCTGCTGTTGCGCAGCAGCGGCGGCCTGCGCCTGGGACTGCTGCCGGACGACGGCACGGAAGCGCACGACTTCCTCGTAGATCATACGACGCATCTCCTGTACGTCGTCCACCACTTCGAAGTGGAAATCGAAGGTTGTGGGGCATGTCGGCTCGTCTGATGCGTCGTGCCAAATGTGCAGGTATGGGTGCTCCAGGGCCTCTTCAACCGAGATACGCGACGAGGGGTCGAAGGCCAACATGCGGTCAAGCAAGTCAAGCGCATCGGGGTTGGCACTGGGGAACAAACGCTGGAAGGGGATCTTGGGCATGAAAGGCAAGTTGCGAACGTACTCCTGGGCCCGGGGAGAGCCGATGCGACTCAGGGTCTCCTCGTTCGGGGTGCCCAGGTAGTGCAGGATCTGGTTGAGCTGGTCGACATAATCACGACCCTTGAAGAAGGGGCGGCCGCCGAGGAGTTCGGCCAAGATGCAGCCCACAGACCACACGTCGACTAGTGTATGTCAGCAAAGTAGACGGTAAGAGCATGTCAGGGGCAAAAACACATACTAGCTTTAGTATAACTCTGGAAGCTCAACATAATTTCCGGAGCACGATACCATCTTGTCGCGACATATTCGGTCATGTAACCTGCGTTCTCTTCCGGATCAATCGAGAAACCACGCGCCAATCCGAAATCGCAAATCTTGAGTTCACAATCGGCATTGACCAGCAAGTTTCCGGGTTTTAAATCTCTATGCAAAACATTGGCCGAGTGGATGTACTTCAAGCCACACAGAATCTGATAAATAAAGGACTGGAAGTGGGCATCGGTCAAGGGTTGTCCGGAACGGATAATAGCGGCGAGATCACACTCCATCAACTCTGGGCAAGGAAATAATATCAGTAGCTGTGCGTGGACCATGTTCAGGGGGGCAGCCTTACCTTCATACAGATATGTTTCGTTGAAGTTATCTGGGCGCGGAATGTCCATGTCATAGAGACAAGTGATCTGCATGATCCGGTCAGCCCTATCAGCTTCGGTGGCATCAAGTCGGGACCAAACGTACATTGCGGTGGCCTCGGAAATGTTGAAGTAACTTGATTTCTCTCAAGGCGCGCTTAGCCAAGATCTTCTTGCTGAAGACATTGGTGACTTTCTTGATAGCGACACCTTCACCGGTTTGAATGTTCGTGGCGGCACTAGATAGCGAAACCGGAGATCGTCGTCAGAATGTGGTGATCCAAACAGCTTTATATGATCTTCATCTTCGCATGGCTATGACTCTCGATAGACCAGGGTTGACGGAGAGACGAGTATGTTAGAAGCCTATGATGATCTATAACGTACCAGACAATACCATATGCACCTTGACCAAGCTCCTTAGTGACATTGTATCGTTCATCCACAATAAAATCCTGGTTGAAGACCTTGAAGATCTTACGTCCTCGTAGATCAGCCATGGTTTCGGAGGGGCGATGGAAAGGAAAAAAAAAAAAGAAAAAAGGTTCCAGCGATCGACTGCTAGTAGCACGAAGGAAACTCGAGGCGGTAAAGCGAGTGTCGTTCTGTAGACGCCGAGAAAGAAATGGAGGGGGAGGAAAATGTGCGGTCGGTCCACCCAAAAGATAGTGGGGAAATTCGCGAGTACTTTTGTTGTTTCCTCGCTTTGCTTTCAGGTTTTTTTTAAAAAATTAATTCCCTCCTTTTTCCTATTTATTTTTTTTGTCTCAGTCAGGGGAGGGAAGAAAGACAAACAGAAGACCTGGCGCGGGCTGGCTGGTCGATGAGAGGGAAAGCAGCTTCGAATGGACGGAACGGCAGCCCCGCAGTGGGAAAGTCAATCTTCCGCCGTTGCGGCTCCTGAATGGGAATTAAGGGTTTCAAAACTTATGACAACGAGGCGCAGCAAGATGGGAATCAAAACTCTCAGAAAGAGATCCTTCCAGAGGGAGCAGGAGAGCTGGAAATAATGTCAGGCGAGGAACGACTAAAGCACGTTGAACCACACCCGGGTGAAAGAGGGGTGTAATTAACGCCGATCGGTTGGGGCCTTGCAGCTGGCAGAGGTTCTGGCGGCACCGAACATGCAGCAGCAGTCAAAGGGAGACAAGTGGGGATTTATTGCAAGTACATACTTTGTTTGGTGCATTCAAAGAATGGAATCATAAACAGCTTTCTTTCAAGAAAATCGTTTGCTCACTCTATCATCGAGCTATTATTCCACAACACAGCGTATAACAAACAAACGTATAGGGCGGCGTTTATGTATCTATTGCTTCAATCGTCGACAACAAGGAAGTCACTGGATGTCCTGGTTCGGTGGTTTGCCGCCCAGGATGGGGTGCCTAAGGCCCATCCGGGGAGGGGCTCTGGTGGAGCACTGGTGATGACAGCGTCACACTCGTCACACTGTCACATTCTAGCCTCAACGCACCACTTGGGGAGAGCGGCTATTCTTGTCCCAATTGTGTTCAACTTGGATTCAACAAATGTGTTGCTATTGGGGCATGTTGAAAGCAAGCGAGACAGCCTCTGAATGGATAAGGGGATTTTGACTGGCTAACATCCATCCTAATGCAAAGCTTTTGTCAAGGGTAAAAAAAAAAAAAAATCAATGTCTAAGTTTCCAAATCACCTCTATAACTTGAGGCTTCTCTCGCTCTCGAACATATATCTGGCGAACCCTGTCTGTCTCTGCAATTGCTTCTTTCAATCGGAAGGAAACCTTGCCCTCGTCCTTGCTACGCAACGGGCCCAAACTATACTCGAATGGATCCGGGCCCTTGTATTTACTGTTATCCCAGGTCTGCTCCATGGAAATCGAATCCTGCAAGGGTAGCGAGTATTTGACCACGGAAAACCCATTTATCAGATACCAATCGTCGGACAACCGCCAACGTCGAAGCAAACAGGCTTCACCGCAGATGGCAGCCACCTTGCTGAGAGCAACCATGTCGGCATGGAACCAGGATTTCCAATGATGCAAAGAGAGCGGCAATGGACGGCCTGACTCGTAGAACCCGGACGCATCGCCACGAAGGTCTAACTGATGGAGGCCATGTTCCCACTTGAGTTTCACTGTAGTTTGGCTGTAAATACACCGCGCGATCATTCGATCACCGGCGCCCTTATAGTCATAGCAATTGCGGAAAACAGCATTGAGTTGTTGAACAAGGGGAATGGAGAGGAATATCCCGGCACCGCCGTACGCCATATGGCTCCCAAAATACATCTGTGCGATATCCTCGGTGAGCGCCCCTATATACTGCGGCTGCGTCGGATCGTACGTCGACAACCGTTGCACAAGGTTCTCCATTGAAGGAAAGAAAGTATCATCGTCGATTAAGACAATCCACTTGGTGAGCTCATCCTTGCGCTCAAAGAGGGTCCGGAGCAAGGAAAAGTACCGATCCAGCAAATCATCTGAGTTTTGGATAACGGTGAGGCGAATATCTAGCTCCTTTGCCCGTTTTTCGGACTGCTTCACCGAGCCTTCATCATCAACCACAGCTACAATGTGAGCATTTGTTCCTCCTGCCCAGTGTGCGAAAGCATCCAGAGAATCATACAATCTCTCTGTAGACGTCGCGACGCCAAATATCATGTGTGATGCATTAGGGCGTGGAGCCATCACGGGAGCATATATTGTCACCGATGTAGTACAGCTCTCTTCTGGCAGTAGCTCTGAGTGATTCTCTGTATCCAGTTGGACCGTCTGGTACGTGGGAATTGGTGCATCGAGTGTATCCGAAAAACCAGTGAAGTTCTTGGTTCGCACGACAGATATCTCCAATCTAGCATATTCCGCCGAGGAATTGGAGGCGTACGTTCTCAGCAGGTCAAGATCCACATGGCAAACACTGCTGTTACTGGAAGATGGAGGAGACGGAGCATTGGGGATAGGACTAATATCGATATTGCTATGTCGCGAATAGAGAAGGAATACTGCAGATATGAGTAGAAGTGAAGTGGCGGCAGCTATCACGGCAGTGGATCGGCGCCATTGAAGCAAAGGGTGATAGCGCGCCTGCATCGCGACCCGAACATAGCTAATATCTCATCAATTGTTGTTCTATACGGTTGAACCCAAATTGGACCATTTATTGTGAAGGGAGAAATACAAGAAAAAGAAAAAGAAAAAGAAAGGCGGGAGGCTTCAATTTCAGGCCCGCTAGGGGGAAGGAGTCAAGAAAGTGAAAAGAAAAAGAGAAAAACGTGAAGAAAATAGACGATGAGATCCTTGTTTCAGACAAGGAGAAAGGGCTGCCGCCCAGGGTTGCGGCTGAGCACTCCCGAAGATCCCAATCTGAATGGCATTAGTGACGGCCGCTCGTACCGTAGAAGCCCCGCGGTAGGTGAGTTACTAGTAATTCAACCAACTTTCAATTGTCCTGGTTGTCATAACCACGTTGGGTATTTCGCGGAATATATATAGTATCCCCTTCATGAGGGGATCTTTCCAAATATCAAAATATAGCTTTTCGCGTGTTCAAATATATGTCTTGCACCCACAAAACGCATAATGCAGTAAGAAAAACATTTATAGACAATGCGGTAATCTACCAGAATGGTAGATCAGTTATTGCACGCGGAACTACTAGTTAATTCTCAAAACATGACTTATCACATCAATTCGTCTCCCTCTGGAACATCATTGCTTCATTCAACGTTTTATCGCTGTCCCTCAATACCCCTATGCTTTCTAGTGTCTTGATGATGCTATGCGACGCTTAAATCATCATTTCTGGAACAAGCAACAAAGAGAGCGCGAATCTGGCCTATAAAAAGCCGCTCTACAGGGTGTTGACTAGCCTGCGCTCTTTCCTGAGAGCCCGAAGCTTTTCGCGTGCCTCCTCGAGAGGAATCATGACACCTTGCTTCTGGGTGGCAGGGTCGTCACGGTTGCGGATGTTGACAGTGCGAGCCTCCTTCTCTTGAGCACCAACGACTGTTTCACTTAGTTAGTACAGCACAATACCAGACTAGACATATGCTCAGCGGGACCGTAACATACCGAAAATGAAGTTGTACTGGGCCAGCTGTCCAGTGCGAATCTTCTTCTGCATGGTATTTCCGCTAATGTCAATGTCGACATTCAGCTTATCACCGCGCAGAATAGTCTGCAGCTCTTCCACGTAGTCGTTTACGGCAGGCATGACAGGAACAATCAGGATCTGGCGGGGGCTGATCCAGAAAGGCCACTTGCCGCCGAAGTGCTCAGTCAAGATTCCCAGGAATCGCTCAAAGCTACCGATGATAGCTCTGTGGATGACAACTGGACGAGCACGACCAGGGCCAGGCTCGTTAGACTTGGTCTCGCCCTCGGCAGACTCGGCAGCCGCTTGGCTCTTGTCGGCCTTCTCATGGCTCATGTACTCAAGCTTGAAGTTGATGGGGGCCTGGTAATCAAGCTGGATGGTGGCACACTGGAACTCTCGCTTGAGGGCATCAGCGATAGTGATGTCGATCTTAGGTCCGTAGAAGGCGCCATCACCCTCATCGATGGCCCAGTCATCGCCCTTGAACTTAGTCATGGCCGCCTTAAGCTGGTCTTCGGCATAATTCCAAGTTTCAAGCTCTCCAAGGTACTTCTCTGGACGAGTGGAAAGCTTCAACTTGAAAGTGAAACCGAAAAGCCCATAGATGGACTGAAGGAAGTCGAATAGCCCCTCGATTTCCGAGGTAATCTTTGTAACGTTAGTGAGATGAAGGGAAGAAAGGAGATCCCAAGGGAATTTACCTGATCCTGGGTACAGAAGATATGGGTATCATCTTGCTGGAACTTCCGGACACGGGTGAGTCCACTTAGTGCACCAGATGCCTCATTTCTGTGCAGAACACCAAAGTCTGCAATACGCAACGGGAGTTCTCTGTAGCTTCTCTCGCGATGACCGAAAAGGATGAAATGTCCGGGGCAGTTCATAGGCTTAAGAGCCCACTCTCTCTTCTCAACGTCAACCTTAAACATGTCATCCTTGTAGTGGGCCCAATGTCCAGAAGTCTTCCAGACGCTAACATCGTACATGTTAGGCGTCTGGACTTCCTGGTAGCCACGCTTACGATACTCCGACCGCAAGAGGGTCTGGAGAGCATTGAAGATCTTGGTACCGTTGGGGAGCAAGAAGGGGCATCCTGGGGAGGCTTCGTCAAAGAAGAAGAGCTCTTGTTCCTTGCCGATCTTCACATGGTTGCGCTTCTCTGCTTCCTCCAGGAACTTCAGATGTTCTTGCATTTGCTTCTTGTCCGGGAAGGCAACACCACGGATACGCTGCAGAGAGTCGTTGCTTTGGTCACCAAGGAAGTAAGCAGAGGAGTTCTGAGAAGCAATTAGCTTGGCGAATTTATATTATGACTTCTTAGTCACCTACCTGCATGATCTTGAAGGTCTTAATCTTGCCAGTGCTTTGAATGTGGGGTCCCCTGCAAAGGTCGACCAAGGTACCACATCTATAAACAGTGCTCTTTTCTCCGGTCACCAGTTTGTCGATATAATGCAGCTTGTACTTGCTGTACGCGAACATCTTTTTCAGGTTCTCTTTCGTAACTTCTAATCTGTCAAAGCTCTGCTTCTCCTTGAAGACACGGTTTGCGTGCTTGTCCAAGGCGGGCCAATCGGCCTCTCTTACAACACGGCTATAGTATTGTCAGTAACCAGTCCAGCTAAGCCTGTTTCTTTCCGGGACGCACTTCTCGGGCATGGCCATATCATAGAAGAAACCCTGTGGAGTGGGAGGTCCATGAGATAGCAGACATCCATATTCACACTCGCAAGCCTCGCCCAGGCAGTGAGCACTCGAGTGCCAGAAGACTTCCCGTCCTTCGGGATCCTCGAATCGCACATAAGAGACCGTGCAGTCACCCTCCAAAGGTCGGCTCAAGTCCCAGAGTTCGTTATCGACCTTTGCAAGCACAATAGTGGCACTCAGTTCCTTGGGCACATTCTTGAGAAGTTGGGCGGGGGTAGTTTCCCAGGCTTTGGCGGGGACCTGTTCCTTGTTGCCGTTGCCAGGTGCCAAGGTGACGGTGATTTCGGGGTGAGGCTTGTTCTTGGTCTCCTCGAGATATTGCTGCCAAAGCTCCTCGAAGAAGTTGTTGCGCTCAATAATGAAATCGGGTAACGAACCGGCACCTGATACGATTGACTGATTAGGAGGGGCATTCATGATATTTGGCGGGGCTAATAATGATTTACCTTCAGCGCCCGGGGCGGACCTGACGGGCAATTCCTTCGAACCTTCAGAAGCCATGGCTGTATTACGCAACGACAAAGGAACGATCAGGAAAAAAAAGTACGGGGAGGAGGGGTAGGCCAGCGACGATGACTCTTTTGCAGCATATCGGAATGAATCTTTAGCCCAACCAGCAGTGAGGGACGGAAGGCGGTGAACCACGTGACTGAAAACTGCCCTGGAGGCTAGCGACACTTTACCGTTTCGAGCTTCCCACCATTTGAAAACTTCTCCGGGTTCCGTCCGTTCTTACAGGTCAATCTCAACAACCAAGTCAATATGTCTTTTAGAGGAGGAGGTCGCGGTGGCTTTGCCACTGGTGCCAATCGCGGAGGTTCCTTCGGTGGCCGTGGTGGTGAGTAACTCCAATTTTCGGAGCTGGTGGTTGAGATGAGCGAGGACTAACGAAAATTTCGTCGGACAGGCCGCGGAGGCTTCCAGCAGCCAATGGGACCACCAGCACAAGTTCTGGGTATAGAATACTGATGCGATCCTCAGATCATTGCAGTTTACTGATTTTCTTTAGAGATGGGATCTTTCATGCATGCCTGTGAGGGCGAGATGGTCTGCGAATCGATCAACCCGAAGATTCCTTATTTCAATGCCCCTATCTACCTGGAGAACAAAGTACGAGTCACCGAAGACGTACGCTTGGGAATTAAATGAGGACTAACACGTTACTTCAGACTCCTATCGGAAAGGTTGACGAGGTTCTTGGCCCTATCAACCAGGTCTACTTCACCATCAAGCCTCAGGAAGGAATTGTCGCAACTTCTTTCAAGCCTGGTGACAAGGTCTACATCGGTGGGGATAAGCTCCTGCCATTGGAGAAGTATGGATTACTCCTCTACGTGTACGTTGCGAACAGGGCTGACTTGATGATCATAGGTTCCTTCCTAAGCCTAAGCCGCCACCGGGTAGGATCCCATCTACGACCGAACATATGTTGCGCATATTACTGACAAACATTCAGGTGCTGCTAAGCCTAAGAGAGCTGGAGGTGCTACCAGGGGTGGTCCTCGCGGTGGTAGAGGAGGCCCTCGTGGTGGAGCGAGAGGTGGACGCGGCGGATTTGGCGCCCCTAGAGGCGGAGGCGGCTTCCGCGGTGGAGCGAGAGGAGGTGGAGGCTTCCGTGGTGGAAGCGGTGGCTTCTCCAGGGGAGGCGGCAGAGGAGGACCTCGTGGTGGAGGTTTCCGACGTTAGACAGTCTCCGTCTTGCTTAGCACTGTCTTATTACGGCGTTATGGGAAAACGGGAGCTTTTGCAGGAACTTTTTGTGTCAATTTTTCTGTGCATCCTAGGTGGCTTGCCTCTTCGCAAAGGCTGTAGACTAATTCAGCCATTAAATGAATGTTATTATACCAATGAAGTACCTGCCAAAATGACATGTGCTTACTCGTAGTTCCGTACCGAGTAGTAGTGATTCGGGCTTTTGTCCCGATCGCCTTTTCAGATGTGGCTAGTGTCTGTGGCGCAGCCCTACACCGCCTGGCAATGACGTCTGGAACACATGCCGAGCCGTAGAATCTGTGCGGCCTTGTCAACATCCTTTCAACTGCAACCACTAGCAGATCCCTCACCTTTCCACAACTTTCCCACCGCTGTCGACATAATTCAAAGTCTCACAATTTCTATTATTGTACTTAAACTGCGCGTTCTCACTTATTGTTAGACTTCGAATTGAGCATGTCTCGTAGATCATCGGCCATGCCGTCGAATACATCTACGAATAGCGGTGTCCCGCCTGCCAGTGACGGAGGTAAGCTCTGATCATCGCTAGCCCGATCAAGGATATGGAAACTCAGGTTTATCAGGTCAGGAAAAGCAGAAGATGCTTTTGTCGGCGGAAACAGGGCACTTCAGCTTGGTCAGGTCAGTCTTTATATTGGCGACACCTCTAATAAATCTATCCGCTGACTGAACATTCTTACGTCAGGGCTTTGCATCTTGCAGATCTAGTAACTGAGCTTAACGGTAATATATTGGATTTTCCCATGCTGTATGCTTGCCAAGCTTTGCTAATTATGCTTCATAGGATTTTGTGGAGGCAAGTCTACTCTCTGATATTCGCGATTAAACGCCAGCCTAAACTGACTTTCACGAACAGTTATGTCCGTCCTCTCGTCTATGCGTTACTGTCTAGGAGACCCTCATGAATATGGTGCCATCTGGTCTGCGCTTGGATTTATGCCTTTCGGACTTTTCTTTGATTTCATGGATGGAAAGATCGCAAGGTGGAGGAACAAGTCATCGCTCATGGGACAAGAGCTCGATTCATTGGCAGATCTGGTACGCTGGTCTGCAATGTTGATTTGACAAAATACTTACGGTCGCTTCTAGATTTCTTTTGGTATGGCACCGGCCGCGGCAGCCTTCGCTCTTGGAGTCCGCACAAATGTCGACCACCTCCTCCTAGCCTTCTTCGTCCTTTGTGGCCTGACACGGCTAGCCCGGTTCAACGTGACGGTTGCCGTACTTCCCAAGGACAAGACTGGAAAGTCTAAGTATTTCGAGGGCACGCCAATTCCGACCACACTGTCCATTGCTGCGCTCATGGGTTACTGGGTTTCTCAGGGATGGATTCAAGAAGATCTCCCACTAGGCGTTATTGCGCAGGGCACAGCCCTTGAATTCCACCCTGTGGCTTTGTTGTTCGTCCTGCATGGCTGTCTGATGGTCAGCAAGTCTATACATATTCCCAAACCCTGAACACCAAAAGCTTTGCACAGACAAGTGGAAAGACATTCCTGTACTGGAATCTTTACTTGATAGAAAAGTGTTGATGAGACTTAAGCATATATATGTAACTAAGCTAGAACGAAAGCGGGCACGAAGCATTTCCAGAAGATAATGCTGTTTGACGAAGAAAATTTGGATTCCGAAAAGCTGCGGATAGTATTACTCTGGTCTGGCTCTTTTTTGTTTGCTAGGCTGATTTGCGTAAATCCAGTTCCCCATCTACTGCTTGGGAAAGTAGGCATAATGTACTGAATGAATGCACCTGAACACAGCATAATGCATGTAACAAATGAACTGGTTCACATATAATAGAGCTCCCTGCATACGACAACAAAATATCTGGAACTACACATTGTCTAAACACGCGTACAGTGGCTTTTCTCGAAGCGTAAGCATGGGTGTATAGCAAAAGGGTTGGGGGAAGCCTATATCGGAAATGTATGACCTCCATTTCGAATATAGGAATGGTTTCATTCTCTTTTAAACAAGGGACGTGCCATACGCTGCCCTTGAGTCACACAGCGATACTGGATCCGCTATTACCGCCATTCGACCAAAATAGTAGCGATTGCAATAGCTACTGTAGGCCTGAATCACCGAGTCCATCCATGAAAGTATTTCTCAATGACTATTGCCGACATCACGCCTCACACATCCGAAGACTCGTGCTGATAAAAAAAGGTGAGCCAGATGGATACAAGTAGATCAACCATCGATAGTTATTCCTGTGTCCCATGTATCCTCGTGTGCGTGTCCACTTCCCAAGAAAATCCCATGTCACATATATGCACGTGGACGGATGAAAACTTTTCCTCTATAAGGAGTCGTTGCCAGTTGCCGGTGAATTGATCCACAGGAAGCTCAAATTGCCACACACTTTTTTCTGGTAATAAATACAGAGTACTGGGCAACAATACAAAGAAGTCACCCAGGTGAGGCTAGTGGTACAGAGTGTTACCTGGGATGGATAATTATGGAAATGTTGACAGGCGCCCGTGGGGCACTGACACATTCTAGACCTCTCGAGGCGTTTGTTTCACCCTGACCAAAAAATGCCCATGAGCCAAGAAAGGAAGGAGAGTTTTGTCCAGGTTATTCTTAGTACTTGCGAACTTGGTTGCGAGCTCAATGGTACCTTTCAACAGAGGGTGTTGATGTTATTCTATTATTGGTGAGGTTTCTTCTTTCGGTTTGTGTTGGTTTTCAGTGGAGAAGCTGTATTCTGGTCTTGTTCCTGAGTTGTTCTCATTGATTTAGTCGTGCCGAGGAAGGGCAACTCGGATATCTCTGTTGTTAATCCAGTTCTCCGAGTAGGGCAGTGACTGATCGATGCAGTGGGTTAGACGTGTCCTTCGCCACTCTTTGGGAAAATAGTTGAACCGAAGCCCAATTGGATACTACTGAAGATGGTGATGGTGCATGCTTTTCAATCGAAAACTCCTCACTCATGTCAATGTGGAGCACGGCAATAGTACTCGTCACCTATGCCTGCGATGTTAGCGCCTTGCGCTGCAGGTATGGATTGTTGCGTCGAAATTTGCACTAAGTCCGTTCGTCTTCTCCATGCGCTGGTGATATGAAACTAGAATAAGCTTAAATTCCATTTCACAAGCGACGCCTTCTGCCTAAGCTACCCGAAAGTAAGCAGGAACACTGCCTACGTGTCGCATGCTGATATGGAGTTGTTGGATGCATGCAGACCATCATCGGAATGTCCGTCGGAAAGCAACATGAAATTCCCGATCGCCCTGAAAGGGATAACATGTTGACGAGTACGATATTCGTCAGCTGATGGCCTGAGGATGCTTTGCTCCCTTAAGCGCTGTATTGTCAAAATTTTCTCGTTTTTCAAATCATAGATGGTAGGCGATTGCATCTGCGCCTGCTAAACGCCCTCTACGGCTTATTCACGAGTCACAATGCCGCAGCTTGCTGTTTTTGCTCGTCGATCTGTTGATCTCCATTGTATTTGGATCGCATCTGTCATTTGACATGTATATTCCTCGAGTGCCCTGTACATTGATTATGGAACCATTTCTGCGTAATCAGGGTACAACGAACCCTAGTACCTCCGGTTTCTTTGCGGGTTTCGGAGGATCCGCATAAACACCCAGGGTCAGGATCCCAGGTCCACTCCGGGAGTGTCCGCTTGAACCCAAGGAACGGTTCCGTGTCTCTCATTTCGTTTCACCCAAATAATGAAGAGTTTTCTCATGACGGTGAGGACTTGGTGGGCGCGCAAATACATACTGCCCTAAATCAATACTCTGGCAATTATTTCTGTGGCGCCTTACTTTTAAGTAATATCTCTTACGGCCATAGTCGGAGAGAACCGTAGGACATGTCCTTCGTAAGAGTTGTATTTCACCTGACCAACTCTGTTGGTGACAAGATCTGCATGGGTCTGCATATGACGCAGCCCTTTATTGGTACTGACCAAACACGGATCCAAGGCTCCATAAACGACGAACCGTTCCCTTGTAATTGGCTCGTGGCCACACATCAGGATCAAAAAAGTCTACAGTGTTAGCTGACTTGGATTAAAAAATGGTACGTGGTGATGTGCAAATTTGGCGGCTATGTATTTCGCTTGCCACGCCTCGGGCGTTGAATCTCGTGGAGTAAGCTTTTACGGAATGCCAAATTTTTGGACCCTGTCCAGAGTAGTCTGTACCAAAGAAGATCAGAAGCGCACGACCTTGCGTTCGAGCAATGGTGCAGAATAGCCAGCCAGCCAGCTATTGATTTCCCGCGTTTTCTTCCTTTAGAAAAGGTCCGGGTGTTCCGTTCGCTGCTTATGGGGTTACTATTCCCGCTAGCCAAGATATGGAGCAAGGAGCTGTGCACTGACGCGGCAAGCCTTCACTGGTGAAGGAAAACGGTGTCTATCGCAATTGACCAAGCCCGTTTCTTCACAGTAGGTGTATTGTATTTTCAGAGTAGAGGACATCCAACTCTTCTGGTGTGGCTGATGGATATTCAGGGCGACGTAGTTGTAATATTATTCGGCCTTGGCTTGTTTATGTTGGGACGCCACAGTCGCAAGTGAATATGAGATTGATTCATCCTCCCTGAAACAAAAGCGGACAGGATATTGGACGTAACTGTGAATGGTCAACTGAACTTTCTAGCATCTGTTTGTTCAAATGAGGTCGATATCGCCCAAGTTCATACTGGCCATATTCTCGTCACACCTTTTGTTCCAATGTCAAAAAGAACCTATGGAGTAACCATGACTGTCTATCATCCCCTCTTTTCATTAATGCAGCGCGCCACAAATAATCACACCAGACCCATGGCCTTCCCTATACAGGTATAGCGCATGCCGGTACTCCATTTTTCCTGCCCGTTCGTGGATACGGAAGGGGAAAAGGATCGTTGTGCCCCTGGATTTCTGATTAGCCATCCATTCATGGCACTGCTTATCTAATCCGCGGTCGCGCCCTGATTGAACCAGTGTAGCTTTGGTACTAACGCGGGACGGACTTGGAAAAATTACCGACCTGCATATCCAGGGTCGCCCTCCGTTTGGAAACGACCCCTAAAACAACTTACGGTACGCACCACCCATGGATATATCCCGTTCCATTTATTTGGAAAGCTGTTTGTGATTTTGATGTAGGCTATGATGATTCGACTTTAAAGGCCCTTTTATTGCTAGGGGTACACATCGTAAGAACCCTAATCTAAGGTTAGAAAGGTAGTAAATGCTGCGTGTGTTCTACTTCAGGTGCGTCGCTTAATCGGTAAATCAGGGAGGTACGAATCAATACGAAGGAGTTTCTTCCGTTTCTCCCTGTAACCCTGCCCCGTCAAGTCATTCGTTCAATCTCAGCAGACCCCTACTTACCCTAGTACTCCTAGTATCCTTCCTTTCCCTTCCCTTCCCCTTCTCTTTCCTTCCGTTCCTTCCTCCTTTCGGACAAAAGACACTCGTTTTCTCTTCTTGTTATTCACTCGGAGGGGCTGTTGCTTTCTTTAAAATTACTTCTCTTTCGATTTTCTATCGTTTCCTCCCTTGTTTAAGTGCAAACATATTGACGATTACATCAATATATTCCCCCCCCCTTCGAAAATCTCCGAGTCAGCTTTCGTTCGCGTCCGTACCAATTTGCTGTCGCTGCGGGTGATCCGACCGACCTTCTAAGTTTCCTGTTCAGGACGTTCATTAAACTCCTCTCGGCAGAAAGGGGCGCTTGAAACGTCCGGTCCTCAGAGTCTTCCCCGCCTAAGAACCGCCCTTGACAAACAACCCAACATTCTTTCCCGTCGCCATCGCATTAACCTACCCTCGTCAACTATCCTGTCGTCACCGGCCCTGGATTAGCTGCGCCTGTTGTCGACTGTATCACGTTTCATAAAGTCGAATTATTTACGCGAACCTGACCCCTACAGGTCACCGCGGCCATTTTGACGCCTTTTCGGGAAGTCGACTGGGAAACAGGATCTCAATCTACCACAGTGGTCTAAAAGGGTTACGCCGGTCGTCCCTCTTTCCTTCGCTCAACTACTAGCACAACAACCATACTGTCTGGAGCAGGTGTCCAGATACTGATACCCCTTGCAATTGTTTCCTGACACTTCTACATCTACAACTACAACATGAAATCATTCACGCTCAAGTCGGCTCTTGCAGCCTCCACCCTTCTGATTGCAGCCAACTTGCCAGCAGTGATCGCACAGACACAAGTCGACAAGGGATGCTATAGTGATTCGACGCCGTTGAAGGATCAGGGTCCTTATACGTACCAAAGTAACGGATATTGCCAGAAGCTCTGCTTGAAGGATAACTATGCTGTTTTTGCCTTGTCGAAGGGCACAAACTGTCTTTGCGGTAACCAACTACCAGCAACATCGGCTAAGACAAGTGACGGCGACTGCAATGTCAAATGTGCTGGATGGCCTGATGTTATGTGTATGTGCTTTCCGACTCAGTCCCCTGCTCTTGAGTACTGACTTTTCATTCAACAGGCGGTGGTAATAATGCGTTTTCCGTCTATCTCACTGGTATCGAAGATAATGTGGATAGTTACTCATCCTCGTCTTCCTCCTCCTCGAGCTCTTCCTCTAGCACCGAGAGTGGAGCCTCGACAACGACCAATGGAGGGACTGTCGTTACTACTACTGGTGGACAAACAGTGATCAAGACGGCGGATAGCGAAAAGACAACGCAGGGTGCCGAGCAAAAGGAGAAGAAGTCTGGATCGAATACTGCTGCCATCGCCGCTGGCGTCGTCGTGGGAGTTGTTGGTTTCTGTGCTTTGGTGGGGGCTATCTTCTTTCTATGGCGGTTTAAGAACCGTTCCAACATGCCCGAACAGTATCGAAACAACAACATTGACAGCTTTGGCGCCAAACCCATGTCCCAAAGCTCCATGTCTGATTCTAGGTTCGACGGTGACTTCATGGCAAAGCGGCGTCAGAGCAATGGCAGCATCGATGATGATCAAGACTTTTCCCGTCGAATTTTGCAGGTGAATATTATTTGCCCTGGATCGCATGCTACTATACAGTGCAATTACTGACCGTGATCTAGGTGACCAATCCCGATCGCCGCTACTAAATTCAGGAACTCTGAACCTCCCAAATGGACCATGTCCCTTGTGAATCATCGAACAACAACAGCCTTGGCTACTAGTCCTACTCGTTATCCTGATATACATAAATTAGTTTGCGATTTTTACGCTTAAGCTTCATACATTCCTTCGATTTCATTTCTGATTTCCCCTCTACCGCGATCTATTTGGCGACCTTGCGATATCCTGGGGCATATTCTGTAGATAAGTTATGACGTTTTACTGTCTACTTTTGTTTGCAACATGTTGTTCGAGTCTGGAACCGCAACGCATCCCTACTTCCATAATCCCGCAACGCCCCGTGACGCGCTCGGGAAGTCAAGAACGATATCATCATCGCAGGCCGCGAAGCAAAATGCTGTCTCTGCTTGGAAGGAATCGGCCCGGACTTGGCCTTATGAATGTGTGAACGGCCACAAGATACCCGGGAGGGTCAGAAGCTTCGTTCTGGATTTAGACTGCGGTATGTCGCCCAGAGAAGTTGTATTTTTGAAAAGGCGTTCTGCGGTGAAGTATTTTTGAGTTCTCCCTTGTGAACATAGTTGTGTTCCTTCATACCTTGCTGTTCTTGCGCTGGGGTTATCCTGCCTTGGTTACCTTCTTTTCCTTTGATTTCTTATTATCTGTGATTTACTGAACTTCCCTTGGCCATCATCTCCCTAATGTTGTTGGTATGCTTGGGGAACTGTAAGTAAGATGATGGCTGAGCCTGTAGTTAATGCGAAGAATGAATGGATACCACTCTTGTTTGATCTCGACTCACCTGCCATATGAACTTGAATGCTATTATCCCGTTCAGGAAGCGAGGGTTTGTTTCACATCATAATTTTGGCGAGATCCTACCATCTCTCTCTCTTTCTCTCTCCCTCTCTCCCTCCCTCTCTCTATAGTCTATAAATCCTCCATACGACTGTGCACTTACTATTTACATTTGTCCCAGAGGAAATTGTCTCTATATTCATTGATCTGGGACACCCTTGCCTCCCTACTTTCAACGTCCAGAAAGAGCGCCCAACATCACATATCAGACGATTGACTGCCGGACTATCGAATCCAGCCAAGCTCTCTTTCTCTACAACACACCGACCACACTCTACTAGTTGGTGTCTGAGGGCCAAGGCAACAAATAACCGCCATCCTTAGGTATTATGTATTTTCCCGATGTCAACGCTGGTCCACACGTGCAACCAAGGCGCATCTTCATCTAGCGGTTTAGCAGCCCACTAGAATCTGTGAGCGTATCCCACTATGGCAGGCCGCGTTACTGTACCACCTTCATCCTCTGTTCCTAAAAACCTCCACAGAAGCTATTCCATAAGGGGTGTCGTTCCTACTAATCGTTTTAATATGGCTAATTCGACCACCATCTCTTCTCCCTTGCAGTCTATAGAACCTGGTGTATACTGCGGAGATATATACTTATGAATATCGGGCCTATACAAATCACTACCGCATGTTGACACCCCTCTGTCCATCGTTATGAACACACCAATCATTAGACTACGGATAATACTTTTTCTTGAGTATATTCTCTCGCCCATCTTCCAGACTCGAATAGCCTCGTCAATGATACATAGTCCTATAGTGACAAAACTCGCACACCCAGCCGCTTCCTGAACCGTAATTCCAACGCAACTAAACCGGCCCTCTCCATAGTCTTAGCTCGCTAGGTCTTGTAATTAAAGAAACTATCATCCGTTGCCGGATCTCATTGAATTGGGGCTATGGCGGTTAGATCATCCTTCGAGATAGATTACATGCAATTCTTTTCTCCTATTGTTTTCATCATCCCGGAAATGATTACGGCGGCAGTTCTCTTTAACCGGACGTAACTAGTCTTAAAACAAGTAGCCTGGTGTGCAGGTGTGACACAAGCCCCCCATGAAGTTATTCATCTACATACAAATCTAGGATAGCACCGAGGGTATGGTGGTGAGGCTGTTTTAACCACCAGCTTTGCCATTCTCCACGCCCAATGCGCTTTACCAAAAGTAGAGCTCTTTCGTGTTTATTACTAGCCTGTTACCTCCGGTGATATGATAGAGCAGAAGTAATATTTCGGAATCCAGAATGGGGTTCCGTCGAATAAGTCGTTTGAAGACGGATCCCTTGGCTATGGGAGGTTCAGGGTGATGGTGTTTATCTAATCTGTATACATACATACATATATATATACATAAATATGTATATACATGACGTTTCTCTGTTTGTATGGCCTTGTGGTTGTTTTGTGGATATATATAACCATGGCTAGTTGTGTGACTGCATCACTGGATCTTTGTTCGACTGGGAATTTTTTTTTATATCTTCGATATGTTTATTTATCCTATAGATGTAGTCCTGGGTTCCACGTGGATTGTTTTATCCAGTTAGTCTGCTCTTTTTGCTCTTGGAACTACGAATGTATGTCCTACGCTCTATTGTGATGGGGCAATACTATGTGTATATATATATTCCTGTCTGGAAACACGGTATGTGCGAGCGTTTTCAATTTGGGACGTCGGTTGACTTTACTACATACAATCACCATTTCTTGATTTCTTGAGGTCTCCCAGAACACCCTAAGGCCATCTATATGAGTTTTGTCTTGATAAAGGCATAGACTTTATACCGATATATTCTGAAAAGAAGCTTCCATCGGTTTTCTTCTCTTCATTCGCTCGGATTCTCTGCAGTATGTATGTATGTATGTATGTATGTATGTATGTGCATACTTCGCCGCATCTACGATGGCCCCAGTTTCTCTCGAGTCTCGATAGATCATCACACACACACACCACCAAACCAGCTAATGACGAAAACACAGCAGGTCAGCTTGACAAACAAGACCCAGCCCCCATCGTCGAGTCGACAAACACCCGACCTCAACATCGAGGCAGTGGCCGGATATCCGGATGAAGATCACGATAAATATAGAATACAGCGTTCACGCGAACTGTAGAGACTAAAAAGTAAGACGCAGGTAGTTGAAAGGCTATGTCTCGCCTAGGAGAAGTCGTTGCTGCAGGAGTATGACAAAAAAAAAAAAAAAAAAAAAAAAAAAAAAAAAAAAAAAAAAAAAAAAAAAAAAAAAAAAAAAAAAAAAAAAAAAAAACAAAGAAGGAAAATAGAAGATGCTGACATGACGGAGCTGGGATGCATTTCTGCACGGTGATACCCCACGCCAAACAGGAAGCCATGCAGAAGGGAAGTCGTTTCAAAATTGCATGGAGATAAATATAGATACAGCCCCTCACCTGAAACCAACAGTCTGAAGAACGAACGCAGCTTACATGCATAAGGGTACCTGTTTCAAGAGCACATACTGCCAGTAAGACTGCACGGTGAGATCTTAAAAGTGGTGGTTGAGCCGGTGACTGGGACGGGGATTAAACGAAGAGAGGGGGAATGGCCCTAAGGCAGGCTCAGGCTAAAAATACCGAGACGTCAGAATGCGCCTAGTCCTGGGCCACGAGGCACAACGTGGCAAGGATCAATAAAGAACCCGCATGGTTGGTTCGTGAGGAGAATCTCACGGCACCCCCGAATTCAGTAAGTGGAGGGGTCTATCAGTGCCAGGATTATGGATAATCTTGGGTTGTTGTTGGCTGCCGCAGACTCCGCGGGGATTGCCTTTGGAACTTTCTGAAACCTAACCTGGCATGTACTATACAGAACTATACATATGTGGTAAGTAGTATGCATGGTATCTACAAGGATGTTGCACATGGCTTTCGTTATCCCTCCATTCCCCATGACGTCAGTGGCATATACTGCGCGCATATGCGCCCGGAATGGTCTAGAGTGTCAAAGTGAGGTTGCATTCCATATTCGAGATCGTTTGTCTATCAAGGTGGCGTTTTATTTCACACGTGTTGAGTAGTGGATATGAAGATCATCCTAGCCATGGATGCAACACCCTGCACGTTTGGCCCAGGCAAGGCAATAGGCGCCAATGTCAGAGTGCTATTGGTTTTGGTAATTTGAGCAGGATGACAGAGAGGCAAATCCCAGCCATCCACGGTGGGTCTTACGGATACAACAAAGAACAGACATGGGTTGTTATGCATAGTATGGGCCAATCCCCTAACGGACAGGATGTTGGTTGAGTGATAGAAGCTTCCATGTGTTGGGTCTACCCGTGCCAAACCTAAGGCAGGAAGTGGCTGATTAATGGGATAGACACGCTTGCTTATTTCCGGATGTATGCTGCGAATTAGCGGTCTTCTGTCCTCAGGCTGCATAATATCGCTGCCTGTATTTCAAATAGCGTAATACTCGGGATTTGATGGTCTGCCATATCCCTCCCCTCCCCCCCAAGATGATATCTCCCCAGTCGACCGGCTCCAGATACTTGGTGATTCCGAGTCAGGGGGTTGCGAATGGATCCAATATCCGATATATCCAGTGACTCAGGAGAAGACAGACTGAAGAGGAAAAAGAAAAAAGAAAAAGAAAAGAGAAATTGCACTAGAATAACCCGGTACCGACCAAATGGTGCGTGATCGCCGTGAAATGGTAACAGAGGCTCTTGCACACGTGTGGTCGGATGGAACATTCCAATGGACCTGGCATCCGCAAGGATCAGGTTTTGGCAGATATACAATAACGGTGGCCGGCGAATGAGACTGGCGGCCGTAAATTAATCATGACTTGTCAGCCAATTAGTTTGGTGAACGGCGTCTCGCCCAAGCCAATGTGGGAGGTCCGCATGCATGGACTCTCTGCATGTTCCAGCGGGGATCTGAATCCTTCCAGCGTTATCTGTCGTTATTTTCTTGATTCTGTCAAGTGGGACCGGCTGAAGAAATTAATTTCCATTTATTTGGTCATACTAGTACCAGAAGAGCTGACGATGTAGCATTTCTCTTCATCTAATGGGAAGCCCCTAGACGAACGTGCCGTATCAGGATCGATATTACTTATTAGGTGGTATTATGATCAACCGAGGGGACCAACCACCGGGCGACGAAGTGAGATAGTTATGCATTGACGACCCGGTAGATGTCAAGGGTGACAAACACGCCTGTGGTAGCCGGTCTCGGGCCCAGTCCTGATCCTCGACGATGGTACTACTAGTCAGTCAGATCATGCCACATCTCGAGGAAGGCCACGTTTTGTCCCCTCCTTTACCCCCTAGCTCAGCGCATGGCACCCTGGTCTAAGGCTGACTGGAAGGGCCCCGTGCTGCAGCTACAGCAGTAGCGTGCAGGATACTGAGGCATCCAAGGCATTGCGTAAGGCATACATAAGCCGAAAAATTTGATCCTAGTATTCTCTTCTTAGCACTGATTTGCTATCTTCAATCAGCACCTCTCTCGAAAGAGTATCAATGTACATCCAAATACTGCGGGCTTAATTCCGGACTTCGCCGTACTCGACGAACTCGTAACTCCATACGGTATACACGTCGGACTTAACAGAGACGTACCCAGTACACCCCCAGTCCAGCCCAGTGTCTCAGTGGTTAAAATTAATCTGCCCCGCCAGCGAGATCGACCAATTCCGTGTGCCAGTTCGGCCGATCGTTTGCCCCAGCAGGATTCTCTGGGCGATGAAGCGAGGAACATGTTGTCCGGCGCTACGATATTAGCGGAAGTTGCCAATTGCACGGAGTTAGGGTAGGCCGGCCCAAAGCGAGGGAAAACGTACAGCGAGCGTTCTGGACCAATGGTTCTCCGAGAGTCTCGCTAACGTGCTCCACGAGGGTGTCTTTAGATAGAGCCTCAATACCATACGTACAATACTCACTCGACTGCAACGACACATGGATCTGGGATGTTTCCTGTAGCCAAAGGCTTGAAGATGCTTACACTATCAAGATACACATGGCATGAAGGGACACAGCTACGAAGCATCGTCGATCCCAGTCCGCAGGCGAAGATGTAGCCTGGATTGATACCTGGAAGGCTGAAGGAGCCTCGGGATCATCACCGGTTGGCCAATATTTCTATCACCCTGGCTTCGGCAATACTCGTCAGGAATCCTTCCGGCGCATTCCTCCCAAGTATCGTCCGTTTCAGTAGAGGACCCTTGTCCGATATCTGAAAACCTGGGAATTGATATGGCCATTTAGTCTCTGAAGTGTACGATGAAAGATCGTCAAAACACTTTACTAGAACAGGCAATTCGTGACACTACCTATTCTAGCTAGAGGGGGAGAAGATGTCACTGGATATCAAGTGTGAGTGGGACCAATCTAGGTTGAAGCGAACCATGGAAGAAGCGAAAGAAGATCATATCACAAGAGGAGCTAGTTGAGTACGGTAGGAGCCGCCCGTAGATATTCCGTTGGGCACTCCGAACCACGGATTTCTTGAAATGGGTTAGCAATAAACTATGGGACCTGGAAAAGCGAGGCACCTTCTGATCCGACAGACCAATCCGCGACGCAGTCAGTGGACGTCTATGCCCGATCAGGTTATGCACAAAGGCCCCACTCGACAGAAGAACCATCCACTTATTTTATTTATTTGTTTATTGATTACTGAATATTATTATTATTATTATTATTATTATTATTATTATTAATTCAACCCATAGCGGAGTCAGTAGGGTATCATTTCTCTCATAACTTGAAACCGGTGGATCCTCACCTCTCCAGGTATTTGCAGATAGCTCTTCATTGGTACGGGCTTGAGGTTGCGTATCCCGCGGTCGACTATCATGCCAAAGTACCACTTCGCCAGACTTCTGGCTCAAAGCTTTGTCCAAGTGGCCAACAAACTAGGTAATTGCCTTCAAAAACATAACTCGATTTCCTTCTTGCCAGTCTCCATACATGGGGTGATATTGCGACCGTGATATGAGGCTCTGGTCAGTCACTTTTGAGCTTTTTTTCCTGTGACCCGCTTCGCAGGATTTTCCTCACTTGGACTGGCTCCTTATCGTTTTCCTTTTCCTCTTTCCTCTCGCGGGAAATGCTTCGCTCACGCATCATGGTTCGCTGATAAAATCCGATGATTAGTTAACCAGCGAAGATCACTGACTAACATTTTACATAATCCTTCACAGCCTCAGGCAAGGCTGACTGACTCACGGGAACTGCACTTCGATTTGAGCAGGAATTTCTTCATGCATCGATTTCTATTTTTACACGATCTCGAACCTTATCTACTCTGACTTCCAGGCTGAGCACTGCACAATGATCACAGTGCTACTCTGGAGTAAGCAGTAACAACCTGAACTGGTATCCTCTGTGATTGGATCAGGCAAGAAACGGGCTGTTTCTTTGTAACTGAGTGGGCCGCATGATGGTTACCCAAAAGAGTATGCAATTTGAAGTCAAGACCGTCGGGTCGGAGATAGGGTCAACGCCCCCATGACGTTGATCAAGAAATGCAGTGACGAGAACATCAAGGGATTATCACCGAGCCGAAATCACCTGTCAATCAAATGCCAATGATTAGCGCATATGGTCGAGACCTGTCGGGTCCGAGTCCGGAGACGTACTCCATCTCTCCGGAACTATTGGTTTACGGCAAAGACTAAGTGTCACGTTACTGTTTAACCTACCCGACGTAGTAAACCTACCCAGGAAGAACCTGGAGCTATGGACTTGAACTTTGAGGGTTGGAACGCACGGCCGACCCGGGCCAGGTTCTGGCTCCGGCGGTGGATCCTGCCATCACGGACTCTAGTTCCCTGCCGCAATTCCGATCTAAAAGGTTAGTACGGACTGCTCCCGAGAATTTCGAAGTTGTGTTCGCTTGTATGTGCTCCATATAGGTGTAGGATCGAGGGCACAACTCAGCAGATGTCGGTGGACTTGAAACGACATCAAGTGATGTCGATAATAATGCCCCTAAGTGCTCCGGACATATTCTGTACATGCACTTCCTCATGCCAAAGCAGATGAGTGCGTCCCGGTCGGCTTAGCATTCAGGGGCTTGTCCAATCACCGCCCCCAGCGGGTGTTGGCTTAGCTAGTCTACTACAGGTTAGTGCTTAATATCGGCTCCACCCCACTCGGTGGAGATCAATCAGCACATGACTTTCAAGATGCATAAATACGGTCTATTACCAAGTTGACGAGCACTTGTTGCTTGGTACAAGCATCATGGGGACCGCATACATCCTGTTTCCCGAGCTCGTGATGTGATTGGGCAATAACATCCGTGTATGAGAGTGGTCGTTCTGGAATTCCAACTCTGTTGAGCATGGCATTCCAAAACCGCAAGGTTTCTTACTGCAGTAGCGTGATGTTACTACTAGTACTCCCCTTACGCGGAAGGATCATCAACGCTGTGATGGGCCCCTTCCACGTGATTGTTCTCGAACCAATGCAGGCTGCATGATGTTCCCATGGCATCCCGAGTGCTGGGTACTCGTGCTACATCGCAGTGGTACTGGAGGCTATCGGGGGCAGGTAATGCCAGTACTACTAACAGCTAACCTATTACTAGTAGTGCCTACAACTGTACAGAGTAGTGTGCATAAGCCGTCCCTTCCGGGAGCGCCCCATTGGACACATCCGCCAAGCATTCCCTGGATGGGTTAGGTTCTAGCATACCTTCAAATCCAACACGCTTCGGTAGACACCTCAGGTGTTTTATGCCTCTGAGTTCTACGCATTGTCTGGGCTAGAGCCACCCCCTCCCCCCTTCTCAGAAAAAAAAAATACTACGCAAATACAATGGGCAATCTCTATTGCTATGCTAGTAGATTGATTCATTCACGACCGGGAATCTCGAGCCAGGGGAACCAAATGCACCAGGTTGTAAGCATTTAGCTGTCCGTCACCATCTTTCGGCGTTCAGAAGACTCATGGAAAAGCCATAGAAGCCCGCTTACTATGGAAGTTGGTACGCATGCATTACTCTGCGTCGCGCAGGATTCTGATATATTTCCACCAACCTTGGCTCCCGGAAGCTGCTCCGTCTGCGCAGAAGATTCTCTCGTTTACAGCATATCCCTTTAGAAGCTGATAGGAGCTGTACGCCAAAAAAGTACATTAAACTTGGAAACAGAAAGTAGTTGACCACCGGATTGTGGTTGTCAACCCATGGGGTACCCGCTCGCCTGGAACTTGAGATTCCCCAGAATTACTCCGTACACATTTTTTCTTCCCCGACACCTCCCTAGTCTTCCCCACCTTGAGCCATGTTCCGATTGTGTCATCTGGCTAACCGGAAGGGGACCTTCATCTGAAAGCCGTATATTAAAAGGGAAACCTACTTATATGATCTATCCCTCTTTGGTTCGCCGAGATTACCGTCTGCCAGGCAATGATCAACTAGATCGATGAAACAAGCTAAAGCACACGTTGTTGGGACGGACCAGAGGACAACTTAGTCGGACATACTGCGGAAATATGGCCGATACTGACCCACAGGGCTGGGTCAAACCAAAATTTTCTTTGTTGCATTGTTGACGAGGAGCTTGAGAGTTTGAATTCTGGGTCTCCTCTTCCGTGATTTTCAGTGCTCCAGAACATGACCCCGCGGGATCAGGGAGCCCTCGGGATGAATGACCCCCCAGGCGGAATATCCGATGAGTTTATCGGCAAGGCCGATACTCACATTACTTTGTGGGAAGTGATTGGCCGGTAAGAGTAAGGTGCTTATCGGGCGCTTCCCGATGCTGCTAATTCCTCTCGACAACGTTGGCACACGTGGTTTTCCCTGGATATGCTTCCATTCCAACGGGAGGGATGTATGCCGTGTAAGCAGACGCCAATCAGCAACCATGAATCAATTCCGTGAAACTCGGATAATGTGGATTCTGTGTAAGGAGACCGACGGGTAGGATAGGAAATCAATTCCCTTGGCAGGCAGACTCCCAAGCATGGGGAAGAAGCCTTGGAACTGACCACACGATCGACGGTAGCTTTCAAGCTGAGGGAAGGGCAAGGGGAACCGCCTTCCTTGCATTTACGACAAGTGCGCGACTAGACTCCATCGGGTAATAGACCAGTGATCAGAATGTGACCATCAAACACACACACACATATACTCCGTACACATGAGATGAATCTGCCCTACTAACAAAAGTAAATTTAAGGAGCCGACACTCAGATCGATCGTAGTTGCTATGACACTGGCCAGGCGACGGGAGTGGAGACCTAAGCATTCGACGGACGCACCTGTCGGACCGCGTAAATGGTTTCCGACCAAGGAGACTAAGGCTCAAAGCAGAGAATGAACAACTTTTGGCTATCTTGGAGTTTTCTTGACCCCCTGGGCAAGTGGGGCACACACACCGTTTGAGGGGCTTTGCTTTGCACGCTCTCGCCGGCGAGGGTTTACCATGACAAATTCCATTCGTCCAAAAGTCTATCAGCATTCCAATGGGCAATGCTTACCCATACAGAATACACAGTGCTGATTTATCCGAGGGGGATGTGGTTATTAATAGCTTTTAGGTTATGTATTTCATTTCTTAAGATTTATGTTTCTTTGGCGGTGCTATGGCGATTATTGCAACAATTCAAGGTTGATTTCTTCTTTTTCCTTTTCCGGCTATGATGCAGATTGGGTCGCGACTCGCGATATGCGACTCTTTTTCTTCTGCAAGCTGGGTCTCAAGGCCAGCCAGCTGTTCGGTGTCAAAATTCAATTTGACCGACGGATGGGTTTCCACATTACAGACTACGGGAGTGGTTCTGGATCTTGGCTGGTTGTGGTGGGTCGTTGATATTTAGGAGGTCAAGTGCATCTCTAGAGAGTGGACCTTGTTGAGGCTTTAAACCTGAAATTCCACTTGTAGTTTGGAAGTTGTAGTAAATTACCTTATGGCATGGTGGGAAAAAGCAAAAAGGAAACTAAAAAAAAACAAAAGTCAAAGAGAGAGAAAAAAAAAGGGTAGAAAGAGAGGAGCCGAACGAAGATACGAGGGAGCCAATCACGGGGTAATCCTCGAACCAACACTTCCCACTAATACTCCATACATGCAGCTGAATCCCAACTTCTGCTGTGATTGATCATTATTATTATCCTTAACAACCGTACCGGTTGTTATACGCCTATCTGCCAAATCTTATGCTACATATCGGTGGCCTGAAATACTACTTGTGATCAGATATATTTGTCTAGTGGTGGTGGTTTTGAAGTTACCAAAAATCATTGGATTAGGGCTCCAGCTACTTCTCCGACTAGTCATGGTAGTGATCAAAAATCAACCCTCGTACCCAGTGTTAGGGTTGTTGAAGATGCTCGATATGACCCGAGAATGGTCCACGTTGAGTCTGGCCTTCATCTTCTCCTGAATCCTCCTTTCTCTTCTAACCCAAATAGATTGGTTTAAAATGAATTACAGGTCAATATTTCCGGATCATCGTGGCGCTGGGGAATGAAGATCCAGCAACCATGGCTCTGCTGGTGGTCTCGCGATGCAGTGGAATCACACCAACAGAAAGCCGTTGAAGTGTATTTGGGCCTGATCCCTGTCGCTCTAACTTTTAGTCGACCCAGTGGTACCGTTCGAATTGACTACTAACGAATGGAGTAAGGGTGTAATAAAAATAATCTGTCTGTCAGGCATACTTTCCCCCAACTTTGCGCCTCAGCCGCACCAGTCAATACGGGTCTTGTCTGTTGGTTTTCCAGTGGATTATACACCCATGCTTGTTTCCCTTCAATCAGATCCCTGGCTTCTCACGCCGCATGGCAACTGTATAAAAAAGGAAAAAGGAAAAAAGAAAAAAAAAAAAAAAAAATCGAAGAAGAAAAAGTGGGAAAAGGAATGAAAAGAAAGCGGTCGAAATGTATTGGAGAAGGATAAATTCCCAATTGAGAAGGCCTAGAAATGTTGATCCTGAACCTGCCGCGGTTTTTTGCTTGTGAGCTTCTGCAGCTTAGCTATCTGAGGGAAGACACTTCGAGGAACACCTGTCCATGTATACTTACACATACATACATACATAAAGACATACATAACATACAGAAAATAAAAAAAAAAAAAAAAAAGGAAAAAAGAAAAAAAAAAAAAAAATGAAGAAGAAAAGAAAAAAGAACTAAAATAACATGAGTCCAATTCAGTAAACGCAGAAAATAATAAGTTACTGTTCCAGGATTGTATTTTTATCCATATGATTTTGACTCATTTGAATTTAATATCATTTTCATTTTTTTTTTTCTTTTCCCTGTTTATGATTTTTAATTTCTTTTCCTTTTTATCCTCTTAATTCCTGGTTAGCTCCGTAAGTGGATGCATGTCTTCTTGAGGCTTTTCATTTACATAGCCATCATGTTCTCCGGTTTATTTAATTTCTTTTGCCCTTTGGTATGATCATCCTGCAGAGCGATCAGCACTTGTTCGCTTACCCTATCTATTTGTGATTGTGCTTGCTATGTTTAATGACAATCCTATTATTCTCCCAAAGAACACACCCCCCGGTTTAATTTAATTCATTCGTCTTATGAAAAAGACTAATTATAATTGATATTCATATTTATTGATTTTTTTATATTTTTTTTTATTTTTTTTTTATTACCGTCATCGCCCGTGCAAGGGTCTGCAGCAGATCTCTGGCGACACCATCTGACTCGGTACCTCGCATATTCCACTCTGACGGTTCTATATCAGTTCCTCAGCATCCTCAGCACTCTACTGCCATCATTCCGACTGTTTCAGATTGTCTCTCTTCGTCTCCCCTGGATCTCACTGCATCAATTTGACTTGCATATGCGAGGCATTTTTTTATTTTTATTTTTATTTTTCGTCGGACCGTCTGATCTCATCCATTTCCGCCCTATAAAATTATTTCTATACTAGACAATATACGAACCTGCATCACAGCCCACCACCATCCCCACACGCCCCCATACCACACCGTCTTCTGTTTCTGACAGGCACCTGAGTCGTTGCATCATGGCTAGAGGATCTGCCCCAGGAACCGAAACTATATCTTCTCCCCACTCGCCTATCCATCTGTCAACAGTCCTCAACTCTCCACGCACTTCCTCAACAGCAATGACTTCTGCCCCTTCCACTTCTCGAGCACAGAACAAGTCTTCATCTAAGAAGACTACCACCACAATGCGCCGGACCAACACTCAAGCAGAGATTCCTCTTCCAATCACCTATACCCCAACTACCCATCGCATCAGTAAAGCGAAGAAGGGGAAACGGGTACACGCCTGCGAGTTCCCAGGATGCAACAAGGTCCGTCGACCCCTACATTCAAACGATTAACCCCGACTAACCTCCACATAGGTCTTCACCAGAGCGGAACATAGACGGCGACATGAACTCAACCACAACCCTGAGGCCGTGTTCCGTTGCACCCACCCGGGATGCAAAAAGGCGTTTCACCGTCCTGACTTACTGGCACGCCACGTAGAAAGACAGTGAGTCTGACTTGATCTTGAGTATCGGTTGAGTACCGGCTAATGAACGATGTTCCAGTGAAATTGAGACTCAGATGAACAACGCGCAATGGGGACGACAGAGTCACATCCCAATGGTATCTGAATCTCATTACTTGCCCAAGGCCGCACCCATTGATCCCAATGCGGGCCACTATCTTGCTGCAACTCAACCAACGACTTCTATGTCAATTGGATCCCTCGTGGCACCGCCTATTCATCCAGACCTAGCAAGCGACAGTGGTCTCATGTGGATGGGGATGAACATGCCGTCGGAGCACCAAACGCCCCTCTACCCCCCGCACCACATTCATGAATCTATCGAGGACAGCCAATTTTATTCGAGCCCTGAGGCTTGTCCTTCCCCTTGTTCAGACGGTGCAACGCTATCCATCCCGTCTCACCCTCGGTCATCCGTGGCTTCGACGCCTACAGCGGTTTGCGACCAATACCCGGAACCCATCATCGACAGCGAGTTATCATCCTCACCAATGCCCATGCATGCAAGCTTGCGGTGCTGGGACCAATCAGAAGGGCCATTGGCCACGCCAAGCTATGCGCCTGTCCCTCTGAACGATGTAAGCCAACCCCAGTCTATAACACCAACAATAGAAAGCTGACTAGGAAGCAGCCCTTCCACTGCCAATACCCATCGCCTACCTGGCCAGCCGCACACCATTTCAACTATGATGAGCCCGCGCTTCCATCTGGGACACAGTTCCCTCCTCCAGTGTCCTGGAAGTCATTCACGATTTGAGGCCAATGCAGAAACTTACGATGACCATAAACCAATCGCACACGCTACCATTGAGACACATTGACGCAAAACCGCCCCAATCTTGATTCTACTGTACGATTTTTCCTGCTACTCGCTGCCGCGCACATTATACCACCGACAAGCGAGACGGGCGTTTTTTGGAGGAAACCCAAGGGACCACCGGAACGGATTGCACGTCATTTCTCCTGCTGTACCACCAGTAAAAAAACAAAAACGATTCCCGAGAAACGATCACGGTTACACAAGCCGTTATCACTCAGGATGACTTTCCAGGCCAAATTAAGATGGACCCCACGAGATCCAGGACTTACTCTCGGGATTCTAAAAATGGATCCGAGGAACATTTCGATTCCACCCGCGGCCTGCTACTGTGTTACAGAACCAGCACGATATTCTTTTCTCCTTCTTCTTCTTCTTCTCCTGCGCCATCCCTGATGGCCTTCATAGGGCGGCGGCGCAACTTTGGAAAACATAAACGGGTTCTTTTTTTTTGGAGGGAGGGAACGTATTTCCTTTGTCACGGCCGGAATTTCCTTTGTTCTTCTTGTCTTTTTTTCCTATGTGCTGGAAATTCTCCTTATCTTATGAATTGATGTATTTCTATACCCCAGGCTGATTGGCATAGTATATATTGCTGCTCTGCCCTTTTTATTTCAAACCAAATATATCTAGACTTTTGGTCCACTTTGAAATCTACCTCTTCTACTCGATCATGGTTACCATCCTGCATCTTCCATACAATGTGTAACTATAGTAATATCCTACCTCAAACCCACAGTGTAACAGTAGCACCCAAATACGAGATCCCCCAGTGAAACCCAAACTCGAGTCTAATGCAACATCCACAAAACACAGAACCACATATACAGTGTGTGTGTACGTACGTACGTACGTACATACTCGCCCTCAAACTGAGGCCGGGGGAGGGGGGGGAAACGATCTCCTCCTCGCGAGATAGACCTAAGCTCCATAGCCCCAATCCTTCCGAACTCAATACCAACCACCTCTGTTCCAACAACACAGCCTCCCCGATGCAGAATCTATTTCCGGATCGGATACGCCTGAAGGATCATTAGCCAGGCTTTCCCCCGAAGCTTAATGCTAGATTGCCTTTTTGGCATGCGGGGTTCTTGGCTGGGTTGGGAATTCGGCTGGGGAGTTGCGTTTGTTTCGTGCTATTTCTGGGAGCTTTGGGGTTGTTTGGTATTTGCAGGGTTGGGGTTGCTTTTTTGATGCGGTTGAATGGGTTGATTGATGTAGATGTATGTACGATGGATGCTTGTGGTAGAAAATCAATTGCTAGCTATGCGATGCGAAACTTGAAACAAACCCCTCGACGTCCGAGTCACTTGTGTAAGTCACTCTGGGATGGAATCACTCTCCAGCACCATCCACACCAGCTTCGATGTTGCCCAGCCTCTTCACGTGCCAAATATTGGCCTGTTTCTCTCTCATCCTCGTGTTCAACGACACAGGCCCCCACCAGAACCCGTTTCTTGGCTTTATGTTTGACCACACCTCCAATTCCGATGATCTCTTGTCGGAAATACCCGGGCTCTTCTTCTTCACGGCTGTCCCGACGGTCGTTCGGATGATTATGTGATCCCATATTTCCATATCCAGTTCCGTGTGGACTGCCTGAAGACCCGTCTGCTTCGCATTCTACTTCGAGCTCGATTTCTTGAGCCGCCAAGCAAGTTTCTCCACGACCGCATTTGACGCCCTGACAGCCCTCGCCAATACCAGTGCCTAGCCCTCCCAGGTAGGTACTGTATCTGGTCCGCCATGTCCATACGCGGCGGTACGTTGTGTCACTGTTACGTACGAACATTCCGCACTGATGACAGAGCCAGACGGAGTCTGCACAGGAACAAGGAGTACGCTGAAAAGCTTCAGTTGTAAAGCTAGGCTGCTCGGATGACAAAGGCTGAGTATCATAGGCAGATAGGCTCGGAGGAGACAAAGCAAGAAGATCGGCTAGCGGGGCTGTCTGACAGGCGTTGCAGAGACGACGGATGCGGTTCTTCAGCATATTGCTGGTTGGTGGTTTTGCTGTGCAATTCTAGACAGGGCTGTTAGTATTGCTATGCTTTTGGCGATCCATTCTAATCAACGTACGCGACAAACCACTTTGGAGCATCGCCGACACTCGCCAACCATGTCTCGAGCACATTTGGCAACTTTGCCGGCAGTTAGACGCCCAGAGCCCCTGGCCTCTTTGCTCAGAAGTCGGATCACGGACTTGACGCTGTCGGGGATCGGAGTACCGCTACGTAGCAGGTCTGACAGCGTCTCGATGTATTCATTCTCGCAGCGTAGGGTTTGCTTGACTAGTTGGTGGCGGTAGGGTGCCAGGTTCGCATGGAATTGGCGGCATGTCCGAGATAGGGCGTGCAGCGTGTTGAGATCCACTGATCGGGCGATTTCTTTAACGATCCTGAATCTTCTAGTCAGCACCACAATACCGAACCAGACACAACGTGACCTGGTTCACTAGTGTTGCGTACGGATAACAGCCCAAAGCAGCGGAGAAGGCATTTTGATTTTGATTTTGTTCTTCCAATTGAGACTGTGAAGCATCGCGTGTCGGGTCGGTGGAAATATCATCGTCAGTAGGCAGCTTTGCGGACTGTGGAGCTCCGACAACCATCAACTTGGACAATGTCGACTTCCCCGGTTCAGCGAAGAGATGCGGCAAAGCATCGGGCCCATGCGAGAACTGATTCTTGCTGAATGTATCATGGTCCAAGTCCACGAATACCACCATGGTGTTGTGCTGAGCAAGTAAAGAAAAGATCTAGATCCGCACTGCTGATGGGAGCAGAAGAGCTAGTAGAAGCAGCGCAAAGTTAACAAAGCGAATACTAGCCAAAATGCTTAAGGATGCAACAGAGAACCTGAGCTTCTCTTGCCTTTAAAGCTAAATTATGAATTAAAATAAGATACTGCTACGCGGTGATGGAAAGCAGTGGATGACGCAGTTGCTCTCCGTCTTCGGTGCGGGACCACAGCAACAGAGGTGGTTCGTCTCGGTGATTGAGATGCCGATGAGAAAAGTCTGGGTCGGATGCTTCTTTTCGCGTCTATCCTGCCTGATTTGGACTGTACCTGAACAGAATTCCAGGGGACAGTGGATAAGCTCCAAAGTTTCCTCCACCGGCTTGTAGTGTAGTTCTTTAGACAATATCTTATCGATCGATCAGTGACATTAATCTTTCGGGATCACGCGCGTGCATCTGACAGGTTGGGGTCACGAGGCGGCGCTTTCCTTGATTTGGAGACATCTACTCCACCTTCCAATTTAGGAAGGTCACAACTGAAGGCGCATTTTCTCCGAATCCTCGGAAAGAGTCCTTCTCTTTCAGTCTATTACTCGCCCTCTCCAACAGAGTCATGTTGTTCATATCTCGAGCCATATCCAAATGATGGTCAATGCCATGGTCATCGATATGCTTCAGTGCCTTGTCATATGGGCTGACCTCGTCTTTCTTAGCCTATCAACGACCCCAACCGCGCACTTAACCGATAAGATACGATGACTCCAACTATACGGTGCTTTCCGAGGACAGGCCGGCGGGGTAAAGGAAACTACTAATATGGGGAAGCCTATAACTTATATCTCGGCCGAGGGCCCCTCGACCGTACTAAAGCAACACGAGCTGCTTTCCCTTTCGCGCTGTGTATCCTTTCTATGGGTAAGACCTCGTTTCACGACGACCGCAGAAGCAATTAGTTCAATCCAAAATGCCCCTCAACTCGAAAGCAATCTACTCTAGACTGAACCACGACTTCGTCCCATTCAAGAGTCGGAGAAGTACTGTGCATAGCACAAATGGAATCGTAACATGTACCCAGCCTTTGGCAGCTGCTGCGGGCCAAAGAATTCTGCAACAGGGAGGAAATGCTGCAGTACGTCTTTATACTCAATTCTTCTTCCGTCTGGAGCATGCTAACGGCCAACTAAGGATGCTGCCGTAGCTGTGGGTACGTATTGTTAATTTCATCGGTCTAATGAAAAGAAGCTGATTTATTATGATCGATAGCCGCTGCATTGAACGTCACCGAACCCTCATCGACGGGTATTGGAGGTGATATGTTCTGTCTCTTCTACGAGGCCAAAACGAAAAAAGTTCACTCCCTAAATGGATCTGGGCGGTACCCTGCAAATGTTACGCTAGAGAAAATTCGGAGTGACCTGAACGTCGGCCTAAACGATGCTGGAACCATTCCTATGAAGAGCGTTCATGCGGTGACGACTCCCGGCGCAGCTGCAGGGTGGGTTGACACCATAGAGAAATTTGGAAGTGGTAAACTGTCTTTGGAGCAGATCTTACTTCCAGCTATTGAACTTGGCGAGAATGGTTTTCCTGTATCCGAATTATCGTCCTTTTTTGTAAGTGAAAGACTTCTTTGGTCACTGAACCTTGTCACCCGAGACAGGGAATGCCATATCATCGCAGAATATGGACTGATGGCCAATAAATGACAGTGGCGAGAAGGTGAAGATCTCCTTCGAGAGGCATCTCCGAATTCACATGAGATGCTCAAGCCAGACCAGGAGGCTAAAGATGGGGTCAGAGCCCCTCTTCCTGGTGAAATCTTGAAAAACCCTACGCTGGCCCAGACCTTCCGATCGCTTGCAGCAAATGGCAAGAAGGGATTTTATGAAGGGCGAGTTGCAGAGGAGCTAGTGAGAGTTGTGCAAGATCTGGGAGGCTACCTTACTCTAGATGATCTGAAATACCATGCCGAAACTGGGACCCAGGAGACGGAGGCAATCTCCCTTAAGTTCATCGGACAGAGCATTGCTGAGAAGCAGGGTGCAGGAACGGATGGTGAAGACAACCAAGGAGTGGAGATTTGGGAGCACCCACCAAATGGACAGGGAATCGTTGCTCTCATGGCGTTGGGCATCCTTGAGGAACTTGAGAAAATGGGCAAGATTCCGAAGTTCACGGAGGACCAGCATAACTCTGCTGAATATCTTCATGCAATTATCGAAAGTCTGCGTATAGCGTTCGCTGATGCCTCTTGGTGGGTCACGGACCCCGATGTCGAGAAGGTACCGACCAGCGAACTTATCTCCCCAGCCTACTTGGCCGAGAGGGCAAAACTGTTCAACCCGGATAAGGCGACTGATATCCTTGACCACGGCAGCCCAGCCCACAACCATTGCGATACTGTCTACTTTGCAGTGACAGATAAGGAGGGTAACGGCATCTCATTTATCAATAGTAACTACGCCGGATTTGGCTCGGGCATCATCCCCAAGGGTTGTGGGTTTACGTTGCAAAACCGAGGAGCCAATTTCTCTCTTGTGCCGGGCCATCCAAATGTTCTGGCTCCGCGGAAACGGCCTTACCATACCATTATTCCTGCCATGATCACCAACGTCTCTGATGGATCTCTACACTCAGTATATGGTGTCATGGGTGGCTTTATGCAGCCCCAGGGTCATGTTCAGGTGCTACTCAACATGCTTGCATTCAACTATCACCCGCAGGCGGCATTGGACGCCCCGAGGATTTGTATTGCTGCTGGTTCTCCGGAGCTAGGAAAACCTGTAGATCGCAGTGTCTATATAGAGGAAGGAATCAGCGACGAGGCTGTCGAGGGCCTGAAGCGTCTCGGTCACCAAGTAAAGGTACTGAGCGGATGGGAGAGAGGCATGTTCGGTAGGGGACAGATTATTCGCTGTCACCACGACGATGGGCAATTGATTTACAGCGCAGGAAGCGACCAGAGAGGAGATGGAATGGCCATCCCGGTGCTGTGATGTATTGTAATCAGTGGCAATCTAAGTCGCAAAATACCAAGCTTACATTAGTTATTTCCCAGGAACCTTCTGAAAAAAACTAGTGAGAGCACAACGGAGTCTCTTTCCGTCTCTACAACCTGTGTAAGCGTAAGCCAGGGCAAGTGAAGCGAGAGAACGTGAGCCAAAATTAAAAGCACGTCATGACCTAGGCGGTGGGGTGAGATAGGAACTAGTAATCTAGGAATGATGATGGTTGGTTAAAATGCAAATGTACTATTTGTTTGTCTCTTTGGAATTGCCCTCGCCATTATCATCACTACTCAAGCTATGCCGTTCGACAGAGGCTAGCTACATTTATTATAATTCTCAGTGGACTCGAGATCATCAACAGCTATGCGGGGGGTGTTACCTCACTCTACCTCATTTGATAATACAAACCGCCAGGCAACTAAAACATCTAGCCTGCCCTTCGACAACACCAGTCAAAGCAATCACAGCACTGGCAGGTGCCTACGTGATTGGTCTTAACGAAACGGTTGAGATTGTACGGGAAATGTTTTCCGTAGATCTTCGCTGTGGCGGCCTGGTATCGGAAGTGCTCCTGGAGTGGTCTAATATGAAGGTGCTATTTAGGGGCTTTGACGGAAGTGAAGGATCCTAACGGAGCTGTTATGTACAAGAATGTCAGGCTCGGTGTTCGGGGAACTGGGGGGGGGGGGGATTTGTCGTTGAGTATAACTGTATCTACCAGTCCTCGAGTGCCAGTGTTGGACAGGAAATGTGCAATGTCTGGGGGATGCCCAATCTTGGAGCCTTCAAACCAACGAAGGGTATCCACTGAGCTCAAGCTGGTGTAATAAGCAATATTTATTAACAGAAGGATAGCATTGATGTACATATTTTTCAATATAAAACGTATAAAATAAGTATTCATCAACATGAAAGAAAAGTATTCAGACAGGTACGTACATAACAGAAAAGATAACACCTTTGCTATGCTTCCTTTACCTGAACGCTATGCTATGGTTCAAAGATAAAACATAAAGGGAAAAGACAAACAAGAAAGGGGCTTTACATGAAATAAATGGTGAAGGAGAAACAACATAACATGAGAAGAGACAAAAGACCACATTGAAATGAGAATGATTTTGTAATATTGTAGGGGGAAGGAAGGGGGAAAAGCAAAAGAAAAAAATATAGAATATGGGTTTCTAATATGCAGCAATAGCAGACTTAAAAAAGCCTTTTAGCTTGGAACTTCCGCTCCTTGGAGGAGACGGAGCACGTTTGTGCCGATGGTGACGATGATGTCCTTCTCCGCTATGACGGTGATGGCGTTGCTCAGGTTCTTCCTTCGGCGTTGCATGCTCTTCTTCTTCGGCCTTTCTGCGAGCTCTGCGAGCTTCACGTCGAGCCCGATCTTCTTCTTCGGTCTGATGAGATCCGCTGGAGCGTTCAGTGGTGCCTCGTCCTTCGTGAGAGTGACGGTGACCATGGGAGCGGCTCGTGGAAGATCTCCTATGAGGCTCATAGATATTTGCGGCAGCTTTGTCACCGCTTATTTTCAGTAGGGGTTTGGTGTCTGACTCCCCTGATGTCATGTACTTCAGGAAAGCCCTGGGCTGAGGCGCTGAGGGGTGCGCGTGTCTTGATGAGGAGCTTCCGCTTCGCTCGCGATCCCTGCCGCTAGAGTGCTCTGAAGCCTTTGTGCTTGTCTTGACAGGCACAGGTTCTTTTTCTCTTGTAGAACGCTCAGAACGTTCGGACCGTCTCACGCGCTCGTGCTCTTTTTCGCGTCCTGATGAACGACGTTGCTCCCTTTCCACTACAACCGTCTTCTCTTTCCGTCTCTCTTCATGTCTGACCTTCTTCTCATGCTGCCGCTTCGCCTCATCCAAGGCTTCTGCCCACCGGTTTGTAAAGATACCGCCGCGTTTAGTACTCTTCTGTCGTTCCAGCCGAGGCGGATATTCGTCAGATGAGCTCTTGGAATGACCACGCTCACGGTCCATGTCGGCTGTTCGTCGCTTTTTCTTTCTGTGGCCATGAGCCAAACCGGCGGCGGCAGCTCCGGCGGCAGCTCCAGCTGCAATTCCAGCGGCGGCTTCGGTTGTAGTCGAGGGGTCATCTTTGAGTGAGTCAACAGTATCTGGGTATTCGCTTGTAGGATCTGTCGCCTCTTCGGACAACTCTCTTTCAGCAGCTGGATCTTCAAGTACTGGCTCTTCTGCAGGTGCCTCTCCGACAGTTGGTTCATCGGTAACAGAATCTTCAGGAGGTGTCTCATCGCTGACGGGGGCGCGTTCAATGATAATAGGATCAGCTGGTGCAGACTCAACGACTGGAGGGTCCGCTGCGGGTTCCTCAGCCGGCTCAGGTTCTTCAGCTGGAGTGTTTTCCGGAGCGGGTTGGATAGGAGCCTCAGCGGGAGGGACTTCATCGGCAACAGTAGGCTCTACAGTGGCAGGGGTTTCTTCAGCGGGAGCCTCTTCTACCGGGACCTCTTCAACCTCTGAGACTTCATCAACGGGGACTCCTCTCGATACAGATGACGCGGGCACTTCTTCAGCAGCAACAGACCCCCCAGGAACTGGAGCTTCCAGAGCAGGCGTTTCCTCAACCAGAACTTCCTCAACGGCAGCAGGCTCCTCAGGGATCGAAGCTTCGGGAGCAGGAGCTTCTTCGACAGGTACTTTTTCAGCAGGTACTTCCTCAACAACAGCAGGCTCCTCAAGAACTGGGGTTTCAGGAGCTGGAGCTTCTGCAACAGGAACTTCGACAGCAGCAGGTTCCTCAGGAAGTGGGGCTTCTTCAACAGGTACTTCTTCAGCAGAGATTTCTTCAACAACAGCAGGCTCCTCAACAGCAGGAGTTTCTTCGATAACACGTTCTGTTTTAGGAGTAGATACTTCCTCAACAGACTCATCCTCAACCGCGGGAGGTTCTTCAGCAACAGGGGTTTCTTCAGAAGGCACTTCCTTAGCTGCAAGTTGCTCATCAGCAACAGGTGATTCTTCGACAAGGGCTTCAACGTGAACCTCTTCAATGGCAGCAGGTTCAGCCACGGGAGCTTCTTCAATAGTGGATGGCTCGGGAGCTTCCTCGACAGTAGGGACTTCTTCTGCGAGAGGCGTTTCTTCGACAGGGGCTTCTTCAATAGGAGCCTCTTCAGTAACAGCGGGTTCAGTAGGTGGAGCTTCTTTGGCAGCAGGCGCTTCCTCGACAAGGACGTCTTCGGCAGCAGCAGGTTCCTCGGTGACAGGAGCTTCTTCGGTAACATGAGGCTCTTCCGTTGGAGCAGGCTCTGCTGCAACAGTTTCAGTGACAGGAGAAGGATCATCGGCCTGAGGCTCCTCCACAGTGACCAGCTCTTCCGAGACTGTTTCTTCCGGCGAATCTGTAGTAGGATTTTCCTTGGAGGCATCAACTTCCCCCAACAAAGCCTTCTGATCGTCGGACTTCTCCACAGGAGCGTCATTAGCTGGGGAGGGTTCCTCCGAGGCCTCCTCTACTTCCTTGTCTTCTTCCACTAGATCTTCTTGTGGCTCTGGTGTAATAGCTGGGGTTTCAAATAGTGCTTCCCCGGAACCTTCTGCGTCAGAAGTAGGTTCATCGCTTGCTGCTTCTTCGATATTGACCGGAACTTCTGCAGGAGTTTCCTCAGCCGTGGGCTCTGCTGTTGCCTCGTCTACTCCCTCATCAGCCAGTGCTTGTTCAGCAGGTTCCGTGTTGGCCAGCTCTTCAACCGGGCTTTCTTCTTCAGAAGGCTTTTTGTCGGTTGCAGAGATCTCTGGAGCCGCTTCACCAGCATTACCCTCATCCACCTCAGGTGCAGTATCCTCCGTTAGCTCCTCTTTTGGCGGTTCCTCAGGTACCGTCTCCGGTGATTCTTCTGCTTTAGGAGTTCCGTTTTCTGGAGATGACTCGGCTGGCGGTTCTTCAGAGGCATCTGCGACATGTTCGGCATCTTCCGGGGCATCAGATCCATCGCTAGGCTTATTCATAGAAGTATCACCAGTAACGGGCTCTTCAGTAGTGGGCTCCTCTGCCGCAGGTTCAGGATTCTTATCGTCCGTATCAGCATCGGCTCCAGAATCGGCTTGGTCTTCATTGGGAGATGGACCGGTTTCAGTAGCGTCTTCTGCGTTGTCGTTTGTCTCGTTTGATGTACTTGTTGCCGCTTCCGTTTCTGTTTCTTTGATCTCAGGTTCGACTTCTGCTTCAGCGGCAACAGGATTCTCGACCGGTTCCGGTTCCGATTCCCGAGGCGGAGGTGTGGAGGGAGGCTCTTCCACGGTGGCAGCGCCCTTCTTCTTCTTTTTCTTGTTCTTCTTTCCCTTCTTGCCTTTGCCTGAGACAGCGCCTTCATTGGTATCCACAGGCGCAGGCTCTTCGATAGCGGGTACGTCTTCCACAGGTTCTGCTGGGGGACTCTCTTTACTCTCCCCGTCCGCGGCAGCTTCATCAACCACCGTTTCTCCAGAACCCGACTCTACTGTATCCGTAGACTCTGCTAGGTTTGGTTCGGTGTCAATACCAGGGTTGGCGGAAGCTGTACTTTCCTCTTGAGTCTCTGTAGCTGTCGGCTCATCTGTTGACGCCTTATCGGTTGATGTTTCGGTTTCAGGAGCAGGGTCAGGTGGATGATCTTTGGTACTTGAATCTGTCGCTGGACCATCGGACGAAGTGTTGCCTGTCTCATCGGGATCTGCGGGCTCATCTGCAGGCTGCGGAGTAGCTCCAGCATCTGTAGGTGGGCCATTTGTTTCCTCTTCAGGAAGAGCCGGTACTGGCTCGGTCTCTTTAGAGCCCTTGTCAAGGTCACTCTCTTTGCCTGCTGATTCTTCTTCTGCCTTAGCATCTTCACCTACTTGTTCCGCAACTTCTTCATTTTCGGGTGTGGGTGTATCTGAGTCAGTAGAAGGACCGTCTTCTGAGATATCAGTATCTAGAAGTAAGGTCAGCTGACTATATGCACTGGCATTGTCTGAAGCGTACCATTCTTCGGCTCTTGAGAATCCTGCTCTGGTGCGCTTGGATTCAAAGCCTCTGTAGCATCTTGCTCCGCTTCTGCATGCTGAGCCGAGTCCTCAGCTGGCGGCTCGTCTTTCTTGTCGTCTGAGGCGCTCTCATCCTCGGGCGTTTGGGTTGCGTCGTTGGTTTCTGCAGCCGGCTCTCCTTTTTCTTCGACTGGCTCAGCAGCAGCCTCGCCGGGGGTTTCTACGGGACCGGCGGACGGCGTTGTCGCTTCAGAAGAACCTACAGATGTTTAGTAAGGAAACCACAATAAGACAGTGGCCATCGCTAGCAACAAAGTGATCAAGATAAGGGCAGGCGTCAATAATTATGGACCACACAAGATAGTGGATAAAGGGAAAGTTTATGTATGAGCTTACCTGCAGCCTCAGGGGATGATGCAGTGTCAGCCGGGGAACTACTTGATCCTTCTTCTGGAACATTGCCTGCTTCAGCGGGGTTGTTGCCCTGAACATTGTCAGGTGTCAGATCGTCTGTTGATGTAGAAGCGACAGGATAAAATGAAAACTGAAAAGTCTGACGGTCGAAGGTCTGATATTGACGCTCGAAAGTCTGGTACTCAAATTTGGGAAGTTGTGCATACTGGATCGGTTTCCCCATTTTCTGCAGATTCAACCGCCGTGTCCGGGGCGGGCTCGATAGTAGGGCTGTTCTCTGGGTTTGATAGTTGATTGTCGTTTACTGGTAGTCTTTGCTTGTTGTTATTGTTGTTGTTATTCTTCTTCTTGTTCTTTCCTCCTTTCTTGGCCATAGCATCGGATCAGTGGTGTTGTACAAATCTGTATGGCCTCAATTAGAGTGGGAACTGGGCACTAGATATAGATCAATTGAGGGAGCTTTGACCACCCGTCTGTTGGGGTCTAGGCAGGGCCAGGGGCAAAGGGAATAAGAAAAGAAAAGAACAGGGGGGCGACGGATCAAAATGGAGTATGAACCGATATGGAATGTGAAAGGTCAGGTTCGGGCAGACCCTGACGTATTGGCTTGAAGGCGAAAAAGTACAAGCAGCAAATGTGCGCCAGTCCGCAAACAATCCTTTCCGAGAGCCAAGCGAGGCGACGTATCGAACTTCATCCACGACCCAGTTGGACGGGACAATTTCAAGCTGCAGTTCGGGCATGGGGGTTGGGGACATCATTGACGAACTGCCCAACGGCATAATCTCTTATTGGGCCACGTCTCACGGGTCCCATAACACTGTGGACAGACATAGAAAGTGGGCGTATTTCCGGCAAGCATCACTGGGGCAGGGAGAAAACCGGAAGACTGTCATCTGCATGAGAAGCTTGCAGTAGCAAGCAGTGGCGGCGGGCCTGGTGAGGAGTAGATGACCCAGAAAGAGAAGCACCATGCTCAGAATAGAAAATTGGGTACTCCATACAATCTGTAGTATAAGTGGGGGTGGTGCCACTGATCGGTTGGAATTGGCTTTTTTTTGTTCTTTTTTTTTTCTTTTCTTTTTTCCTTGTTATGGGGTCTTTCTGCCCTTCTGTTTTTACTCCACAGACCCTCCATTTGGACTGGAGGCTAACCGACGCGTCATGGTGAAAACCACCAGGGCGGCCAAAAAGGACTGGTATAGAAAAGTCAGGCTAATGGTCGATACCAGACCAACGCAAACGATTACAGCCAACCAATATTGGAATTTTCCGTGAATGGGCAGCGAAACGCCAACCATCTAGCATTAGAGATGGAGGCGAGACGCAAGAATGATGCTAGAAACCATTAGTACTCCGTACTTCATTCTGTGTACTCCGTATGCTGTATCTCTGCTAATCAATCAGAGGATTTCTGCCCGACGCCTGCTCCGGGCAGCGGCAGCAAATTGGACGCAGCGTCCCAATGGGTCCGGGCCATAATAACCCTAACCATTAGGGAGGGATTTACTGCAGCTAAGGCAGATGGAACAGGGCGGACCCTCGAATTACTGTAGCAACAACCCTTAGGGTGGGAGGCAAGTGATGGGAGAAGGATGAAACACAGAGAGAAGTTTAGTTACTTTCTCCACAAACGAACAATTCAGCAAGTGCCGTTGATCACTGGACCGCCGAATGGAGATTAGTGGAGGTCACTGTTTTGTAACCGTAACCACAACACGGCTTCTTCCCGTTCCTCATCAATTGGACGTCGGCATTTATCGCAGAGTCACAAGTCAAAGCAACCTTACAATTAACATTTGATCCTATGATCTTACGCGCAAGGGAAGAAAAATACAATTCGATGAACGCAATTGCAAAAGAACCAAACGAAAATCAGCCGAAAAAGGATCATTACAGAGTGGAGTGACCGATGGCCTGTCGCATCCACAAAGAAAGTGAGGCGCGCTGTTCTGGCGGCCGGTGAATGGCTGTCGGTGCGCCCACAAGCAGATCCATCGATATCGGAAGAATCACAAACAGAATCACTAAATTTCGCGAACGTACCAAACCAACAACGCTAGACTAGATACGTTCCTTGGCTAAGAATTGAAGCTGCTAGCAACTAACCCCTCCACACCGTGGACAACGCCCTCATCGAGATCCATCCCACGGTGGACAGCTAGCGTTCGACGGGCCAATGCCCCTTTCACATCGCGACAGATCTATCGCCGCGAGATTAAAGCTGCCAGTCAGAGTCGGACAGCTAGCAGCTACATCTAATCGACTACCCTAGACCTCTGCGGTACCGTCGAGCCCGGCTGGTCGATGGGGTGCAAAGCATCATGGATGCCCTGACGTAACATGCATGGGCGAGGCACTGCTGCGGAGCGTTTACGGCGTAAGGGAGAATCTGACACCGTCGAGAACCTTCATCGCATAGGGATGATCTTCACGGGCCAATAGTAAGGTGTAGAACCCGAACGTCATCACACGGCGCTCAATGCAGCGGCCCAGATATGTACTTTTGCCTTACGTGAATCCTTGCGTACCATCGCCTGACCCTGAGAACCATGCCAGTAAGTTACTGCAGAAGAATAATGGCCTATGGCTTTGTTACGCATTTCGCCATCTTGGTCCGAGCTACTCTAGCGCTTCTCGGGTCAATGCGTGGCTTCTGTTATAGGCCTAGTTCGTAGTTCCACGATCTATATCGAGAATATACGGGAGAATCATCGACTCCATTTCATGCACCTCGAACATCCGTCTCAGGCAGCATGTGGGTACAATAACTGAATAACATCACCTAGACAACAATAAAGCGAAACTAAGACAGGTCAGATTTGTCTCCATTCTGCTCGTTGTCTCGCCCTGTTGGCTGGCTCTGAATTGGGTGAGGGGAAATAAGCAGCGGTATAGTCGCTGGGATGGAAATTGGGAGGAAATTGGAAGAACTGATTGTGAATCACGGTTGGCAGCTACCTTTGCTCCCAATGAACTCTATTTACAGGAGACTCCGTACTTGATGCTGCCCACTGAGTTGTCCCACGGGCCTATGATGAGAGGGCAGGAACAGGTTACATTCCCATTTTAGGTATCTCACAACATTCACCTTCACATTGACTCTAAAAATAACATGAATCGTGCCTTGGGTATCTTTAAACAGTAACATCATCCAGGGAGCATAACAGTGATTATCCAGACCAACCATGTGACATATCCACAGTTCCAGCCTTATGTACTTGGTTTTGCTTCTTCCAAAGAAGTGAGATGTGAGCGATGACGATCCTGCAACAAAAAAAAAGTAGCTGCTAAATACAGAATGCATACCATGTTTATGACAATGCATACCAACAGCCCAACATGACAATGGACAAGAGAAGAAGAATAATCTTTTGGAAAGTTCTAGAATGCCACGCCTTCTCAAGGCCCACAATTAGACAGCTGGACTCCATGAATCTTGTCAATGCCTGAGTGCATCCATTGACTTTCTCCAGCGAGGCCCGAAGACCTTCATCGCGAACAGAACAGAGCTGCTTAGAAAGGCAACAATCCCCAGTATAGTAAACAACCATCCGTTACCAATGGCGTCAATGATAGGAGCTGTTACCAAAGAACCGACACAGGAGAAGATGTTCCGCATGAAGTTATTCAGTGCAACCCCCGAGGAAGCCTTCTTGGGCATAAATTCCGTCAACATCGTCGTTGCCATGCTAAAAATAAGCATGGATCCTATGCCAAAGAAAAAATTTGCAATCATCTGCAGAAATAGCTCGTTAGTTCCTCTAGCCATAGAGCACGGGATACGAGAGGGGGAAAAGAAATGAACATCATACCGGCGCAAGCCAAAATACACCCCGATCTGCGGTCCAGCCATACCAAATCAACGCAGCAGGATACAAAAGAGCACCCAGCCAGGCATTCTCACGCATGCGGTCTTCGGGGTGGTAGATTAGATTGCCATTCTCATCGTATCTTTGTGCCTTCTTGGCTTCCCGCTGCATGATATTGTCCATCCATCGTCCTCCAAATGTACTGGCTACAACATAGCCCAAAGAGTTTGGGATATAGAGCAGTCCGACAAGGATCGTAGTGAAGTTGTATGGATCGCTCCCGAAAGTGTGTTCAACACTGACATTCAACACATAAAGAGAGCCAAAAGTGATACTCGCGTAGTATACCGTTAGTAAGACTGGTGGGTATCGAAGATAAAGCACAATTTTCAGAGGATCGATGAGAGCCATCTTGAGGACCTTCAGCCACTTTGTGGTGAACCCCACAACCTGCCTGGAAGAGACTCGGCTCAGCCGACGCCCAATCGGTTCCTGTTGCTCGCTACTTGTATTGGGACTAGGGGACTTCGCTGATATCAACGTCTCTGGGAGGGCGAGAAATATGAACGCGACGGTTATGCCTCCATAAGCTGCTAGGAACCATAACGTACTCCTCCACTTCCACCGTTGAGCCAAAGCACCCCCAACTATAGGAGCCACCAACGGACCGCATAATGGGCCAAGGTAGAATATTCCCATCGCACGGCCTCTCTCTTGAGATTCCCATAGGTCCGCGATTGTCCCTGCTCCGACCGCTTGGACCGAAGCTGAAGCCCCACCACTGAGCATCCGCATGACAATAAGCATGGCCATCGATTTGGAAATAGCACAGAGTACATTGAATACCACGAAGAGGCAAAAGGATGCAAGGTATATCGTCCGTCGCCCCAGCCGTTCACTAAAAGATGACCACCATAATGGAAAAATTGACATACTAAGCATGTACAAAGATATATTAAGGTTCGCCACCGTGGTTGTCGAGCTCAACTCTTTGGTGACCTGAGAGAGGGCAGCTAGACGCGGTAAATAACCGTGTCCCATCAAGACCAGCATAAAAAGGGCATCGACTTACGAAAGAGTATTGCGCTTCCCATCGGGGCTGTGGCTCCTGCCCACGCAACAATGAAAGTGATGAACCATTTCTTCTTCCGAGAATAAGTCTTCGGGTTTTCAACTTCAGCCAGGAGCGTGAATTGCCCAAAGAGTCCTCTGCGATTTGGCCTCGGCACCACAACCGCAGTATCGCGGTTTGTGCCCGAAGAAGAGGAATGGCGACATTCTTCATCTTTTCCTTCAAATGCTTGAGGTGGACGGTCCTCAGGTGATATGGACTGGAAATCACTATCCGTATCTGCGGTATTCCTTTGTGGTGGTTCCATCGTGTGCCTCTCACGCTCTCTAGGAGCATAATCTGGCGGTATACCCGCAGATGTGCCTTCTTTTTCCATGGTTCAGCGTTGCTGATATCTTGAGAATGTTTGTCTTGCGCATAAATTCAATAAAGAGTTCACTTTTGGGGAGAGATGTGATTTGATTATGGTTGACGCATATCAAGAGCTGAATTTGCCAGTTACACCTCTCTCTGTGTGACACGTCTAGGGTGGCGATGATTCCAAGGAGTCAACTGAGCCTCACAGCGGCCCAAAAAGAAAGACAACGGCGAGCAGTAGATAAAATGACACGCCTGTGTCAACGCTTTGCAGCGTGAAAATCTAATTAGCGAGATATAAGGATAGCGATATGCTCTATTATCATCCTCCTATCGGACATCGAAAAAGAGGTGAGCGGAAAGACAGACGAGCGAAGCAAAAGGATTAGAAGAGGCAAACAGGGAGAAAAAAAGAAAGTTGATTGAATTTGGAAGCTGCAACGCTTGTAGGATATTTCTTTTTTTTTTTTTTTATCAGCAATTATTATCAAAAAGGCAGGTGTAGATGGCCGATGCTAAACCCCTCTCCAACGCGGGTCGTGCTGATCTCCAGGAGTGCAGGTATGCACTGAAACTTCTGATAACCCTAGCGCCGTTATACCCCGGAGTAGGTAGGTCTTCGCAGTCTCGGTGTATCTGGTCCCTCACAAGGGTGAGTTTTGAGGATTTCTAGAGTATGATTCATATTGATCCAATTTCGGATATTTATCCGCAAAGTAGTATTCAACTTTAGGTAAGTGACAACTTTTAGAAGGTTTCTATGGTGTCATTCAAGCACCGTATAGAATCATGGATAGGGCAATTCATGGCTGCTGGCAACCCTCTCCGCCTACTCCAGAGTATTAATGGAGTAAAGGAATGTGGAACCGAATGTAGGTCAAGATATCCAGTCACAATGAAGTAACGACGTGCCGTTCCATCCGGCCCTCCAGTCGGCAGCCATGTCGGGCCCCGCTTGCGGGTTCTGTTGCGCCCTGACCATGTTTACCGAGGTCAAGCATTCCTACCCCGGACAACACTAGAAGTTGTTATATGCTATATACTAGTGAAAGACTAGAAGAGACACGCCGATGGCTTACCTGGATGTAGTTGCCTCTACCTTCTTTACCCCCTTTCAGTCCACAGCGGCCAGATCAAGAACACCATGCGACGGCTAACTATAGCTCCATCCCAATGCTCTTAACATGGAAGCTGGACTAATCCCTTCTTATTAAGGTTGATTTTGTAGATCTAACATTCCCGGTGACGAATATCATACGAGTCACGGCCATCATCAAAGAATTGTTGGACAAAAACTAGAAGAGCCCACAAATATACGTCTTAGGCATGGATCAACCCTTCAAGTCGCAGATCAAGCAGCTAACAAATAGAGAAAGACTCGGCAGGCACCAGGGTCAGAACCCAAGAATTAACCTACAATGAAAGCTAGTGTAGTGTCCGTAGATCAGCCGGTTATACTCTGTAGCTCATCTATAATGACCTCCGAACCTCTCAAGACCAATGAGAACATTGCCCTAAACGCCCAGATGCCTTCACCACAGGCCTTACTCAGTGCGTCCAGTTAATTTATTTCAAGAATTTTACCATGCCGTAAACAATAATATCATAAATAGAATCTAACCCCTCATTTGAGACTGTCCCAAAATCATACCCCCATCTGGAATACTGCATGTATGTTTCACAAGTGGCTTGGACACAATGAAAATTAAAGGCACTTATTTGAACGTGAACCATGAACTGCTACCAAGGTAGATGCAAAACGCCATTTGAGCACTATCCCGACAAACAACAAGGGATTCTGTTCCCCCTCTCCGCCCCGTCTGCATCGGTGCCCAACAGCAACAGTCGAGGATCCAATGGCCTGCCACCACCACCACCATATACGGGGAAAGCCTTCTTTATACTTCCCATGCATCTTATTTGCCATTCCAAACCCGTTACCAGGAATAGAGAGCGCAACTGATTGGCGCACATTCATATAGAAGACCAATATGGCAGAAAACCACAATATCGCTACTTATGCATTCCCATTAACCACCAACAGTCCAGACCAAACAACAACGACCCCACATCAACACAACCGTGAAACCTCAACATTACATCCTGTCCCTTAACCACACTATATGCTCAAAAATGTCCCCCCGATTCAGACTTGTATTCTTCGCTCCCCCCTCCGCCGTGCCAGCCTGCAAGACAGCGATCTTTTCTGCAGGTGCGGGCCGTTACCCCGGCCAAGGGAACTACACGGAGTGCTGCTGGACCACTCCAGGCACCTCCCAGTTTCGTCCTGGGGACGCAGCGAATCCGCACATTGGGAAGGTGGGGGAACTGGAGACTACGGAGGAGGTCAGGGTAGAGGCATTGTGCGCTAGTGAGGATATTGCCCGGAAAGCTGTTGAGGCACTGAAGAAGTGAGTCCTTGTTGAATTTTCATGGAGGGTGTTTATTCTCGCTTATCTCGTCTCGTGCATTCTCTAGGGCTCATCCGTATGAGCAGCCTTCCTATGGTGTTTATAGAATGGAGGATTTTTGAGTCGTAGCCGACTGTCGTCGTACGCTTGTGTTTTGGAGCTTATCTGTGCTAGGATCTGTGTTTTTGGGAGTGTTTCAAGATTAGACTAAATCATTAGGTTTTATATTGAAACAGTCAAGGCTGTGTATGTCTATCTTCTATCTCACAGTCGAGAGCCGGGTCTATCACCCAAGCATAACTACCGCGTGTTGGAGAAGAAAACCCCCCCCCAAACGAAAGGAAATGAGATCCCAAAAATGCTTCATTAAACGGTTGCTAGACACGAGATATATATATCAAAAGTTAAATTCGCCAAGCTAAAAAAAACAAAGAATTGGCGCCTGTATCATTCGTAGCTGGATCATAGCTCGTAAAAGTACCCTCAAAGTGTACGGAGTAAGCCAGTTTCTATTCCCATCCCATTTCTTTTCTTGAACCCCAAAGAAATGACTTAAATCAGAAAAAGAAATGAAAAGAGAAGATTTGAGACCGCACTATATACTATCACAACTGTATAATTTTGTTGCCGACTCCAAAATCTCGACTTTTCGGGTCCTTCGGAAGCAATGACGGCCGCAAAACGTATACAAACGGAAACAAAAACAACACGTGCCTCATGCAACGTTCAAGTCATAAGAACCTACTCGCTGTCGTTCTGGATTGCTACAGCTTTGTTGTAGGTTTCATATGGGGTAATGGCCCCAAGGGCACGCCGCTGGTGAGCGTTAAGAATTTCCAACCCATAGACAAAGCTGGCGTTGACCCAACCGAACCTAGAAGTCGACTCCGTTAGTAGATGTCTATCGAGAGCCTTGAAGACAAGAAGCATCTTACCCTTCACGAGGTGCACCCTTGAAATCTACACCTTGGTTTCCGTATTCAGCATCGACCCGGTGAGGGTCAATCGGCCGAGTGACGTCGTACTTCTCGACGACAACGCCGTTGAAGTCAACAAAAGCTTTCGTGATCATGTATAGCCATTTGTATGCTAGTCGCTCGGCTTCCTCCTGGTAGCCGTAGCGGAGCAGTCCTGTCCATGCCAGCATCTGCTGCGGTGCCCATCCATAAGGATAGTCCCACTGCCGGTTCGGTCGAGCTAGACTGATAACACCACGCGATTCTTCAGTACCTGAAACCAGGCCGCCGTAGGCCTCAAACTTCGGAAGGGCCTTGCTGACCAGTTCCGACGCCTGTTGAGGGGTGGCGAGACCTGCCCACATTGTCCAGAAGGTTGTGGCGCTCTCATAATTGGTCCGCTCTTGCTTATCTGTGTCGTAGTCGAAATACATCCCCTTTTCTTCATCCCACAGATAGGAGTCCATTCTCATTTTTCTTCTTCTGGCCCTGCGGTCCCATACAGATGAGGACTCACTTGCAATGTCCTTTGACTGTTCAGTACGGAACTCAGGGGGGATCTCTAGTCTATCCTTGAAATAAGTCCGGATTATACGAGCGATGTCCACCTCGTACTTATAAAGGAGAGAGTTCAAATCAACTGTAGCGATATTGGCACAAACCCTCTCCAAACGGTAGCTTGTGTCATGACCAGATTCTCGGACAGCCCTATCATGCAAAAAGTACTCGTCAAGCTCCGGCTCCTTAACAAGGCCGTTATTGTAAGCTTGAACGAAGTCATCAAATTGCATGCCATGCTTCTCAGCATAGGGTGTTAGTAGATGGATGAAGTGCGTTGGTTCAGTTTCTGGCGGTACGCCCATCCCTTCGGGGCGATACCGCGACAGGCCAGAAACTGGATCAAACCGTGGCTCGGCGGTCCAGACACTATAGTATTCCTTGATCGCAGCGAGGATCGAAGTCCGTAGGAACTCCAGAGCATCGGGTTCGCCCTTAATCCGCTCATACACTCTCAGAGCCATATCAGTCAAGAATGGCGGCTGGGAGCGTAGCAGGTAATAGGACCGGTTGGCATTCAGGATCTTTCCATAATGTTTAATACAGAAACAGAAGTTGATCACCATGGACTTCGCTAAATCCACTCTGTTGCTGACCAACAGCCCCAGAGACTCCATATAACTGTCCCATCCATACAGCTCATTGAACCGTCCTCCAGGAACGACAAATGGCACCCCGGAATATTCGATTTTCTGGGTAGCTTCATCGTACTTCTTCTCCATTGCCAAGGCGAGAAGACCGGGTTTACTGTTGAGATCCTTCACATACTCCGGAGTGATATCTGTCTCCAGTACCTGCACATCCAGACGAAGTTCTGGGTGTGCCTTAGCAATCCCTCTGTAATACTCCAGCTGCTCAGGAGCACCCGGTGGGACATAGATACGGGGTCGTGGATCGTCCGTCCAATCCTTGGGATCTCGACCCGCTACCTCGATATTGGAACCATCGATCCGCCGAGTCAGGGCGTTCCAGAAAGAATTCTTAATGAGACGAGAGAGACGAGCGACCGGGTTTTCGCTCAGACGAGCCTCGTCAAGGACAATGACCTTGCGGCCATAGTCCTTAGCAATGGTAAGTTCCTGCAGGAGGTTGGAAAGCATGTACGTTCCTCGCACATCGAATTTGTTGTATCCGGAAGACGCTGCGGTCCCGAGGGAAAGCACCTGTATCGCGGGTGAGTATTGGCATGGCGGGGCAGAGCAGCTCAACGGATCACCAAACCACGCACCTTGGGTCCTACATCCTCAATGGTTATCTGCATGTTCCTGTCCGTATCCTCCCTTTCCAAAAGGTTCTCCAACGTTTGTTCGACATCAATAAGGAATTTGCGGGGTTGAGCCGAAATCTCATCTGTAGACCACGTCCGTCAGTATACCTGACTCAGGGTCGCTACAGATAAGAGAAAAGCACCTACCGTGACTTCCTCTTCTTGCCGGAATTCCCCCAAGGAAATTCTGGATATCCTGGCGATTGAATTGGTTCAGGTTCTGTCATACACACCCGGGATGGTTAGTTGACATGGTTGGCCTTAACTCCGGGGTCCCCTACTCACCGTTGAGAACGCACGTCTGCGATCCTTGATGCGCGCGTTGGCTTCCTCGTCACCATAATAGATGTCGGGATGAGAAAAGGGATCTATGGAGTCCTGTCTGCGGTGGTTCCCATTTGACGAGCTCATCGTCTACAGATTTCTGGGAGGATCGAAAGGGAGGGAAGAGAGCAATGGGAAATCGGGGGGAAAATATTATGAAAGGGTTTCGGGAGAACAAGGATGTTTGGCGGAGCAAAACCAATGGACACACAAGGTCGGTATTGTGGCGTTCAGGCGGTATTCAACGGGTCGTTCGAGAATTCGTTTGGTATTTAGTAACTAGGATCGGTAACTATAGGAAAGAGTTGGACAAAGAAGTTGAAGGTGAAGGCGATTGATTTAGGAATAAAGAACAATTCATAGGCATCTCTTCGCAAATTGGCCACAGCTCTAGTGCGATTGTTGGCATCCTTTTTTAGTAGGATTTAAATGGGTCCTGCGACGTCACAACACTAAGGAATGAATCTATTGAAATCTATTCGAGAATCTTTCCTCCGTGGGACGACTCTTTCTCCCCCTTTGCTTTTTCCCAAGACATAGCGGTGTAGAAAAGATGAAACCAGAAAAATCCCGTGCTCCTCCTGACTCGTGATTGATTTTAAGGGAGTATCCAAGTTGTATCTTCCAGAAAGAAGCCGTCCAGTTCAACCAGCAGGGCAGCAGTGCCAGCCGAAAGGTTATGACGGCATACCCAATGTCATCGCTCCACCGACCCATAAAAATTCAAAGACAGAAGCTTTCTTCCATTGATTAATTTAATCCATAACTTGCAGCTGACACTTATTCGCACGGCCAACCCCCTCCCAACGGGCACGAGGATTTTATTATCTGTGCATTCTTATCTCGGCCTTTAAGTTTCACGTTGCTTCGTAGATTCAGCACTATTGGAGTCAGACGACATCACGCGCTCCTTTCGTCTTATCTATCGAATTCCTTTATTCTCCCTTGGGTTACCTTACACAATACATTTCCTTTACTAAGTGCTTCGCTTACACTAGTTAGCCGGGTTTCATCGCTCTACTGTCAAGGGGGAGGGATCGTAGGCCACCAAGTGGTAATTCTTTGCTGTCTATCAGAATCCATTCGCTCTAAAACATGTGTGGGTGTCTATTCGGGCGATGTATCGTCGTGTGATCCAAAACCGATGCTATTTGGTGTGATGCCGTTTCACTTTCAGGTCTCGGACATCCATCGGATCCAATTTGCCGTCCGTATACAGATTGTCTGACCCAGAATCCACTTGGTCATCAACCAAGCCTTCGTTGGGAAGTTGAATAGCCCGATCTAACTGATAGGGTAGTCCGCGGTTCTTTCCTCGAATCATCATAAGGCAGACAACGACTTTACTGAAAGTCGACAGCTGCCCACTCAAAGAAGTATTGACGCCCGGATAGCCCAAGCTGAGGCCGACATTTGCGCTATAAAACATTAACACCTCTCTGGAGTAGTCTCGGGAGCCCAGTAGCTTACTATGCAGAAATAGCCTCGAAGAAGATGGCAAAGACAGTGAGCCCCTGTTCTTCATCAACCTTTGCTCTATATCTGAACATTGAAGACGACCTTACCGGCTCAGAAGGATCCATGATCCTGTTCGATTCGGCAACGCAGATACAGAATATCCCAAGGAAGATGTACCACAGATCGAAACTGAGTTGGTTTCGCACGTGGGACAAGACGTAAGTCGTAGTGTTACTACTCTCGTCGACCTCGCCATCGCTGGAAAACATTCCAAGTGAACGTTCTTCGTAGGTATTGGACGCACGCATACTAATAGCGATAGGGAATACAGAGATGTACATCATGACGAGTAGGCTGAATTGGACGGCTGGGTTTACATCGGCAAGGTTGAAACTCGATGTCCCCGTATGCCTTGCTGATGCGGCTTGGAAGATGGCGGCCAGCACTCGCGGTCCTCCGGAAAGGGTGTTGACGGCGGGGTTATGCAGATCCAACACAACGATCAAGAGAACGTCGACGAAGTTCAAGACGAAGATAATCCCAAAGAGAACCCAAGTTGGTTTGCTGCGGAAGAGCAGCGTATAACATCGGCGAGGATACTTCAAGAGGTAATCCAAGGGTTCTCTGAGCGACGAGTTCTTTGGAGTACATTTGTACGTAGTCCAAATAATAAGACGCAGAAAAACAGGATATAGATTATTCCCAGCATATGCTAAGAAGGTCATAATCAGCATGGGAAAAGTTGCGTCTTGGAAGCTGACCATGGAGTCTGGGGTGAGGGTGAACCCCAGGTTGTTTGCCATCGTTTGCGCCGCATAAAACCCCCTAAAAGGTGAACATATATGAGTATACGCTAGGCTCTTGAATTCCGTGCCAGAATGCCATGGGAGAATCCTTCAAATAGTCCCATGATCCTGGTTGGTAATATGAGGTATGATACTGCTCGATGATGCACTTACCACCAGATATGATTCTGCCCACATTCCTTTAGGTAGTCCCGGTACTTAGGAGCAGCATACTGTATCCAACCTACTAGACATATTGCACCAATTAGATGAAGGCCGAAAAAGTACCCTACTCTAGAGTTAGTCCAATTTTCCAGATAGCTTCTTCAAGGGTAATATCGGTACCCAGCACAGTTTTGAGCAATATCTTGAGACCCCGATACTCTATACCTCCCAACCTTTCCCGGTCTTGAGCAGTTAGGTTATAGAATTTCGAGTTCCTACCAAGGGTCGCTTCTGCTGAAATACTCGGAAGATTCGAACTCTTAGATAGGGAGACAGCTTCGCGAAGCTGAGAGCCTTGAGTCTTGCTAGGCTGTGAACCAAGCACAAACAGGGAGGAGGCAACCCGTTCGAGCGGATTAGAAGTGTCCCTTAATCGGCGGCGAATCTCTGACCTGGCGTCGTCGTTTTCGACATATTCCGATATCTCTGATGTCGATGAGCCATTTGTCTATCATTCCTGCCAAACAGAAGGAATAAACCAACGTACCATCTTTGCTTGCTCTTTCGTCTACCTCTACTATAGGCTGGCCTTTGTTTCTTTAGCATCGATTTGGTCATCAGGACAAAAGTAAGATTCCTTACCTCTATCACGCTCTCGTGGAGATGGAATATATAGAGCCTTGTTGTTGTCCGCAAAGGAGATGCGACGGTTAGTTGGCTGAATAATATCTGAGTCCGGGCCATCTGGAGGCTTCGAGTCAGTTAGGCTACTTGTAAGATCGGAAGTTTAGCAAATTTTACACCAAGGGCTATAAGCACAAAGCGATGACGGGTTTCACGTACTCTTCTGGCACTGTTTGGCTTTTGCTCGAGCCTGCCACGTGCTCATTGTCCACATTGGTTTTCTCTCTGGCAGTCTGTTCCGAGTCCCGGGCACGGCTGGTGTTCAGGTTTCTGGGTTGTGCCTCCTGGTCATAGTCATACTCCTTAGGATTTATTGAACGTGAACTTGGGCGAAAGGCAGTGGGAGCTATCAGATGATTCGCTTCAGTACATCCCCGATATGAGCACCAAAGAGCCAGTTAAGTACCTGTCTCTTTCAAACGTTTCTCAAACCAGTAGAGTCGCACGATCACCACAAGGATATTGGTGAAGCACATGTTGCAAATGGTGGGAATGAAGTATACAAACAGCTGCTGGTATGTTTTTAGGTCTTTTAGATCCACACTGAACGAAGAGTTGCTCAGCGACATTCTTCTCTGTAATCACTCTTCAAATATTATAGGAAACGGTCAGACCAACACATTAAGTCCTGACACCGTGGCAGAGCTGACTCCGAAAAAGAATGCATCGATCGCGCGCAAATTGCCATAGGGGTAAAGTATAACTATCCCCGATAGGCTGCAGAGAATGATGTATGTATCTATGCTCGTGAGCGAGTAAGTCAGTATGTTACAAAAACACCTTCGGAACCTTCCGACATACAATGCAAGGTGATGAAATTCACCGGCGGCTTCCACATGTTGACTGAAAGCAATTGATGCTGGAGCGATCGATATTCAGAAATTAGGGCACACTAGGGCCAGAATCGCCGAGGGTGAAGCTGCTGCAACCAAAAGCGCAGCACAGGGCCATGGGGAATTCTTCGAGGTCCTGAGGTTTAAATAGCATATAGATCTATATTACAGTAAATAATATGACGGCTCACGTGAAACGCACCAGGGAATTGTATTAAGTAAGTAGTATCAGATTGAGGGATTAATCCAGACCAATTGCGACTGCAGCGAGCCTCAACCCCACGCGATCCGCCGCTCTGGTTTAGATCGGACCCCAGAGGATGATCGCTAACAATATAAGAGGGAATTTTCTGAGCCAGTACTTTCATCGAGCTCAAACAAATCCGCTGCACATCCCGTACAGCCACCTTGACACTTCAGCTCGAAACGAAGTCATCCGTAAGTCGATCTTAATATCAGAAGGGCTGATGGCTTGCCATCCCAAATGAATATGCTTTTTTCCCTGTTCATGGCAGATTGGCGATACTTGCCGCAAACTTCCGTCAATTATGGCATATGTGGCGCCGTTCAGTTGACACTGTTATGTCATGATAGTATGCGCACAGAGCGATGTAGATGCTCGATGATGTCAATAGGGTTCAGCATTTACTAATGCCAGCAGTATATTGGTAGACGCCCGCTAAAAAAACGTGTCTGGCTAGAAGTTTAATCTGCATGGACATTGTACATAAGCCTGCAGGTGAAGATTCAGAAAAAGAAAAGAAATGGTTCATCGATATGCAAATGGAATTTTAGGTTAAACCTTCTGTAACAGGACGCTATCTTGTTCATCACAGGATTGTGGCGTCAATGTTCTTGATATGTACAACAACTAGCCTAGATCTTACAGCTTGGCAGCAATAGCGCTACCACCGTCCAGGGTGATAGTGGCTCCATTCACATACGAACCAGCACGACTGCTCAGGAATAAGCAAGCACCGGCCACGTCTTCGGGGGTACCAATACGGCCTAGTGGAATATTGCCCTCGATCTGCTCCCGATATGTTTCAAGGGTGGCAGCCATCATCTTACTCTGAAAGGGGCCGCAAGCCAGCGAGTTTGATCTGTAGGTGGCTCTATTAGTAGGGCGTTTTATCAAATCAGAAATAACACATACGTTATGTTTCTTCTACCAAGGTGGTTTGCAAGGACTCGGCTCAGATGATGCAAACCGGCCTTACTGGCACTATAAGCAAAGGTCTCAAGTGCTGGGACCCGAAGACCATCGATGCTACCGATATTGATGATGCGGGCTGGGTCGCCCGAAGTGGCTGCCTTCTCCAGCAGGGGGGTAACGAGCCTCGTCAGATCGAAGACTCGGTGGAGGTTCAGAGTGAGAACTCTAGTCCAAGCAGAGGAAGGATATTCATCGTAAGGAGCACCCCAGTTTGATCCCGAGTTGTTCACAAGAACATGCAGCTCTGAATAGTAAATTAGTTAGTTTCAGGACGGCAGCCCAGCCGGATGCGATCTCTGAGTGGCGTTAGCCAAGAACGTACTGCTCTCGCGCTTTCCAAGCTCTTCAGCCAATTTCTTAACATCCTCTTCTTTGTAAAAATCGGCGGGGATGGCGTGTGCCTTTCCTTTGCCGAGCGCATTGAGCTCGTTTACGGCTTTGTCACAGGCCTTGGCATCACGAGACGAGATGTAAACGGTGGCCCCGTTGGCTACGTATCCTTCTGAGATCATGCGACCAATTCCCTTGGCTCCACCGGTGACCAGCACCACTTTGCCCTAGATACAGCGTTCAGTAAGGGTTCAGGGGCTTTCTTGGAGTTTCATAACTGACCTTCACATCGAAAAGGTTTTGGGAATCCATGATAACAGCACTAAACACTCAAGATTGCCAAACTGCTAATGAAGTATCGAAGTATTGTATAGAAATGGAGTTCAGTATATGTTCAAGGTGGGTGCAGTCTGGGTAATGTCAAGGATATCCAGGAGTAGATGGACTTTTGTGCCATACCTACTACTTAAAGCTCCTAGCATCCGACGGCCGAGATTACTGAGCGGAAGATACCGAGGCTGTACGACCTCCGGCGCAGGAGAAATGTTAATGCGATCATTGACATCGTTCTAGATGTCAATCAGCCCAAAAATCAAAGATCATTATAACCCCTCAATGAAATCACAAGAATATCTTATCGGAATTCTTGGGCACAGCTTGAATCTTGATATTGGATTATAAACACTCCAAGTTGGTGTTGAACCAACAGCACATTTGATGCGCTATACCTTTTTAGGATGCCGTCTAGGGCAGCCAGCCCGCAAAAGGTTTGCGGGGCTGTAACAGTTCTGTTAGATCTTGAGATGGGGTAGCAACAACAACATTTCCCACAGTTTCATAGCCTGCGTTCTTTTCAAAAACATTTTTTCTCTTCTTCTCATTTCGATTTCCAATTAGACCGATAAATTTGCTTTTGCTTTTTATCCCCAACAATAATGGAGGAGTTATTAGCGAAACACCGCAAGGAGCAAAAAGATCTCCAAGCACGTATCACTCAGAAGAAGAAATCTGCCACGAAGAAAACCCGCCGAGGAATTAACGAAGAATGCGATAGGCTTCAGAGGGAACTTTCCGAACGACACCAGGCCGAGATTGCAGAGTTAAATGGCGAGCCTGCCCCGCCCATTGATGACCTGGAAGATCTCAGTTTGAATGGTTCGGAAGAAGATAAAACACAGAAAGACCAAACCGATGGTACACAGAACCCCCCATCGATAGACAATTCCCCAGATACATCCTCTGCAACTTCAGAGTCCTCCGCCCCGTCACCGCGACCGAAGAAACCAAACCGCCAGAAGGCTCGTCTGGCACGTCGCGCTGCGGAGCAAGCGGCGCAGTCTGCCATTGCCGCGGAAGAAGCCGCAAAACAAACAAATCACCGTGGAGATGAGCAAGAGGTTATGGATGGCGTTTTTAAACGGTTGGGGTTGAAGCAGGTCGAGATAAAGCCCGATGGGCACTGTCTCTACTCCGCTATTGCCTACCAGCTGGAAATGCTAGGCCTTGGTTTGAAACCTGACCCAAAAAGAATCATTCTTGAGACCCCAACTCAGTCTCGCATCGATACGGTAGCTTCGCCTCAACACGATGGCTATAGAGCAGTTAGGGCAGTGACGGCCGATTTCATAAACGAGCACCAGGATGATTTTTTGCCCTTCATGGAGGAGCCTTTGGAACTATACACTCGCAAGATCAAGCTTACAGCAGAGTGGGGTGGGCAATTGGAGCTATTAGCGATTGCTAGGGCATATGGCGTGGAAATCAACGTCATACAAGGTGATGGAAGGATTGAAAAGATCGAAGGCGATACTCAAGAGTATGATGACGAACAGAAGAGCAAACGTATCATTTGGCTGGCCTACTATCGGCATACGTACGGTCTCGGTGAGCACTATAACGCGCTTATGAAATGATCTCAGCCACACATGCAAGTCCACATACGATTATAGCCTTCGTCGTCGCGAAACTCGGGTTCTGTTATAAACGTCTTTCTCATCAGATACTCATTTTCAAACGAGAATTCAATTCTCCTGCAGATACCCCTTTGTCGTGCCACCCATGGCACTGGAGAAGGATGTGAGGTTCTTCCTCATCGAGATCTCTAGTTTTCCGGCTTCGGTAGGGCCCGATCATATCGACCATAGGCACTGCGGATGATTCCCTTCAAACGGGTTAGGGTTGCTTCCCATGCCTTTTGCCAAACAAAATCTCCTGTTAGGTGGCAGTAGCTCGATTATAGAAGTATTCGGGGCTCGACCGATATCCCACAGAAATATCGATTGTGTTGAAATAACCAGTTTGGACGCACTGACTGGTCAATGCGCGAACATGGTATGGGTTACCAAAGCATTTCTCTCGTTTGAGAATTGGCGTCGCACATAAGAAAGGTATGCATCATTACGCACTTTTATCGTAGACTAGTCCATCGACAAGGAAAATCAACGTAACATTCTTATGCCTGCTAGAACAGGCAGTCTCCCCATCTTGTACGAACGCATGGAGGCACTGTTTCCAACACCGTGAAATATATCGAGCTGAAAATGAGTCGAGCTCCATCCAACATTACAGGCTTTTTCTAGAAGTCTGTTTCCTAGCATGGAAGCTCGAATGTGTTCCAGATTGAGATGTACTCCGTAGCGGCAGACCATTTCTATTGGTCTGTGCGATGGTGTTCAGCCCTGTGGGGTATGTCTCGGCGCTTACTAGTAAGGTAGATGGATGGCAAGGAAAGATTTCCATGAACGATATGCGACACATCGCGTTATTATTCCCTTCCGCACCATGCCAATAGGGTCTCTGATCTAGAGACAGATGTATCCTTCATGTTCAGCAGATCCTATCCCTGATACTCTGAACAACAGCCGTGTCAATATCCAGATTTCCACAGGGTACAGTACCACGCTTAGACAAGGACCTTGAGTGAAGACTGTGTGCTAGGGTGTAAAGGAGCTCGGTCAGGCAGCGTCCGCAAGTGCTCTCTGTATCACGCCGAATACGGACCATTTAATTCTCTAACATGACGATACCTCACATTGACACATGCATTTGTGCCTAGTACTAGTACTGTTCCAAGACATCTACAAATGGAGATTATATTAATTCCTGCATGTGAATTCGCCATCGACCTGCACTCCAGGTTTCAGGTTATATCATTCGTTCTATACGAGGGATTTTCCAGAAACCCCCTCACCAAGCGCATCCCTCTCCCGCTTCCTCTATTAAAGTGATATGGCTCTTCGGTCAACGTCCGAAGATTTATATACCGTATACTGGCTATGATCCCTGCACGAGACACTCTTCGAGTCAACACCGAAACGAAAATAGCTCCTTATTTACCCGAGGCCATTCTCGTGTATCTCAAGAGTGAGACCACGGGCGCTCGTGATTGGTGTGTTGACTACCGAGGTTCTTGCCTCTCTGGGCCTAATCCGATATTGCCTGTATCGATATCGAACTTGGAAGTCAGCTCCGCAACACCCGCGGAGTGTAGGCTAAATTACCGATGGATAAAAGTCATCCATGAAGGTTGAAGTATCAGGGATCTAGAATTCAAGCGACCAATCTCGTTGATGTGATCCTTGTTGTTCAGTTACTAATGCGTGGTTGTGGGGAAGAGAGAAAGGGGAGAGTTGTTTTTACCCCGGAGTCCTGATGACTCAGAATAGCTGGTTTTGCGTAATGTAGAGTACGGAAGATTACTAGAAGTGGTTACCCTTTTGCCTGGCATGTATTGTCACGTACGGTTATTTAGAATAAGCACATGTTTCGACGTCATCTTAACTTTCTTTAAACTACAGTAGTTCAGAGTGATTGGAATGCATTCCGCTGTGTATCTTCAACAAAACAATCAATTGCTTCAAAAAAGGGGTATCCTCCGTTATACAGGTATGATTCAAGGCCCGGTCAGCGATCTCAGAACGATTCCTATTGGGGTGGTTGAATTATAAGGCCTGCAGATACTCATAGTGGCGAATACATCAGAGGTCCCATTAGACCGAGGATCTTCCCAAAGTCTCGATCCTCTCTTCCGAACACAGCACCAGTCACCGTGCCCGACCATCGGCATTGGCTTGTGAATTTAGTTTACGGTAAACCTAGTCCAATGGTGACTCCAGAAGATCCTAGTAACTTTACCCCCGGTTGACGCGAAGCCGGAGCTCTGTGACATTCCTTCTTGTCCCGCTGAGCCGAGCGTTTACCGACGCAGGCCAGCCCTCTGACGCATTTTCATGGCGCATGCAACTCAATAAGTACCTTGGCTTTGGCCTGGTGATTCATTTAGAGCTTCTGAAGAGCAGACTCTTTTTAATCTTTCTCTCCCCCTTGATTTTCATTCTTTCTGATTATCTATATTCCGATCAGACAAGGGGACTATATCATAGTACCTACTGTATTATATTATTGCAATTCTTTCTATATCTACCCACTTTTAAAAACCCCTTACTATCTTCATCACCATGGGTTATCTCGAAGACGAGGACAAGAAGTACCAGGACGACGTCCAGGCCGTCAAGGCCTGGTGGACCGATTCCAGATGGCGACACACCAAGCGCCCTTTCTCAGCAGAGCAGATTGTGGCCAAGCGTGGAAACCTAAAGATTGAGTACCCGTCGAATGTCCAGAGCAAGAAGCTTTGGAAAATTTTGGAGAGCAACTTCGAGGTATTTCTTCACGCCGAAACAAGTCGGAACAGTAGCTAATACCTTGTCGTTTAGAAAAAAGTTGCTAGCTTCACCTACGGCTGTCTCGAACCCACAATGGTCACCCAGATGGCAAAGTACCTTGACACCGTCTATGTCTCTGGCTGGCAGAGCTCTTCCACTGCTTCCTCTACCGATGAGCCGTCCCCCGATCTTGCTGATTACCCCATGGTAAGCTCTGCTCGATTCGAACATGTTGAAAATAAATAGCCCCTTTGCTAATTGGCCCAGAACACTGTGCCAAACAAGGTAAACCAGCTCTGGATGGCCCAGCTGTTCCATGACCGGAAACAGCGCGAGGAGCGGATCACGACACCCAAGGAGAAGCGCGGAAATGTGGCAAACGTTGACTACCTGCGTCCCATCATTGCTGACGCTGACACCGGACACGGTGGTTTGACCGCTGTCATGAAGTTGACCAAGCTTTTTGTTGAGCGCGGTGCTGCCGGTATCCACATTGAGGACCAGGCCCCTGGTACCAAGAAGTGTGGCCATATGGCTGGAAAGGTTCTTGTGCCCATTAGCGAACACATCAACCGTTTGGTCGCCATCCGTGCGCAGGCAGATATCATGGGTATGTGTTCCCGTCCTTACTGTGATTTTCAAAGTAGAGAAAGAACTTGTCCACTGATTATCCCTAGGCACCGACCTTCTTGCCATTGCTAGAACCGACGCGGAAGCTGCTACTCTCATCACCTCTACCATCGATCATCGCGACCATGCCTTCATCGTCGGCTCCACCAACCCCAACCTTAAGCCTCTCGTAGATCTCATGGTGGCTGCCGAACAAGCTGGAAAACAGGGAGACGAGCTGCAGGCTATCGAGGACCAGTGGGTTGCCCAGGCTGGCCTGAAGCTTTTCAACGATGCCGTCATTGAGGTCATCAACAAGGGTGCCCACTCTAACAAGCAAGCCCTCATTGATCAATACCTGAAGGCCGCCAAGGGCAAGAGCAACCTTGACGCTCGCGCGATCGCCAAGAACATCACTGGACAGGAAATCTACTGGAACTGGGATGCTCCTCGTACCCGTGAGGGCTACTACCGGCTCCAGGGTGGCACCCAGTGTGCCATCAACCGTGGTATTGCTTACGCTCCATTCGCCGACCTCATCTGGATGGAGAGCAAGCTCCCCGATTATGCCCAGGCTAAGGAGTTTGCCGAGGGTATCCACGCGGTTTGGCCCGAGCAAAAGTAAGTAGACCGGCATCACTTGAGCGCCTACGATATCAGATGCTAACGAAGAACTTTTAGACTTTCCTACAACTTGTCGCCTTCGTTCAACTGGAAGAAGGCCATGCCCCGCGATGAGCAGGAGACTTACATCAAGCGCCTGGGTGCTCTGGGTTACTGCTGGCAGTTCATCACCCTTGCTGGTCTGCACACCACCGCCCTCATCTCTGACCAGTTCGCCAAGGCCTACTCCAAGCATGGCATGCGCGCTTACGGCGAATTGGTCCAAGAGCCGGAGATGGAACAGGGAGTCGACGTGGTTACCCACCAGAAATGGAGTGGTGCCAACTATGTGGATAACCTCCTGAAGATGGTCACCGGCGGTGTTAGCAGCACCGCGGCCATGGGCAAGGGTGTGACGGAAGATCAGTTCAAGCACTGAGCTCAGCTCACAAGCCACTTTTGATGATTTTGTTGTGTTTTTAGCCGACTTTGAGTACCCACTAGGAGTTTTTGATGTATAGATTGTAGCTCCCTTGACAAAAGGATCGATTTTTCATAGCATGATCTAGTTATCGCATTCTTCTTTTTCTTCGTGCAGCAAGCTCATTCGTAGTACCTCGGTAGAGTGCGTATCCTTAGCGGTATTTCCATACTAAAGAGAAAGGCGGTCTGAGATAGATCCGCGCTAGTGAGGCCTCCTGGACCTCAAAGCTCGAAAACGGCCCTTTACTCGTAAATCGCACCCCTTCTATCTCCATGAAACCAAGCTATATAAGTGTAATAATTGATTCAAACAAAGCAATATCTATGTATATTTGTTATAGCTAGTTAAAACTAATTTCTGAGCATTGGAAAGTCTAATCCAAGCACCCTCCAAAAGATACACAATGCGATGAACGACCTCGGAAAGTGTTCAAAAATTCTGCCAGCCCCGCGGCGTACCGTGGCTAGCCGTCTCCAACCATTGATCCCTGTCAATAGTTCATCCCCAGCATGTGAATGTATACTCTTTTCGAACCCGCTGCTAAGCGACGTCATCTTTTACGTATTGGGATTATACACTTGAACAGTCCTAAGATTTCAATTTATTTGCTGGGTTCAACCCTAATGTACCTGCATACTACAGTTTTCCGGAGTCCGAAGGCGATAACAACCTGGGCCACGCAATGATGCACTTGTATGACGAGGGGTTGGCCATGAATTGAATAATTGGCCGGTTGGCGGATATGCGAAGGGATAGGGGTGGTCATTTAGTAGGGTCTTGTTGTTGATGTTGTTGATGTATAGAAATATAGATACAAGCATTTGAGATTATACTATGGGACGTTATTCGGGATACTAAAGCTCTGCTGGGGTATATGAGGTCCATCGTCTGGAGAGTTCATGGATCATCTATACTGAGATATCGGGAATAATAAGCAATCTAATTGTATTTGCCCTAACTCTACACGAAAGAGTAATGACTCTCCAGACAATCACGCTAGTATTCAGTTTAATTTTCCTGATTGATGTAGCTTTAGCATTCCGGCGACGGCACAGTGGCTCTGGACTCGAGTATATTGATCTATACTCTGGTTCACAGCAGTGGTGTATACTCTCCATGCAGAGTCGAGACGTTTCTGATGAATTCTGTTCAAGTCTTCATTAGAGCCATCCTATTCTGTATGCCCTTGTAGAGCTTCACAAGTCTGTAAAGAGCACGTCCACTGTTCAGTGACCACATTCTTCTTTGCCCCTGCCACGGTAGATGGCGGGTGAAATGTATGGGAACTGATCGTAGTCTAACCAGCGGTCGTTGTATTTAAGTTAGTAGATGCGGTAGGCTAGAGGGACGGGCCCTAAGCACCCTACAGCTCTCAGCCATGCCAGCCGAACTAGCACTAGTCTAGCAAGATCCGGGCCTGGTTTAAGTAGGCGCAAATCGTTGCCCATATGCGTGGTGGAGACACCTGACTAGGAGACGTTGGTGCCTTGAACATAATGGGTCTCATACTCACTTGCCTGACAAGTTACAAACATGCGTACCCAGATACTTAGGACGTGGTGACCCACACTGGTGTCTACACTGTAAGCCCTAAAGGGGGCTGGCGCTGAAACTAAAGTGACTGATACAGTGATACCCTAGGATAGCTCCGGGTTGGGGTACGGGTTCTATACGGCATCTTATAGTCTCGTAGTGTCTATCCCACTCGTCCCCGGCTCTCCAACCTCAACGTTGAGGTATATGCCCAGCACACGCAGTATTGACACAACTACGCCGCCACCACGCCAGTCCCCTTTCATATTGAACATGCCATACGGAGTCACCCGATTCGCGATATCCTCATGGCATGAAAGGCTGCCAGCAGATGGCCCTTCAGCACGTTATTTCCCCTGCGAGGGTCATTACAAGCGGATGAAGAAGTAGTCTGTGTTGATCCGCGGTGTATGCGTGGCCAATGCTCGATCCAAGGTGCCAGTGGAGTCTCGCACGAAGATACCCAAGATCAACATACGTCAATCTGGCTGAACAATCTCGTGCATTTCAAATAACAGATCGACTAAGCCTACCCAGCGAACTGGTATGACCATACATGCGGCCTTCTCCACAGGGTCGGATCCCACAGAGCATGGGATGTGCTTGACTATACCTCCCATCTTACAACCATATCCGCCTCTCCCATTAGCTCAATCAGCAGTACCATTATCTCAACTACTCACCCGCGCCTTCACAACCATAATTCGCAAAAGTGGCTTTCGGCGCCCGCCACCAACCGAAAAGACCTCTGGCTTGCCTGACCCGCGGACTCCGAAAATGGGATCCGCGGACGACGCGAGACCGCGGTCGGCTACCCTCCAAAGGAAATAACACGGAAGACTTGCCTCTTTTCTCTGGCTTTCAATGGTGGTATCATTTACGAAGTACCAAGTGCCGTCAGACTCGACCAGACTCCCCCCTTGGAGTTGATTAGTGGCGGGAGAATCTCCTGGCGCGGCTCGAGATAAGTGATCAAACTTAACCATCCCTGTCGCTTGACTTATGAGATTGTCACTCCAGTCCTTAGATAATTTCTAATCGTCGAGACTGCTTGTCGGACTTAAGACTTGACCTGATGAGTATCTCGAGGGATTCGTCAAAACAAGACTCTCTTAATTGTTCTATCTGACGGGGTTGGGACAGGTAGTTTTCGGTCTTTCTTCCTGACACCCTGATTTTCTGTATATAAAAAGCCACCACAGCTCTCCTTGTAGGTGTATCGCAATAGCAATAGTTTTGGTTCAATACTAGGACGATTGTGTATAAGTGCGTTGTGCTCTTTGATTCCACCGATAGTCATATATAGTTACTGTGAACAGCAAAGACGAACTTGAAACATCGGACGCTAGTGTCAGCCTGAGACCAGGAACGAGCTTATATAGGTTGAGGGCTGGACCTGGCTCATTGAATAAGCATTGAAATGGACGTGCATTTATTTATCTTTATGCCATCGTTCTGGTGGAGTCTGTCAAGAGAGTACTTTGTCATCGTCTTGTTTCGGAGAGTTGGAGCAGACGCCCAATGGAGAACTCCTTGCGAGGTTCCGTCGATCGCATGGCTAGACAACGCCGATCCTTGCCTAAACAGAATGACAACGATGAGCTAAAATGTCGTGGAGAAGAAGTCATTGGTGGTGGTCCTCCGTAGCTGGACACACTTGGTCCTCACCCTGAGTTGAGAATAAGCCGAGGGAAATATTAAACCAGTCTTGATAACTCACTGGTCAGTCCTCAACTTAGTAAGGGAGTACGTTCTCGAATGGTGAATGGTGCGGAACCGCTCGTCCGACCCCAACTTTATGGTCAGGGAGAGGAGGAATACCGCGGCCCAGCTGTCACTGCCGATGAGGGGCGAAAGGATCATGTGGGTGCTGATGTGACTTTGAATGTATTATTTTTCGATTAGTCTAGTCGACCACCTCCGTAATCAAGAATAAGAATGAACTTATATATGATTTTCTTTTTCCCCTTGGCTCCCGAGATATCCCATTCCGTCTATCGTCTCTCCTTTTGAAGGCTCCCAGGGCAAGCGATAACTACTACTAGTAACTAGTACTAGGGGTGCTCCCGTCTCCGCATCATTTCTCCGACGCCACTCCCCGTCCTCTCCCTTCTACCAACGATTACCACCATGGTCGCTTCGAACATCCCCCCGATTCAGTTCACGCCCGTCGAGGATATTCCGGGTCGCGTGTCTACCCTGCGTAAGACTTTCCTGGAACATAAGACTCGCGACCTTGAGTTTCGACTGGTCCAGCTTCGGAAGCTCTACTGGGCGTAGGTTTTTTTCTCTGTCGGCAATAAGCTGCACAATGCATAGTATGGCTGACACCTTTTTGTTTGCTTTGACAGTGTCAAGGATCATGAGCAAGAGATCGCCGATGCCTCCGCTTTGGACTTGGGTAAACCTCGCTTCGAAACCGAGGTCGCTGAGAGTGGATGGCTGCAGAATGACATCGTGTTCGTGACGCGAAACTTGCACAAGTGGGCCAAGGATGAGAAAGCCGAAGATATTGATTTGTCCTACAAATTCATGAGTCCTAAGATTCGGAAGGATCCATTGGGTTGTGTTCTGGTTATTGGGTGAGTTTCCCCCGGCGCCCCCTATAATCCGAACCCAAAGACCCCGAACTCATCGCTTGCGGAAGCATACTAATACACTATTCCAAACAGCGCTTTCAACTATCCCTTCCAATTGACACTCGGTCCGGTCATCGGCGCTATCGCAGCTGGTAATACTGTTGTGATTAAGCCTAGTGAGAATGCGCCCAACTGTGCGGTTGTTCTCCAACGCATCGTTGAGGCATCCCTCGATCCGTCCTGCTATACTGTTATTCAAGGAGGTATCCCGGAGACCCAAGCTTTGCTCGCGGAGCGATGGGATAAGATTTTCTTCACTGGTGGCGCCACCGTAGGCCGTATCATCGCCAAGGCAGCCGCTCCTCATTTGACTCCCGTCGTGCTGGAGCTGGGTGGCATCAACCCGGCCATCATTACCAAGAGCGCCAACCCCAGACTCGTTGCGCGGAGACTTCTGTGGGGTAAACTGATGAATTCCGGCCAAATCTGTACCTCCCAAAACTACCTGCTGGTTGACAAGGACCTTGTGCCTGCCGTGATAGAGGAGTTCAAGAAAGCTTATAATGAATTCTATCCTCAGGGCGCCAAGGCATCGCCAGACTATTCTCGCATCATCAATGAAGGTGCATTCCACCGCATCAAGTCAATGCTCGACAATACCAAGGGCAAAATTCTCATGGGTGGTACAATGGACGAAAAGGAGCGCTTCATCGAGCCAACCTTGGTTCTGGTAGACTCGGTTGATGATTCGATGCTGACTCAGGAAAGCTTCGGTCCTTTGATTCCTATCTTGCCCGTGGACAACGTCGAACAGGCAGTCAACATTGCCAATGGAATCCAGGCCACTCCCCTGGGCCTTTACCCGTTCGGCTCTAAGGCAGATACTGACAAGGGTATGTTCTCGCACGTCTTCATTCTATTATTGCTTGACATTGTCTGACGCTTTCCAAGTTCTTTCTACTACTCGCTCTGGTGGTGTCTCCGTCAACGACGCGGCTTTGCATATCCCTACCCTGCCATTCGGTGGTGTCGGTGAAAGTGGCCACGGCGCCTACCGTGGCAAGGCCAGCTTTGACGTCTTCGTTCACCGTCGTCCCATCACTAGCACACCCAGCTGGCTCGAATCCATCCTCTCGATCCGCTACCCGCCATACGCGGGTAAGCTGAGCAAGTTCAAGGCCGCCAGCACTCTTGCACCCGACTTTGATCGCAACGGAAACAAGATCCGATTCGGCTGGCTCCGTTATATCCTCACTCTCGGTGGAGGCTCTGCGAAGGCTGGTGCTGGCAGAGCCGTCGTTGTCGCTGCTGGTAAGTAATTATTTCCGTCTCGTGCGTCGAAATACCCGACACATTCGCCTGCCCCTCTTCGGTCTCCCTTACATATCACCCTGTCGATCCTTGCAACGTCTGAATTCTTACTGTCCGCGCCTCTCCAGTCAGAGAATGAACACGCTACGACCATTCCTTCCCTCCATTTCCTTGCTCTATTGTTTTTTTTTTCTCTGAGATACCATTTCGTTCACTCTACACCCATCTACTCTACTAATCTAATACCCTATTTACGGTGACCTTACTCACAATCTGCTTTTGGTTAGTGGCCTATGTCGTGCTCCAGGTTCTTGAACGCCGTGCTTCGAAGCTTTAATGTGACCTAATATTCTCGATTCGGATATATAATGTTTTGGTTAGGTAGCGTCGTCAGTTTTTCGAAAGTGTATAGTTATACAAACGATGTTTATTCAGAATCTTCGAGTTAGCTGGTTATGTACTGTTAACCTACAAACTTCTTCCACTTTCATCACGAGTCCAGTTCTATGTACTCTATTTGAACGTATGTCAAGTATCATTATCCGTATCATGCGAATGATGAATGCTTATCATGCATATGAGATCCTTGCTAGATTGTCATCCATGTAGCCAAAGAGCAGCAATAAGAAGAAAGAAAAAGAAAAAAAGAAATTTAAAATAATAGGATGATAATAATATATATCAACATCTTCTCTCCACTCCTTTTCGACTGACACATAAATACTTTACTCCCTTGTAGGGCTTCACAGTCTCGCCCAAGCCACGACTTCGTCGCGGGTCGATATTCAGACTGTCCACCTTGATCCCCGAGGGGAGCCAGCCTCGGACTGAGAATGACACCGCGGCCGAATTAGGCATGAGAGTTGTGTTCAGCTGGGCTTTGGTTTTGCGTTGTGTAGTGTGGAAGATTGAGCGGGAGGTGTCGTCAGTCGGAGGTTGTTGTTGTTGTGGTGGTTGTGGTTGTGGTTGAGGTGAAGGGGAGGGCTGGGGAGGTGTTGGGGATTGCGGTTGGGATGGCTCTTGGGCTATCTCCGGTTGGTCTGCATCTGGTATGGCGGGGGCGGCGCGAGAGGACTTCTTGACCTTCTTCTTCTTCTTTTTCTTTGTCTTCCGCTTCGTTGTCTCTTCTTCGGGGGCTTGGTAGGATGTTGAGGGTTCGGCGTCGTAGTAGCCTTGGAGGAGGTTTGCTTCCGGATCGACTTCTTCGGCTTCTTCATCGAAATCATCGTCGCCGGTTGAATGTCCGGCCACGGTGCAACGGAGAGTTGCGGTACCCGAGACGGTTCCAGCGTCTTTGGTCGGGACTCGCCATTCAAGGACATTGTTACCAGGGGAGAAGAGCGCATCACCGCGGCTGGCTTGCATATCTGTGATATTGCGGACTGATTTTGGAATAGGTATCGTAACCAAAACATCCTCTAAGACAGGGCCCGAGGAGTTCCCGCCTCCTCCAAGAAACGACGGCGTCGACGTACCGGAGCCATTTCGTCCTCCGGGCCGGTTTGAGGACGAATAACCCGGGAAGTTTGTGTTGAGAATCAAGCGGACTTCGAAATCGGAGCCGGTCGGACCCAGCGATTTACGAATGTCTACAATGGCGGGCAGAAAGAGCTTCTCCATGTGACTTGGCGGCTGATCGAGGCTGGGATCAATGGGTAGAAGGTCGACCTCATACCCTGCGAGAATAAACCGTCCGTCCGGGGGCACGAAGCTCAATTCTCCTGGCCGCTCTCGCCATTTTGCCAGTCGTACACATGGATGAAAAACGGGTAACTCGAGCTTTCGCGCAATGGCTTGTTGACCACCAGGAGCTGTCAAGGAAAGCTGTAATTCAGGAACACCGGAGATTTTGGCCGTGAAGGCAATGGTGCCGGACACCAAGGCAGAGAGTAATCGTCCTGAAGGCGCCATCGTGACCGACAGTGATTCGATAATGTCAACATATAGCTCGTTAGAAGTGTGCCGCACTCCAGATCTTCTCCATGGTATCGCAGGTCCTTGAGTCGCCGCATTGGCTGAGATTGACCGCTTGAGCGTATTCGGAGGTCCCAAGATAGGCGTAGAGGATCTTCGAAAGTAACCATGTTAGTAGGAAATACGTAGGCAATCCTAAACGACAATACTATACAAGACTAAATAGGACTAAATATGAGAGACTCACCCAGACAACCCGACATTACCCAACAACTTCCCCATCCACCCCGGCATTTCCACAGCCTCCTGTAGCGCATTTAGCTCTGTATTGCATACAACACCTGCATCGCACATTTCATTGAGTAACTGTGCAACCACTTCATAGTTTGCCTGTATCTTGTGTGAAATCAATGGTGCTCCGACGAATTCCTCAAGTACATCCACTACGCGATGTAGGAACTCTAATGCAACGAGTGGCTCCGTATCGACTTCGGAAAGCGCCAGAAAGAGTAAGTTTGACTGAACAATTGAGAAAACAGTTACGGGCGGCGTCACATTAGGAATATAAAGGAGCGACGGCCGCGGAGCTGGATGCGCGAGGTAGAGGGGTAGGATAGTAGCTGCGGAGGGCGGCCGGGAGCGATAGACCTGCTCTACAAGAGGACTGCTATGGATCGATAAGTCAGTTATCGTAGAACAGAAGTTAAAGAAGACCGGAAAATATGCATACTTATGCTCATCGAAAATATAGAGCGCATCAATCTCCCCGCTCATCATGCCGATCTGTCTGGTTCCTTTATCGGTGGGGAGAAACAACGACATGGGGCTGCGGTCATTTAATGACATCTCTAAATTGTCCTGTTCTGCCGCCGATTGCCGCCTTTCTTTTGTATCGTTCTCGCTGAAATTCAAGACAGTTCTTTGCATTCGAGTCACTGATCAGTTGTCCTATCTTGGCCAGGGATAGGTTTTACAATTTCCGAGAAACTCGATCATACCTACTGTACTACTCCGCTGCAACTAGCGACCAACCAACCTACCGATTCCAATGTCTTCAGCTTCGGAGAATAACGGCCGCGCCTGGGACGTCGAGTCCAAAGAAGCTAAACGTCTACTGGCAGAAGACCAATATGACGACTGTACAGCTTGCAGGGTCACAGGTTAGTTTTCCATAGTTTCCTTCTATATACTTGTCTATATAAACGTTCAAATGAGCCAGTGAAATGTCGTCTGACACATACGCAATGTAACCAGGTTCCGCCGCATTTATTGGTCTCGGTGTCTACAGCTATTATACGGGCATGAGCAATCTGCAGAAGCAGGAGCGCGCGGTCATGCAAAGTGCTACGAAGTATAAAATGGGATCGCGGAGGCTAGGCATTGCGACTATCTCCGCAACACTGGTGGGAATGGGTATTTACAGGGCTTTTAATTGAATAATAGAGTAACCTTGATACAAGATTGTGTCCTGCTTAGCTTCCAGTAACACTTGTATTAGAGCCGATTGAGAACAAGAACAGTCGCCTAAGGGTTGTCATATATGCATGTAGAAGAAATGAAGGAAAAGACATGGACAAAGGTGAAGGATTACACGAAACAAGCATCACAAGAGCTGCCCCACCGGGTATCACCAGATCTGATAACCTCTATATGTTTAACCGTTATAAGAAACAGGAAAGCAATGAAGACAAAAGGCTGGAAAATGAAGACAACAAGAGGTGGCCCAAAGAAGACCACATGCGAGACTCCCTCCAAATGCACCGTGAACTCAAAACATCAATCAAACCGCTGCGTTACCATAAGAATATGAGGTTCGTCCAATCGTCGATACTATATTCTCTAGGTGAAGCGGCCGCGTTTGCCGCCCCCAAATATATCTCTATTCCCTAGCCCCGATATGTCAAAAAAGTCGGGAACTGCAAACTTTCGTTTTGAGCCCGCGCCGACAGAAGGCTCCCGTGTGGATGCTCGAGGGTTCGTCCGTGAGAAGTTGTTGTGTCGGGCTTGTTGTCGAGAGGTCCGAGGAAGAACAGATACACTCACAGGTGAACTATCTTGAGATGAGGCTGTCGAGCTGTCGGAGGATTGCATATCTACATCGGGTTCTTGGCATGGAGGAAATGAAGGCCCGGCGGTGAAAGTAAAGACTGCCGGTCTATCAAGAGTGCTTGCCTCGGCGACGTGAGAGTTATTAAGTGGGGGCTGTTGCTGTGTAGCAACGGACTCGTCAGTCGAGGTCGACTTGGCTGGCTGTCGGGCAGCTTCTGGCTTGGTTTGTTCCTTGCGTGTAGCAACGGGGCTAGTGCTTCGAGGTTGCTTCTCAGGCTCGTCATCGTCGCTCGGAGTCCCGGTTCCATCACTCCTTTCAGCTGCCCATTGTCGGATTTTCGATCCTTCGCCACCAGTAAGGCCAAGACCTTCCTTGTCTAGAAAATGCAGTAGGTCTTCAATTGCTTCTTGGTAGCCAGCTTGTTTGGCCTGTGATTGCTCGTAGACTGCATTTTTATAAAGATTGGTAACAGATAGCGCGGCTGCTTTGAACGATTGTAAAAGTTGTTCAGGAGGTTGGGTGCGAGGAGTCGAGCTAGGTAGCGATGTGTTCAATGACCTCATGGAGTCCATGGTAGATAGTGCTGCAAATCAAGCAGCTGTGCTAATGATTCTCCTTAACTTCAAAACAATATGCGGTTGGCGCCACTAGGAGGGGCGAGGTGAACCGTGCTCCCTGAAAAGATACCAACAAAGTGGGAGCTGAGACAGAAACGAGATAAAAAAAAACAAGACCAATTAAAACTGGAAACCAGGTTGCACCCCACGGAAAATTAGAAAATGTAGTGAAAGGGATTAGGTTGAATGGAAGCAAGGAAACCCGGTGACTATAATCAGTGATGATACTTGTGCAGGTGATCTTTCTTTGCTTTTGTCCCGGTAACGTGACCCACAGCGGGGAAACTTGTCTTCCGCCGACTGATGACTCATACATGACTAAGCAGAACCTTCGCGCTCCCTGTCCAATAAGCGCGTAGGACGGCCGCGCTTCCCCGACGAAATTCCATTTGCCATCCCGGCGCGACTGACGAGGGCTACTTCTTTCATCAACCTTTATTGTTCAATTCCCGTTCCTTGTTGCATACTGGGAATCAATTTCTTCATAAACCTGTACCCACCCCAATCGATCTCACAACGGTGGGCAATCAACGTCTTAGCTTCCCCACTCAGTTTATCGCCTACCGTGCTTTCGGAGCGCTGGCAAGGCGTGTTCGGCTCTATACATAACACGAGTTATTTGCGCGGAGTGCGCCCAGACCGAAGATGGCGCCTTCGTTCGCCCCCAATTCAGAAACACCCTCTCAGGCAGATACTCCTATGACAGATGCAAATGATGAACCCGTCACGTCGGTACCCGTAGATGACGCGCAAATGGGGGTAGGTGACAGAACCTGGTCAAATCGCTTCCGCACTAGCTCTGGCTTTCGCGCATTGTTAAGCGATGCATATTATTAGACCTGGGTTCATGCTGACTTTACTTTCCAAACAGGGCTACCAGGACACTCCAGACTACACGGTACATTCTACGCGATTTACCAGCACTTCCCAACACGCAGGCTAACCGGTGCGAACCAGGATTCGGACACAAACCCAAACACCACAGCAAGCAGTGTTGCAGGCGACACAGTTCCCGTCGACGGCCGAAGAAAGAGATCTGAGGCATTTCATTTGAGGAAGAGTATCCTGGGTAAAAAGCATGGTCGTCTGGACGAGTCAAAGGTATAGTAGTCTGCCTGTCATATCACTTGTCGCGGCTGGAGTTTCTCATGACAGTCTACTACAGGAAGATGATTCGATTCGGAGATTCCGTTACCTCCTCGGACTTACCGACTTGTTTCGCCATTTTATCGAAACCAACCCCAACCCACGGATCAAAGATATAATGGCTGAGATAGACCGACAAAATGATGAAGAAGAGGCAAAGGCCAAGAAAAAAGGCTCGTCACGTTCAGGCGGTGCAGGTGGTGATAGGCGTCGCAGGACGGAACAAGAGGAAGACGCAGAGTTATTGAAGGATGAGAAGAGCGGCGGCGAAACCCGCACCGTCTTTCGTGAATCCCCGCCTTTCGTTAAGGGAGAAATGCGTGATTATCAAATTGCTGGATTGAACTGGCTTGTTTCTCTACATGAGAATGGTATCTCCGGTATCCTTGCCGATGAAATGGGCTTGGGTAAAACCCTTCAAACCATTTCTTTCCTCGGGTACCTCAGACATGTCTGCGACATTACGGGACCTCACCTGGTTGCTGTGCCGAAATCAACGCTCGATAATTGGAAGCGCGAATTCCACAAATGGACACCTGACGTTAATGTTCTTGTTCTTCAGGGAGACAAGGAGGAGCGCCATAAGTTAATAAACGAAAGACTTCTTGATGAGAACTTCGATGTGTGCATCACCAGTTACGAAATGGTTCTTCGGGAGAAGTCTCATCTTAAGAAGTTCGCTTGGGAGTACATCATCATCGATGAGGCCCATAGAATCAAAAACGAAGAATCGTCACTTGCACAGATCATTCGTGTGTTCCATTCTCGGAATCGACTGCTAATTACTGGTACTCCACTCCAGAACAACCTCCATGAGCTTTGGGCCCTTTTGAACTTCCTGTTGCCGGATGTTTTTGGTGATTCGGAGGCATTCGATCAATGGTTCTCAAACCAAGAGTCTGACCAGGACACCGTTGTCCAGCAACTTCACCGAGTACTGCGACCATTCCTTCTCCGTCGTGTTAAGAGTGATGTAGAGAAGAGCTTGCTTCCCAAGAAGGAGGTCAATCTTTATGTACCCATGTCAGAAATGCAGGTGAAGTGGTACCAGAAGATTCTTGAGAAGGATATCGACGCTGTCAACGGTGCCGCTGGAAAGCGCGAATCTAAGACCCGTCTATTAAACATTGTCATGCAACTTCGCAAATGTTGTAATCACCCCTACCTTTTCGAAGGAGCTGAGCCGGGCCCTCCTTATACAACGGATGAGCATCTTGTATACAACGCCGGCAAAATGTCAATTTTAGACAAGCTCTTGGCACGTATGCAGAAACAGGGAAGCCGCGTTCTTATTTTCTCCCAGATGAGTCGTGTGCTTGATATCTTGGAAGATTACTGTGTTTTCAGAGAGTACAATTATTGCCGTATCGATGGTACGACAGCTCATGAGGATCGAATCGCTGCAATTGACGAGTACAACAAGCCAGGATCGGACAAGTTTGTCTTCTTGCTTACCACTAGGGCAGGAGGTCTCGGTATTAACTTGACGACTGCGGATATCGTTGTCCTCTACGACAGTGATTGGAACCCCCAGGCTGATCTACAGGCCATGGACCGTGCCCATCGTATTGGTCAGACGAAGCAAGTGGTTGTATTCAGATTTGTCACAGAGAATGCGATTGAAGAGAAGGTCCTGGAACGTGCAGCCCAGAAGCTGCGGTTAGACCAGCTTGTTATCCAACAAGGCCGTGCTCAGCAACAGACCAAGAACGCCGCATCGAAGGAGGAACTGCTTGGCATGATCCAGCACGGAGCTGCGAACGTTTTCAGCAATGACAATTCGACTGCACCTTTTAATGCCGACAAACAAATTTCTGATGATGATATCGATGCGATTTTACGCAAGGGTGAGGAGCGAACTGCAGAACTGAGCAAAAAATATGAGAAACTTGGTATCGATGATTTGCAAAAGTTTAGCTCTGAAAGTGCATACGAATGGAACGGAAAGGATTTCACAGATCGCAAGAAGGACATCGGCCTCAATTGGATCAACCCGGCCAAACGCGAACGGAAAGAGCAGTTCTACTCTATTGACAAATACTATCGCCAAGCGCTAGCTACTGGTGGAAGAACCGCTGACCCCAAACCTAAGGTCCCGCGGGCACCTAAGCAAATTGCTGTTCACGATTGGCAGTTCTTCCCTCCGGGACTCCAAGAACTCCAGGAGAAAGAAACCGCCTACTTCCACAAAGAGATCGGCTATAAAGTTCCGCTTCCTGATGGGCCTGAAGAGGAACTTAGTGAGCGTGAAGCCGAGCGCGATTTGGAGCAGCAGGAAATTGACAATGCGGTGCCATTGACGGAAGAAGAGCAGACGCAGAAGGCTGAAATGTCAGAGGAAGGCTTTTCAACCTGGAATCGCCGTGATTTCCAGCAGTTTGTTAATGGCTCGGCCAAGTTCGGACGCACTGATTATGTTGGGATCGCCACAGAAGTGGATAGCAAAGAACCAGATGAAGTTGAAGAATACGCCAAAGTGTTTTGGAAGCGGTACACCGAGATCCAAGACTACCCTAAATATCTCCGTGTTGTTGAGCAGGGAGAGGAGAAGCTGCGCAAGATGAACCATCAGCGTAAAATGCTTCGCAAGAAGATGGAGATGTACCGCGTTCCTCTTCAGCAACTCAAGATTAATTACACGGTGTCTACCACTAATAAGAAGGTGTATACCGAAGAAGAGGATCGGTTTTTACTAGTGATGCTCGATAAGTACGGAGTGGATGGTGAGGGACTGTACGAGAAAATCCGGGATGAAATTCGCGAGTCCCCACTCTTCCGGTTCGACTGGTTCTTCCTTAGCCGAACGCCCGTGGAAATTGGACGCCGTTGTACTACATTATTGAATACTGTTGCAAAGGAGTTTGAAGTTGCGGATGAGAAAGCCAACGGCGAGTCTGGCAAGGGTCGTGGGCGTGATCGAGACGATGAGGATGCTGAAAATGACGATGATGGAGCACCGGCTAAAAAGAAGAACAAGGGCGGCGCAGTGGTAAGTTTGTTCTTGTTCAACGCCCGATGCATTCAACTGACATGTATGGTTTCATAGAACAAGCAGGTCAAGGCTGTTAAAGGCAACAGCAAAGCCAATTCTACGTCGACGTCGCGGGCAGCTAGTGTCTCGTCTAACACGGCACCAAAGGCAAAAAGTCGGAAGAAGTAATTCTTACCGTGCTCAATAGTTGTTAAACAGCTAAATATTGTTACGACCATTCTGCAGTGTTTGGGAAGGTAATTGGCCATGCGAGGGGTTTGGTTCTTTTTCAATATAAGTCGGTCTGGCGTTGCTCATAGATGCCATTGTTGATGATGTCGCTTCACGGTTCTTGTCATATCTTTCTCTGTAACACAATAGCTATCTATCTGTACCCATGCGTACGGTATCTGAAATGTATACAAAAGCAATAGAATACTTCCTAATGTGGAGCTTCCATCAGCTGGTTCTGTGTTAACCGTGGAATATCCTCAGGCAGCCATTGATCATATGACACGGAATTGGGATCCAAAGTCGACAGGGAACGAACTGTCAGGTTGGCAATGATGACACTTGCCCTGCTTGATTCGCCATTGCAACATGTGACGTTGCCCCTGAAATATTAACATGCTATCTATCTTACGCAGCTTCTAATTTATTCCGACCCCTCAATGTTGCCGTGTGTTGGATCCCATTGGACCGGCGGTCGCTCACTGTAACTGTAGATCATCCTTAGCGTGCAAGGTATGTGACCAGAATCAGATCCGCAGGTAAGTTACTACGTGGTGGGGACCCTGACACTAAGACAGCAGTGATGGTTACCTTGAAACCCATTATCATTCCGTCATCATCTTTGATATAAGTCTACCTCCCGAGTTCGCTTGAACAGACGAACACGCAACTATTACCACCATGGCATCCAAGATCTTCCTTGTTGAGAATCCAAACTACTCCAAATCTGGGATCAAGTCTTATGTGTATCTGATACGCAAATATCGTTTGCACCCTACTAGAAATGGCCCCTTTTCTATCGGTCGAGCTATTCACCAAACTGGCCGGCCCTTCACTGACAAGCCTATTGGTGGTCGAGTTCGCTTCCACGACGTGATGCGAAAACAGATCTCGGACGACAAATTCCAGCAAGTTGAGAAGGAGGACATCCAAAATGATGCAGTGTTCTTCGTGCCCGTGAGCATCGGAACCCCGACTCAAACTTTGAACTTGGTCTTGGATACAGCGTCTGCTGACTTTTGGGTAAGATATATTTATCTCAATCAAAATAGGAGAAAGACAAAACCTACCATACTAACACTAGCAGGTGCGATCTAGTGAGCTCCCTTCAGATACACTGCCCCACGGTGGGGAGGAGAGCCATACCTATGATCCTGTAAAATCGAGCACATTCAAAGACATTGAAGATTCGCCATGGAAAGTATCCTATGTGGATGGTTCTGCGGTGTCTGGTTCCATTGGCACGGAAGATATCACCATTGGAGGGGTTGCTTTGAAGACACAGCCCGTTCAGCTTGCCAAAACCATATCCTCAATGTTCACCCAATTTTCAGCAGACGGCGTTCTGGGACTGGCATTTGGACATATCAATCATCCCCAGGAGGACATCAAGGCCCTGGCTGAGCGCTTGAATACTGGTGACGACCTCGAACAATCTGCAAAGCTGTTCACAGCAAAATTTGGGTCTTGGGGCGACTCTGACCTAAAGAAACCATTTTACACATTTGGCTCCATCAATGAGGATGCCGTGCGCTATTGTGGTCATGATGTCCATTATACATCTATTGACAATAGTCAAGGCTATTGGATGTTAGACTCCCCCTCTACAACGGTTGGGGGGGAAGCCATTAATAGATCTGAAAACAAGGCTATTGTCGATACCGACGCAGCATTGACTCTACTTGATGACCAAACGTGTCAAGCCATTTATGACTCTATCCCAGGTGCATTCTATGATAGTGAAAGCCAAGGCTTTCTCATCCCATCTGACGTCAATGTGGACCAGCTTCCAGTTGTTCAATTAACAGTAGGGGACAAATCGTTCGCTATGTTAAAGAAAAGTCTGGCATTTGCTGAAACCAAGCCTGGCTACATATATGGGGGTATCCAGAGTCGTGGATCGCTCGACTTTGATATTCTTGGTGGGACATTTTTGGAGGGATTATATGTGGTGAGTTGCATACTCCAAACACCCCTCGTATACTCTTCTGACAGAACGAATGATATAGATATTTGATTTCGGTTCTCTTCAATTTGGTGCCGTGCAGCCCAAACCGGAAGCGTAGAATAAGAGCTGAGCCTATTACTATTATGATGTCAAGGTTTTCTCGATGAATGTTGTATATGAAGATTCTGAGTTTTGTCCATAGGGTTGAATTAAGCTAATGTACAAGTTATATATTTACAAGCTGTCATTATTATCATTCTGATTCAGGTTCACCGAGATTTCTTCGGAGGCACATCGGCTACCGCAAGTGGTACACGTAGAAACATTTCCATCAGCAGCGCTGCTGCCACACTGACGTTAAGGCTGTCCACTCTAGAAGGATCAGACTCGACACCAAGGGGCGTAGCAAGTCTGGCTCCAGGGATGCTCACGATAGAGTCCGCATGCGACTTAATGTGACGACTCAATCCGGATCCCTCGCTCCCCATCATAATAACGCAAGGCGATTGGGTGCTAAAATGTCCCCCTTCGGTCGTACCTTTACCCTCGACAATAGAAGTATTGTCCACATATTTGGAAGCTGGACCTGGGGCATCTGCCGCGTAAAATTTCCATCCATTGGCTTTGGAACGCTGGATGAAGTCCACTTCGTTGCTCACTTCAAGAAGAGACATATTCTCAGCCGCTCCAGCCGAGGCCTTGATTGTCACAGGAGACAAAGGTGCCGAGTTTCGACCAGCGAATATTATAGCATCGACACCAAGATAATACGCGGAGCGAATGATAGCACCCAGGTTTCCAGGATCCACAATCCCGTCGAGTAATAATACAACAGGGTACCTTGTTCTGTGATCCCAGTGATGGATTTTAAGCTTGTCGTTCGTGCTATTCACCAAAGCTTCTTCTCGTGATTGAGCGCCCAATTCCACACCGAAATCCTCCTCCTTCACAGATGGAACACTCTTCAAGCCCCTCACAGGCAATCTTGGCAGAGGGGACGCTTCAAGGACGCAGCCATTATGAGGTCGACCAGCACTCATTTTGTCAAGAAGCCGGTCCCATCCACCGAAGGCCATCTTAACTTTGACATTCTTTACAAGTGCCAATTTGCGCAGTGCAACCTTGGCAGGGCTCAGTTCTTCACCAGCGGCCTGATACACATATAATTTGTACAGACGACGTCTGCTACAGCGTAGTGCAGCCTCCACTGCGCTGGTTCCATAGATGAATTCCGATGCCGGTGTCGTGTATGGGATTGCGTCAGGGACTTGCACATTTTCCTTTACCCGCTCTGGTACTCTCTCCGTGGCACGGTGGTGTTTCGGTGGTTCCGCTCGGCGAGGGTAACGCTTGTCCTGAGGTCTGTCGCTAGTCTCACGGTCATCGTATCCCCTGACTTCATTCCTCGACGACCTCTGACTGCTCTGAAAGCGTTGGTGGCGCTTGTCATGAGGTCTGTCGCTAGTCTCACGGTTATCATATCCTCTGTCTTCATTATTCGACAACCTCTTACTGCTCTGAAAGCGTTGGTGTTCACGAGGCAGTGCGCGGAAATTTCCTGTCTTAATAAATTCATCTTCATCGAATTCACCGTCGACCCAATTTTTGCCCTGAGTTTTCTTTTCTGTTCTATTCGGTTTGGGGTCCCTCCTTTCTCTGTACGGCCGTTCAAAGTCAGAATCATATGAATTTCGCGACGAAGATGGACCATCGAAGCCCCGAGTCTTGCGGATACCACGACCAATGGCCGAGTTGAGTGAAGCACGTCTCACATGATTCAGGTGAATAGACGGAGCTATAGATAGGCGCATATATGAATGCAAGGGTTTCAATAGCGAACGACGAGACATTGCAGGTGATTAGAGAAGGTAATAATTATAATAAGAGGAATTTGTACGTAAAGCTATCAATGCATGATTTAACTTTACAAACCTGATGTTTTCTTTTTTTTGCTCGAGCTTGCTCAAGGTCCGATAAGATAAGCGGATCATCTTTGATCCGGGCGGTCGCGCGTCGCGTTTAGATGCAATATTACGCAGTTGGGAAATTTGATAGATCCTCCGTTGAACAGGTGTGTTACTGGCGATTGGTTCATTCTTTCGCTTTTGCTCCCTAATGAAAAATATCCAACAGTCCGCTCTTTTTTTGTAACATTCTCATTGGTGTTCTGTCATTCATGTGTCAATTGCTAGCTACCTCAAAACTCGAAGTACCCTTCCTCTGTCCCTTATCAGTGTGCCTGCTATAGTGAGTTTGTATGAGAGTACCACAGGGTGCAAAATATCCAATATGGATGGAGAAATCGCATCTCAGTTGAACGAGGATCTTGTCGCAGACCTCCTATCGCAATTTCAAAGCAAGTCTCATACCCAAACACCTGAGGGCTCGCCGGGACCGTCCAAAATACAGGTGGCGGTAGAGATTCCGACAATATCTAATAGTGATGAATATGATTTCCTCCCCGGGCATTTTGATGTCCGTTGTATCATAAGTGAGGAAATAGAGACTGCAATGGAACCTTCCTATTTAGTTAAATTGCGCAGTGGTGAAACTGAAACGGTAAGTACGTTTCTCTCACACAACTTTTACTTAGCCTCTATCTTACTGGTATCTGCTTTCATATAGATGTCATCCTCACGACTTGAGAGCCTAAGCAACGGACCCGAAGCCCTCACAAGTTTCCAAAATACAGAACAAGTCTACGAAAGGTCATTACAGGCCCCGCCCAGCATGGCCTCGTCCAATGAAGAAGGATATACTTCATCTGAGTCTGGGGCAAGGCGACGCTCTACTCGAGCTAGGAATACTCAGTTCACGGATTTCTTTAGCCGCATGAGCAGTGAGGATGAGGAATCCCGCTCTGGATCTCCTTCGAGTGACGACGTTATCATATCGTCTACGGCAACTATCAAGCAGAAACGCTTAAGGAGACGCAAACAAGCTAAGACACACTCGAATGGCTCAGACATGGAAAGTAACTTTGCCCCAGGACCTACAGGCTCGCGGTTTTCAACCCGGCAGCGGAAGACACTTCGGAAAAACCTCAGGGAGAAGTATGAAGAGGACATTTCTGAGTTTGAAGATGCCGCCAAGACACAGAAGTTCTTCGGAGCGAAGGAAACATTTCGCAAGATCCCATCTGGTGACCCGTTCCGAAGTCTTCACAATGAAACGTGTGCAGTTTGCTACCGCAGCGGAGATGACCATGCGAAAGGCCCTCTTGTCTTCTGTCAGGGATGTACAAGCGCTTATCATCAATCTTGCCTAGGTCCTCGAGCTACACGCGAACACCTTGTAAGTAAGGTTTCGGATGACCTGTTTGTTCTTCAGTGTCGTCGCTGCCTAGGTGTTGCCCATACGAAAGACCAGGTTTGCCCACACCAAGGCCGCTGCTGTGAGTGTTCTAAGAAAGGGAATATGTCTAAGCCACTTCGGGAGCGCTTGACACCAAAGCAGGAGCAGCAGCTTCGGCAGGAGAATGGTGGCAAAGATCCTATCACCGATGTGGATATGGCTCGTTTGAATAATACGGCCAACTTACTCTTTCGCTGTACTGAATGTCATAGAGCGTTTCATTTTGATCATATCTCTGCAGATCATAAAATAACAGGGCGCTGTGGTGACTGTGCTTCGGCCCCTGGAGAGATCGGTGCAATAGTTGCCTGGAGGCCAACAGACCTTAAGACATACGTTACTGGGTACAGCGCAAATATTATGGAGGAGGTCGACAAAGAGTACCTAATAAAATGGAAAACAATGTCTTATTATCATACCACCTGGGTACCTGGCAGCTGGGTATGGAGCGTTGTAAGCCCGGCCATGCGACGGGCCTTTTTCAGATCAAACAAAAATTCAAACCCGGATATGACAATCGAAGAGGCAATACCGGAAGACTTCCTTCGAGCTGACATTATCTTCGATGTCCAGTACGCAGATGACTACAATGACGACGATTCGGAGGATCAATCTATCGAAGCAGCCAAGTCACGAGTCGATAGGGTGTCTAAAGCCTACATAAAGTTTAAGGGTCTAACATATGAGGATGCCGTATGGGACTCACCACCTGACCGTAACAATGCTGAGAGGTGGGCCGATTTCAAAACTGCATACGAGGACTGGGTGAAACGTGACTACACTCATATGCCAAATCAACACTCTCTCAGAAAGCATCTGGAGCAGGTCCGAAAGCAGAATTTCAAGAAAAGTATAGTGAAAGACACACAACCTGAAACTATGACCGGGGGACAACTGATGGACTATCAAAAAGATGGTTTGAATTGGCTTTACTACATGTGGTTCAAACAACAGAACGCCATTCTTGCCGATGAGATGGGACTAGGGAAGACCATTCAAGTGATCGGCCTATTTGCAACTTTGATACAGTATCACAAATGCTGGCCATTCCTTGTTGTGGTCCCAAACTCGACGTGTCCAAACTGGCGAAAGGAAATAAAAGCATGGGTTCCTTCTATTCGGGTGGTCACGTACTATGGATCCTCGTTCTCGCGTCAACTAGCGCAGAAGTATGAGATGTTTAATGAGGGCAGCTCTGATCTAAGATGTCATGTAGTTGTGACTTCCTACGAAACCATGGCTGATGATGCCTCTCGAAGAGTCCTCGCCAAAATACCTTGGGCTGGCTTGGTCGTCGATGAAGGCCAACGTTTGAAAAATGACAAAAGCCAGTTATACGAGTCACTGTCTCGGATTCGTTTCCCTTTCAAACTTCTATTGACAGGTACCCCTCTGCAAAACAACACCAGGGAGTTGTTCAACCTTCTTCAGTTCTGCGACCCAACGAAGAATGCAGAGAAACTGGAAAACGAGTATGGAATACTATCAAAAGAGAATATTCCTGAACTACACAACATGATCCGGCCGTTTTTTCTACGCCGGACAAAAGCCCAGGTGCTCACTTTTCTTCCACCAGTTGTCCAGATCATTGTTCCAGTTTCTATGTCCCTGGTCCAGAAGAAACTGTATAAGTCCATTCTGGCGAAGAATCCACAGTTGATCAAGGCCATCTTCCAGCGAAAGAATGATAACCAGGGTTCCAAACAAGCCGAACGTCAGAACCTGAACAATATCCTGATGCAGCTTCGAAAATGCTTGTGCCATCCATTCATTTATAGTACAGCTATTGAGGAGCGGACAAACAATGCTGCTACATCTCACAAGCACTTGGTAGAGGCGGCTGGAAAGCTCCAGCTCTTGCAGTTAATGCTACCAAAGCTCAAAGAGCGCGGTCATAGAGTTCTGATCTTTAGTCAATTTCTTGACAATTTGGATATAGTTGAAGATTTTCTTGATGGGTTGGGGCTTTTGCATCGCCGCCTTGATGGAAGAATGTCATCTTTGGAGAAGCAGAAAATGATTGACCAGTACAATGCTGAAGATTCGCCGTACTTCGCATTTTTACTCTCCACCAGATCGGGAGGTGTAGGTATCAATCTTGCCACTGCAGATACCGTCATCATCATGGACCCTGATTTCAACCCTCACCAGGACATGCAAGCATTGTCGCGTGCTCATCGCATAGGACAAAAGAACAAGGTGCTTGTGTTTCAATTGATGACCCGGGGCAGCGCTGAAGAGAAGATCATGCAGATTGGTAAGAAGAAGATGGTGCTAGATCATGTACTGATTGACCGAATGGTCTCAGAAGAAGACGACGGGCAGGACTTGGAGTCTATACTTCGACACGGAGCTCAAGCATTGTTTGAAGACGATGATTCAGGGGATATACGGTACGATTCTGGGTCTGTCGACAAGCTTCTTGACCGCAGTCAAGCTGAACAGGTCTCGTCTCCCAACGAGGAAGCCTCTGAATCCCAATTTAGCTTTGCTCGGGTCTGGGCAAATGACAACCAGAACTTAAGCGAACTGCAAGACACAGAAGATCCTACATCAGAGAATAGTGCTATTTGGGAGAAGATCCTTAAGGAGCGAGAAGAGGCGGCAGCAGAAGAAGCCAGAAAAGCCGAAAATTTCGGGCGTGGAAAGAGAAAGCGGGTGACCGTTGACTATTCAAATGCTGCTACTACGGAACTATCCCCCGCTAAAAGGCCCGGTAAACGAGATGCTGAAAGCGATACTGAGTTCAAGGGGGAAGATGCCGTGGAATCTGAGTCTGACTCTCCTCCCGAGCTCGATCCCGAAGAACGTCCGGCGAAGATAACGAAAGTACGCGCATTCGAACGAGTCAACCCCATAATCGACCACGACCTCTCGATAAGCGCGGCAGGCATGGACGGCCCCCCGGAGACCCGGCCCACGTGTTTCGCCTGCAATCAGAATCACCCGGTCGGCTCCTGTCGCTTGAAACTAGCCGGCGTAGAGCATTGCGGCCTCTGCGGTCTTGCGCATTTTGGGTTCTCCCGCACCTGTCCTCATTTACAATCAGACACACAAGTGGCCAAGATGCTGGACGCTCTGAAGCAAAGCACTGAGGACCCTGAACTTGTCCTTCAAGCAAAGAAATATTTGACTGGTATTCGTGGTGACCTTGCACAGCGTAAAAGAAAACAGGCCAGTAAGGCTACGGGGAGTCTCACAGCAACTCAGGGTACACCTGGTGGTGCCACTCCCGCCGCTGTTAACACCACTACCGCAAAGCCGTCAGTGGTCAACTTGACAGAGAATGTACGGCTTGCTAAACCGGCAACCCAGTCGGGGGCGGATGCCATGTTCACTCGGATGACGCTCTGAGAGTCAGGAAGTAAGGCCTTCATGCCTCGAGTACGGACGTAATGATGAATGGCGAGAAGGGATGAGCTTTTTGTCCGTAAATCCGTGGGACGCACATTTTCTGGCCGATCTTGCTTAGCTTTTTGTCTATATTTTGCTTTCTTCTTTTCTCTGGCCTTAGCGATTTTTCAGGTTCATTCTGGCGCTCATAGAGTCATTTTACACTTGGGGAACAGAGAATCATCGCCATGTGGGAAAGGCGAGAGATGTACAATACATAGTAAACCCATACACCTTCGGGAACAACTGTTGCACGAAACGACTCACTACTCGGATTAAAGGCCGAAAGGGCCAATTCCAATCGTTAGGTAGTTTTGGGGACGGTGGTCACATGTCGTAGATGCTCAATTATTGGATGGATTGACCTCCGAGTCTTCAACATATCAACTATGTGTGTAGACCAAAACCACACCACTCCTACTCACAAGATTAAAGGACGACGCAGTTCGTTTGCCTCCATTTGCCCTCGTCGAATCGGCGCCGACACATGTTGTATGTCGTTTGAAGGATGTATATGCTCGTTGTATTCCACGATGCCACGAACCACCGATTCCGGGGACACGATCTGTATAGGGATCAGTATTTGGAATACGGATGAAACAGTAAGAATGGGGGATGAGCACCAGTTCCAGAATGTATACTTACCATCGATGCGACTTTCAGTGACCGGTTCGAGAGCTGCTCGACAAGACAAGTTATTTGTCCGGTGGAAGCTTCCTGAAAGACAAGGAAGAAGCAGAGAAGTGGCGAATTCAAGGGACAGAAATGAAGGGAAAAAAGGAGAAAAGACAGAGCAGGAGAGTAAGCATCCCCGAAGTACTAAACAGTAGGGTGATTCCTGCAAGACGCGGGAAACGAGCAATGAGAAGTTGCGCCTCAGTAGCTGCAGCCATCCGAGCAGATGGTTGTACTGACCAACATTATCGGACAAACACTGGCGGCATTGGGCTCTAGTCCACTTTTCTTATACATTTAGGGCGTTTCCTCTTTTGTTCTTTGCCATTTTGAAACTTTGTGTGTGGATTTCTTTTTCACCATTATCTGCGTTCTTGCTTTGTTATACTCGGAGGCTCTTTAGATTGCATTCTTGTATTGTTTTTCTTTCTCATTTTCATTCAGGTCTCTGCATTACTTTCTCTCTTCAAATTTGTTATTATGCTCATATATAGCAGCTCATTAGATTCATGCCTATTTCCCTCTACTGTTCTTTAATGGTATTTGGCTCTGGAGATCCCTTGGGTCCGCGCTGTCAACCAGTGAATGTCAACAGATCTTTTGCGCACCACCACATCATCTGGAGATTCACTAAATCACAAATCTCCCTATCTTTTCCTCTTTCTCGTTTTTGTTCTTCTCCACTCCTTGTAAAAATTCTGTTTCTTCTTGTTCACCTATTTAGTCTCAACTCATTTCTCACTTCCTTCCCTTTCGTGACGGTATACTCCAACATCGCGTCATCGCACACTTTATCTCATCGCTCTCTTATATCCAACATCCACAACAGCGATACAGCAGGGGCTTGGGGTGATTAGAGGCCTAAGCGAGCCATCATGTCCTCTCCGCTTCGTCCCCAGTTCTTTTGTGCCCGTCCAAATGGCACTATCACCCCCCTCATTGCTGTTGATGAGCTTCCTTCCCATATATCGATTCGTGGAGTCCCTCGTACACTCTCCGCCAACGAGACCCAGGGCATGACCAGCTTAGGCACTGTGAGTCCAAGAGCGCAAACCTACGTCATCGATGGCCTGGTGCCAGCGTCGACCCGCGCGTCTTCTGGCCCTCGTTCCCGTGACTTGGACCTGCAGGCCTCCCTCATGAGACTCGTCTCTGATGAGAATGTTCCGGCAAACCAGCGCCTCGCCGTGAATGCCCTCCTTCAGCAGGGTATTTCCCAGAACTGGTTCATGTCCAACGCTCCGACCAGTGGTTGGTTGGTTCCTAGCAGCAGCGGTGGCACAGGTAGCGGAAGTTCGAGGCAGGTAAGTGCTACCCAACATGTAACCCGAAGAGGACCTGCACCAGTAAAGATAGAGCACCAACTAATGTCCTATTAGAGTGCTCATTACAACTCGAAGAAAGAGTTTTGTTCGTACTGGATCCGTCATGGTGAATGCGATTATCAGCAGCAAGGTAAAGGGCACATGGAAAGGGACGCAGTTTTACAAAAACATAAATCAGCTAATACATTTCAGGTTGTCTCTATAAGCACGAGATGCCAAATGACCTCCCCACCTTGGAAAAACTTGGCCTTCGGGATATTCCTCGTTGGTACCGCGAAAAATACGGCATTCCCAGCCTCCTGCCCAATGGACATGGCCACCCACGTTCTCACGCCAGTCATGGTCAACACTGGAAGGATGATCCTGTGGAGCGTGGCGCTATGAAGTCGATTCAGTACCCTTCACGTTTGGAGATCAACGGCGCGATCGATTCCTCGGATATCGAAAAGGCTTCTAAGCAGAAGGCTGCTCATTATATTTCTACTCAGCAACATGCTACGGGGGCTTCTGGACCATCTCGCCACGCCTGTCCTGCCGCGAGCTCACCAAAGGCCTCGACCAACCCTAAGCATGCGCACAAGCATATCCCAGTCCCGGTTAATTCAGTGTCTAGAAGGATAGACCTCCTTTCTTTTGATCCCCTTCCAGAATATCCGGCCCTGAATCATATGGGGGGAGGTATGAGTGGCCTGCCTTACCCAAGTCCTACCGATCAAGCCGCCATTGAGAACGCTGATAGGGCTCAGCACGAGGAATTTGTCCGTAACCTTCACTCGCTTATGCCAGCTCCCATAGGTACAAGTGCCGACTACCTATCAGCTTCCTTTGAAGGCACCCCGACCCAACCTCGCTCCAAAAAAAGCCAAAAGTCACGCCGTCTCTATCAACCCCGGTCCCAAATGATGATGCCCGATATGAGCATGGAAAGGGGCGAGGCTGATTCCTTCGTTACCTATCATAGTCATGCGACTGCCTCTCCCGGTGCGGTATCGGCCATCTCTAAGGATACGCCCACCACTCTGTTGACGAGCCCTATCCCTGACCCTACTCATATGGGCGCCGCGTCCTCAGAGCCTCCGACTCGGGGTGCCTCTCCATCGACCCATTCTGGAGCCTCGTTCTCCTCTGGATCCAGCCCTCGAGCTCATCGCAGTCAGTTCAAGGGGAAAGATTCCGGAACGATGCAGGCACCCATCGGCACCAAGCAAGTCCACCGCAACAGATCCACCGGATCCCCAATCAAGTATGAATTCTAAGCCGATGTATTGGGGCATTTGCAGTAAATACCACAGCGAAAAGATCTACCTTGTCCTCCATCCTCCATGTACGATCATCAACTGAAACTCGTGCTGGAGCTTCCTTTGTCCCCTTTTCCCTCTATTTTATGACTTCGACCATGTGGATACGAAGTATTTGGGAAGCTTGGCCATATGATAAATCAACTAACATCTAGTTCAACTAAATATACCTTTCTGCCGGACAGGATGTCATTTATGAACGGGTGGATAGTTTGCAGTACCGAACCTTGCTAGGATACCTTCATTTACACCGAATTCGACCATTTCTTCTTTTCGTATGTCTTCTTTCGCGTTTGTTGGATGGATTCGTCGTTGTATATCCTCGAGGGGTATAGCACGACATGACGATTAGGATACAACAATTGCGCAATGTGAACCTTTTGCAATCCTTCGAGATATCCATTTCTGTGAAGTAGCTGGGGATAGTTTCTTTTGTTTTCTTGTGCTTTCCTTTCCTATTATAATAGGCTCGTGTTTCGGTGTATTATAGGGGGGTTGGGACTATAACATGCGCACATTGATCCAGAAAACAAACAAAAGGGAAAAAAATAGGACCCTAGGGATATGTACAGGAATGGAAATGGATTTATATGAATGTTCCTCTACATTTACATAGGAAGGCTTGCCCAGTGATAGTGTCAAGACCATCTGAGACTAAGACTGAAAGGGGTAATAAGGTGTATGTATGAAGATAAATGAGTATAATACATTGTATAAGTAAGCCTAATATGACATTGCGATTGCGCCGCTCCTGATATTTTAAGGTTGAAAAAGCACCCAGACCAACAGACAGATAAATTGTACACCTCGCATTCGTACGTTGCTCATATTCAGCGTAGTCTCTTCTTCTGTGCTTTACCAGTAACCCGAACAGCAACCTTCTCTCGCTCTTCAGTTGCCCTGGCCTTCAAGGCAGGGTTCAATGCTGGCAAGACCAGAGCCGCCTCGGCGATTACCGTCTTACCATCCACGATGCCCGCGCCTTCCTTCTCCAGGCGTTGTCTCTCAGCGCGGCGAGCTTCGATCTGTTTCTTGCGCTCCGGGGTCAACTTCCAGGAGTCTGGGAATTGGAGCTTGGTCCTCGGCTTGTGGTGGCGGAGGTCAAGGGGAACGTCGGCAAATGCATCTCCTTCCTTCGCCTCCTTAATCAATGAGTTTACAATATCGACTAGATAACGCTTGTTCTGAGCACGAGTGGTAAACTTCTCGCAGGACATCCGGACAATGTCGGTGTCGGGGTTGTACCGCGGCCCAGCGAGTTTCAGGAACGTCTGGCGCTGTGCCTCGGAGAGATGCTTGGGGGTTAAATCCTGGGTGCTCAGCTCGACGACGACCTTGTTCTCGGCGGGGTGCGACTCGCCCATGTATGTGGTGTAGCGGAAGCGGAGAATGTGAGATTGGGGAGGGAGGATGAACGGCTTGGCAAGATCTACCGAGGGATTAGCAGAGATGGGGAACAGACTCGGACAAGGCACTTACTGCTCAGCAATGGCATATCCCACGCAGCAATTCTAGCGTATTCTCTGATCTCGCGGTGTACTTCGAGTTCCGCGTGAGCCATCGACGTGATATCGTCGTCGTTGAACTCTTCGTCAGCGTCCTCAACGAGAGCGAATTCATCGTCTTCCTCATCACCCCAGAGTCCAAGTCGCTTCTCCCGCATGTCGTCGAACCGCATGGGGTATTCCTTATCTATCTGGTTCACGCTCTTCTCGAGCTCCGCAAACGCGGCCGCTCGCTTCTGCGGGTCATTGAACTCCTCCACCATCCGGCGGTTCTCGGCGTCGAACTGCTCCCGTTCTTCGGGCGCCAGCATGTCATACATTGATCGCTCCTCCTTGGACAGTAGATCGGGGGAGTACTCCGCCATAGCAGGCAGATCCTCCGGACGGGGTTCTCGGGGAGCTGGCGGCACTGGCGGGTCTTCTGACACGAAACTGGGCGTGGTGGCGGAGAATGAGCGGTACGGGATCGCAATTGGGCCTCTCCGGGCCAGGGACAAGGCCGACCGGCCCAGGTATCTTGCTGCTGAGGCCATTGCGAAGGGGGCGTTGGGCTGGGGTGCTCTTGAACAGGACTCGGCGATGTTTTTCTTCGGATGGAAGTTCGCACGGAGACACTAAGCCCAATCGGGTGGGATGGCCATCCACCGCCTTACAAGCATCATCAATACAGTTGCACAGATGCGATACTCGGCCCAGCGTTGAACTGGCCCAATCGAGAAAGATTAATATGCTTCTCCGGCCCAGGCAGGGTGTTGTGCAATTGTTCTTGCCAGAGATAGGTTCTTGAAACCTAAAGGCACCAGTCATGGCATCACAAGACCAGGCCCGCCCTATGAAGCTATGCTTCGTCACGGTGGGAGCCACGGCTTCGTTTCATTTACTTCTGCAGGCCATAGTGGACGATAGATTTCTGGCTGCCTTGCATGAAGCCAATTATACGCATCTCCTAGTCCAATACGGGAAGGACAGCCAAGCTCTCTTTGAAGAGCTTCTCAGCAAATATCCCCCTGGGAGCCCAAGTCGGCACGGTATTGAGATAGACGGGTTCGATTTCAATCATGCAGGTCTAGACGGGGAGATGAGGCTTGCTCAACCGAGACTTGATGAAGGTCGAAGTGGGGGGTTGATTATCAGTCATGCAGGTAATTATTGCGGTCTCGTCCACAGATAAGATTGTGAGAAACTGATCTCAATCTAAGGATCGGGCAGTATCCTGGGCGCACTACGTTTAGGAGTGCCACTTGTGGTTGTTCCAAATACAACCTTGAAGGACAACCACCAGGTGGAACTGGCCCGTGAGTTGCAGAAGCAAGGTTATGTCATTGCTAGCGGACATCAGTATGGTACCCTGTGAATTCCCCCGTTGATTGCGCTAATCTCTTTTTCCAGGGAGGTGTCTGCTGCTGTAGGGCGCGCAGAGACACTACGGGCTCGCATGCTGGCGTGGCCGCCTGTCAATGGAGCAAATCAGAAACGTCATCGCACGCTGGATCAAGTGATGTCGGATGAATTGGGCTTCTTGGATTAAATTTCCCTCGCCGGGGTACCTCTGCGTGAGGGCATTGTGTCCGAACCTACTCCTACTGGTGTTGTTGAAGCTTGTATAGTCGTACCTATGGGCCCTCAAACGAAGTATACGATCGGCTCGAGCAGACTTAAAAATTCGGGCTTTTCGTTTGTGTTGCCCCGAACTTGCAGGCCAGTTAGCTGCAGGCATGTTGCTCTACAAGTCTTATATGCTACGCAGATGTCAGCTGTATATTTTCCACAAGCATAGAATCAATCGAAAAGATCACCTTAGTATCGAGAACAAGAAATTGAACGAATTATCCATAGATTTTTGTGGTAGCGATTGACCGATATAGTTGTAGTCCGATGTGGCCCAAGCTCCTCTGGTTGTTGACGGCACGGGAAACATCAGATGTACGCGAAAGTTGCGGCCAGGAACACCTTCCCTTTGTGCACACCTTTCTCCCTCAATTTCTCCCGAGTTTCTCGACACCAAAGGCTCCGATTAATTACAGGTTGTCGGAAACAGCCCCTCCACTCTAGGACCTACGTGGCACAACCTCCCCGGCCGTGGGGCCCTCTCACAACAATCGCGCTTTACCCAAACATCGTCCCTTTAACCACCCGCAACTTACCCCCCGAGCCACACCCTTCGCTCTCGCAATGGCCGAGGCCACCCTCCATAACGCCCCCATTGTCATCGACAATGGCAGCGGCACAATTCGCGCCGGTTTCGCAGGAGAGGAAGTCCCCTCATGTTTCTTCCCGTCTTTCGTCGGTCGGCCAAAACACCCACGGGTGATGGCCGGCGGTCTAGAAGGAGATGTCTTCATCGGATCGAGAGCACAGGAGCTGCGCGGCCTGTTGAAGATTCGGTACCCGCTGGAACACGGCATTGTCACGGACTGGGACGATATGGAGAAAATCTGGCATTACGTCTACGAGAACGAGTTGAAAACGCTGCCTGAAGAGCACCCGGTCCTCCTGACTGAGCCACCGCTCAATCCTCGCAAGAACCGCGACACGGCGGCCCAGATCATGTTCGAGACGTTCAATGTCCCGGCTCTTTATACGTCTATTCAGGCTGTGCTGTCGCTGTACGCGTCCGGCCGCACGACCGGTGTGGTCTTGGATTCAGGGGATGGTGTCTCCCATGCGGTGCCGGTGTATGAGGGTTTTGCGATCCCGAACAGTATACGGCGGATCGATGTCGCGGGGCGAGATGTTACGGAGCAGCTGCAGTTGTTGCTCCGGAAGAATGGACATGTGCTGTATACGAGTGCTGAGAAGGAGGTGGTCCGGAAGATCAAGGAGGAGGTGTGCTATGTGTCGCTGGACCCGAAGCGTGAAGAGAAGGAGTGGATGAACAGTTATCATAAATCGGAGACTAAGGCCGTGGATTACAGGCTGCCTGATGGGCATAAGATCAAGGTTTGTCGCTACGTCTACGATTGCTTCGGGTGGTTTTAACGTCCGTGTTAGATTGGTCAAGAACGCTACCGTGCTCCTGAGATCCTTTTCGACCCCGAACTCATCGGCCTGGAGTACCCTGGTGTTCATCAGATCGTCCAGGATGCGATTACCCGCACAGACCTGGACCTGCGCAAAGATCTATACCTCAACATTGTCCTGTCGGGAGGCTCGACACTATGCAAGAACTTCCCGGACCGGCTGATGCGCGAGATCAAGCGATTGGCTGTGGAAGACATGAAGATCCGTATTTCTGCGCCGGCCGAGCGGAAATACACGACCTGGATCGGTGGTGGAATCCTGGCTGGTTTGAGCACGTTCCGCAAGGTATGACCGCCGTCACTTCCAGTCATATAAGTTCCAATCACCCTTCTCCCATACTAACACAAGAATCTCTAGATGTGGGTCAGCGCCGATGAATGGCACGAAGATCCGGAGATCATCCACCGGAAATTCGCCTAATGCTGCCTTGAACCGCTTGAAGGCAAGACAGCATAAGTGACGCTAGTCATCCACCGTTCGCGAACAGCGCACAGTGACAGACCAAAGCCAAACATACATTAAGTGATATTATTGAGAAAGTCACGAACCCTCGATAGACCCGTCAGCTGCTGTTGTCCGCAGATGAGCAGCAGCTTTTGATACCCCTCTTTTTTCTCACCTTAGCACGCCTACGATATGATACACTCATAGCAGATATGCTGCCATATCCTCGTATCATCTCTACTTCCTCCCCCATCAACACTCACACACCACAGGTCCTAGCGGACATGCTCGATCATCCATCACGTTTCTCACCGGCTATCATGACCACGGATGAATCGACTCCTGTGTTTCTCTTCTCTTGCGCCTTCTCTAATTGTTATGCCTGACCCCTTTCATGCAGGGGGTTTGAACTGAAATAAGCTGTGTAAATATTGGAATAGATAAATGAAGCTTTATGAATTGCACTCTTGCTCGCATTAGTACATAATCTATTGATACGTCTAGGTTTGGTGACTCACTGATAGTTCGTCTAAGAGGAACTAATACAGAACTTCAACTCTCCACAGAAGAGCATATCCACCTTCGCAATAGACTACTAGTATCAACCATAGACGATAATCACCCAGTTAACGAAGCAACAGAACAAATGAAAACCCCACCCTACTTCACCCCTACCCCTGAACACACCACATAGCACTAGACTCCAATTGCCCGGACCGCATTCTACACCGGATGCGCAATAAGACAGAATTGAGTTGGTGGTTAAGATTAGCTATATGCAGACTCGAGTATAGAATCTTTAGTATAGGAACCTGTCATGAGAACACAGCTATATACAATTATTCTATGCTACATACATTATAAGTGTTCTTAGAGTAGAAACATCCAAGGATATACCAAGACAGAGGAGTGCATAGTGCATAGTGACTATACATAGTCCTACTACCTGGTTCTAGCCCCGCAGTAAGGGGGTGGATCGTATATCGTCATAGTGCCTCGACTGCTCAGGGGTACACATACCAGGGATACTAGTCTAAAACATACAGTCTACAAGATATAGCTCTACATCGAGAAAAGCAAGGAGATATAATGCGCGTTCGAACTTTCTTGTTCCCGTTCATTGATTCAGGGACTGAAGTAGTAGTTTCCTGTTTGGAAATATAGTATATATAAGGTAAAAGGACGTGAAAGCCCAGTTGCCGATTCCAGAACCGGGCGTACATATAGAGATATGAAGACATGAAGAGTGAAGATGTGTTGAAACAATGTTGATTGACCCTGAACAGGCAGTCAAGAAAGTAAAGTGCCGGTTGGCATTGGTGGGGGTATCAATATCGACATGGGAGTCGAGAAATGGCGCAAGCGAACAGCAAGTTAAAACAGATAATCGGTTCTTTTCTCCTAGAGAAAAGCGAATTGACGAGATTAAAAGGGGATGTTGAAGTAGGGTTTGTCGAGAATCGCAAATGAAGTTGGAAAGAGGAGATCGACGAGAGACGAAAAACAGAAAACTTTTTTGGGGGGGTCGTAAGTCGTGATGTTCATGTTCGAAATGCGAAATGCGAGAACGCTCGAACCAAAGGACGGCAAGCCGTATGCGGATGTATATTGCAAAACGCCTCTATGCCATTCCCCTCAACTTGCCCCAACCCTTCTCTAAGCCGCGCAGGGCCTTCTCCCGGGTGGAGGTGGTCGACCCCGTGCTACTCGACGTGGTATTGCTGCTGATGGAGAACTTGCGACTCAGGGTGCTTCCGTTGTCGCTGTAGACCATGTTTCCGGCACCACCGCGGCCGACGTGGTAGACTGGAGCGGCGCGACGGAGGTCCCGTTCGAGTTCCTCGTCGAAGCTGAAGATGGCGCGCTCGCTGCTGCTGTGGACGTTTCCTGCGCCACCACGGCCTGACTTGTAGACGGCGGGAACATGGGAGTCCAGACGTGTCAAGGATGCTGGACCGGTAGCCGTCTGCGAAGGGGTGGTCTTGGTGTTTTTCAGGCTGATAATGTTGCCTGCGCCGCCGCGAGCTGTATGGAGAGCTGGACGCGAGACGGAAGGATGGGGCTCAATGACCCGGTAATTCACTGAGGCTGGCATGATTGCTGTATGACTCTGTGTGGTGTATCTAAACAACGATTTAGGCTCGATGACTCAATGACGGCAGATCTCCAAGCGGATCGCTGGATATAGTTGTGTGGTAAACGATGGACCGGAATGCAACGGTACAAAGTACAATTGAACAACGTCGAGATGAATTCACGCGAAGAAGAGAAAGAAGTGGGATGTGAATTGAGAAAAATATGTTTTCAGTTTTCTTTTTCCTTTTTTTTCTCTCTTCTCTTTAGCTGATGGGGACTACTATAGACTGGTACCAGACATTGCGGCGGGGAAGGTTTTTATATAGTCAGGAAGTATGACCCCCAGTGTTACCAGGGAAAGAGGCCAAGAAAAGCTCGCAATTCCCCTGTTGTGCCGTGACGAACGCCTATGATTGCACCATTGGCTGCGCTGACTCCTTCCAGGCACAGACGCTTTGGATCCAAGGGTCACACGCAGTCGCTGTGCGGTGGGTTGGAATTGTGGAGCCCATTTGTTGTACTCCATACTGACCGAAGTTGTGAGTTTGGGAATCATGGGATGCGCAATTAAAAAAAAAAAAAAAAAAAAAACAAAAAATAAAAAAAAAAAAAAAAAAAAAAAAAAAAAAAAAAAAAAAAAAAAAAAAAAAAAAAAAAAAAAAAAAAAAAAAAAAAAAAAAAAATACAAAAATAAATTAAGAAAATTCTTCTCTGTCTCCATCTTAGGTAAGCGGGCCACCGTCCAACCACAACGCGGCACGAGTTATGCGCGCGGTACAGCACCATGATTTTGACAGCTGGGATAAAGCAGCGGTTGATTCAGGCGGCTGTCTGATCCAGTCACGTTGTGCATTGGGGGCATTCCGAGCGGTCGATTGGAGGCATCGGGTTCCACTACTCGCTTGATCCACATTGCCGCTTTAATGAATTTTCAGATCATCTGACATGGGTCCCAAGCCGTGGCGAAACGTAATAGAAACTGACTTGGCGGCCAATAAGGGGCGGTGGCGGCTCACATGGGAGTTTTCTGGGGGTAATGAAAATCGCTGACTCGACGGTCACGAGTCGTCACCTTTTGTTGGCCATCAATTGCGAAAGTTGATCCTTACAGTGAGTCGTCTGTGAGACTGCTCTTGTCCTCTTGGTTCAGCCTTGAATTTTGCGGTCAGGACGGCATTTTGCGTCACTTGCGGATTCTAGATGAGTTCGATGCTCCCAGACATTGCCGAAGACTATAAGGAACTACAGGTTATAGTTGTACGCCGTTCAACAGGGAAGTGGATTTCCCCCCTCCTGAGGCAGGGGAGGAAACTATACAATCCTAAATTATTATTATTATGTTTCCAATTATTATTTTTTGGGACGCTCATCCCTCCTTCTAGACAGGGAAAGAACTTCCCCGCAAAAGGGAACCGGCAGCATGATTGCATCATAGCAAAATTTTAATCAGATTCATATTATGAATTCCGTACTGCCTTGCCCATCCAAACTCTCGGCTCCTTATACATTCCAGGCAAAAACAGATGCTTCTAGATTACACGGAGAGAATGGAACCATCCCTGTCATTCTCTCGTCAGTGCCTGTCTCCGGAAGGGCGGCAATATCCGAACAGAAATGCCGCAAACTTCAAAGTGTTGGTCAGGGGGACGAACGGTCAGTGATCTCCAATTAGGGCTCACGGGCTAGTATTGTTACTATTGTGAGGATGGCATGGTCGCCATGCTCGCTGGCCTTCTTGGCATGGGGCTGATCTCAGGAAACAACCGATCTGCTTCACATAAATCACTCACTCACGGTCCTCATTTGCGTAAATACATGTACACAGGAGAGAATCGGTCATCAAGGAGATTCCAGACCGGAGACTCTCCCGCATTCTCACATCATCGAAACCACCCCGCACCGACGACAATGAATATCATCATGTAACGAGATGTGACGGGGAATTGGGGGATCCACGGATATACCGGGCTAAACCGAAAACAGGCAGCTTCCCCAGACTGTTGAGGGCTGGACTTTGAGACCTTTGTCAGAGAAAAATGACGCCGACCCAGAAATGCCTCATCCACTGACACGCCCTTGAAAATTTTTTCCATTTCTCCATCCACCAGCCCCACGGTCGCAGAAGCTGACTGGATGAATCCACCGACCCGGTCCAACCGGTGAGTCTACCCGGACTCTTTTGGGAAGCTGATCCACCGAGGGGGAAAAAAAACTGATCAGGGAAAAATTGGTGAACTGCCGGCCAAAAAGAAATCTACGATCCTTCCCCGGATTTTGGCCCCAGGCAACCACGCTTGCAGGTCACAAGTTGTCACGCATCACTTCTTGCATCTTCAGCCGTATCAACCACGGGTCCTCAACGCCCTGTCTCTTGTCACGTACACTGTTGGGATAAGTCAGAGTACCAGGTGCTCAACTCTCAAATCCGGCCTTGATGACGGACTTGGTTTCGCTCAATCACCGCCTGACGCCCGGAGTCACTTACCTCGCCTCTCGGTTTGCCTCGGATGTTTTGCACCGAGTGGCCGTGAAACCCTAGATCATCTGGAACGTCCGGGTACTTCCCAGCTCGGATCTCGAAGATCTGATGCTACACAACACGCCGAGTAGGATTCTTCGCAATTCTGGAGAGTTCTGATGCCTACCGATTTGCCTCTGGAAGGACACCGTTACTTCCATGAGGGCCTGTCACAGATACGTCATCCATCATTTTACTACTGGTGAAATGGTGAACTATTACTCCGTAGCTCATGAAGCACATAGAGCACCGAATATACAAGTCATGTTGTAGGAAGGAAACCTCTAATCCTTGGCATATCAACCCTGGTGTCTATATTCGAACAAGGCGCTACATTATCGGGCATCTATTTTTTCTATATAGTTGAATCTATACCAGAGTACTTTCATTTAGTAAAATATTGCTAACAAAGTCAGCCTGCTGAAATATGACAACAGCAGCAAGTGTGAGACACATGGTCATAGACAAGACACGGTAACATCAGAATACGCGAATAAGAATCACTCCTCCGGCGTATGTCTCTCAATTTGAACTCGTTGACAAATGCCAACTGCACGATGCCAATTATGTCAATACAATTGCGTTCGTTGACGTGATCAACTTGGTGCTTTGATAATAGAAACGAGGGGTATCCCCTCATTCTCATCGCCTCTTCGGTTATGTGGTGTTGTTGGTTAGATTACCCGACTCCGCCGGCGACCGATCTGAATCTCTAGTGTATATGCAATGTAAACACAGGGGTTCTCTGCTTGGGCAGGGATGAAATGGCTTGTCTATGTACCCATGTCGTCAAATGACGCAATATCACATCTGTATCGATCCCAGCAGAGGGGCAGCATCGAAGAGAAGACGACAGAGCAGAAAAGTCACCCATTCAATAAAATATAATGAACGGATTGTTGGAGGTGTAAGTAAGCAAAGCCCATGATCTCCACAGCCCTAACCGCCCGTTATTCCCCTAACCTTCATTGCAGATGCAAATCTCTGCCCGGCCACCCAACCAGGGAAATGGCACGGAAAGCCACGTAGAGCATAACTGATCTCGCAGAAATACCTGAGCTGGCAAATATACTTGCTCGTCACAGTAGTAAGGCTAACAAAAGCTAGTACCCGCCAATTTCAGGGCAACTCCTGTCCGGAGACTACCCAAGGTCAACTTGACGAGCTCCAGAGCTACTACTGTCAAGATGACTGCGTAGATTATGATCGCTCTATCACATCAGTCTGCGAGCCACAGCGCAAGACTGGTAATGCTTGCATATGTCAGCCGATGAATCCTCCGTGATAGTAGTAATGATGTTGGTTCGGTCGAAGAAAGTGCTCATATAAATCAGTTTTCGAGGATGGAAGCTATTTTCTTGGGGTGGATTGGGAAGACGAAGTATATATGTCGAGCTTCCTGCAGAGTGCGATCACGACTGTGGTCTAGGTTAACACCATTGTTTTTTTATTTCCACTTTTGACATCATATATCGACCAGAACTATACTTTCTTTGCATGGTTGGCATCCAATTGATGACATTGTTTCTGTGGCCTCAAGTGAAATTGTAGAATGCCAGCGTCTAACCAAACTTGTGAGATAAGTTGGGGTTTCGATATGCCCAACTAAATAACTCGAGAATAATGGGCAATGATTAGTTTGCAAAGTTCGCAGTATTCTTCTCTCATCGTGCTTCTATGATAGTCAATCTTCGTGGATCCTAGTAGTATTAACTGAGATGATCTTTGGTTTTCTCCTGTATATCCGTTTTCACGTGGGTAGAGGGCTTTTATACAAAATTATATGTAGCTATTCACCGGAGCAACAAATTGGTTTTGAATATCATAACTGTTGGAGTCAACGAATCGCAACTGATCTATAAAACAGCACTGGATCTGGCAGGGAAAATTCAGCCCCCAAACGTGATGCAACCACGGAGATAAAGCGAATATCAGCCCGAACTTCGGGATATTCCAACGAAATCCCCGGGGTCCGGAGAATCAACAGTCTATACATCCAGCGTCATTCTTTCATGAACATGCTCCTATTTTCGTTGTCGTGTTACACTGCGATATATCCGGCTTGAAATGACTGCCCGTAACAGGACAACCTCAACATCGCTGCCACGTAAACGCCGGCGTCCTGCCAAATCCTGCGAGCAGTGCCGAGAGCGTAAGGTCCGCTGCGATCTCCAACTGCCGTGTAGGGCTTGCCGACATGCTCGGGATCCCTTGACTTGCACGTATAGGGAATCCTCGCGGCCGAGGCCATCTCAGACCGATGCTCGGACGGCCCCCAAAAGCCCGGACATGCCTGCGTCAACTCCCACTGAACGGAGTCAACCTCAACAACAATTTCACGGCCTGCGGAGTATACCTTCCACTCAACTAGATCAGCACGATGTAGCCAGCACAGGGACAGGAACGAGTGGGAGCTCCCTACAGGATTTGGAGAACCGCCTGCGTAAAACCGAACAGCAATTGTCCGAACTATCTCGGACTCGACAACCCGGTGCCGTGAGTGGAGACTTGGCTATTCCTGCTATCATGCCTCGCCTGCGAAACACCGCAGAAAAGACGAAGCTGTTTGGACCGAGCCACTGGATGTACACTGCCGAGAAGGTTAGTAACTAGGAAAGCCCCCAGGAAACTCCGGTGGCTGATCTTTTGTAGATTGCCGGCGGTCAAATCGACTCAAAAGACATGGATTTCAGTATGGTCGACATGAAAGCAGATATAGCAGAGATGGCTAAGGAATGTCGAAATTTACGAAAGGCGGCGAAAAGCCAGCGAACACTGCAACTGAACGATCCTGTTCCTGACCTCTTCAGTACCTTTCCCGACAGGCAAATTTGTGATGAGCTGGCAAGAGCGTATATACGGACCTTCGAACAAATATATCGTGTTGTTCATATCCCTTCTTTCTGGAAAGAGTATTATCAGTTCTGGGAAGCACCACATGCATCATCAACATCATTCTTGATCAAACTAGGTCTTATCTTCTCTATTGGCACGACTTTCTACCCTATTCTGGAAGAGTCGGAGCGACTGCGTCACTTGGCGCAAACGTGGGTATATGCAGCTCAATGGTGGCTAGTAGGCCCTTCTGAGAAATTAACCAGAAATCTGGACGGTATTCAAGTTTTCTGCCTTCTTCTCGTGTCGCGAAAAACAAACACTATCGGGCCATCGCCCTGGCTATCTACTGGTTCTTTATTAAGAATGGCTATGACCATGGGATTACACCGAGACCCTCGAGTCTTTCCAGGCTTAGCGCCGTTCCAAGCAGAGATACGGAGTAGGCTTTGGACGACTATCCTGGAACTAGTGGTTCATGAATCTATCGACTCATCGTCAATGCCGCTGATGATTTCACCTCAGGACTTTGATAGCCATATACCGAATAACATCAATGATGCGGACCTGTGGCCAGATACCAAGGAATTTCCTACCGTAAAGCCACTGCAACAGTTTACAGAGTCCTCGATACAGTTACTGATGCGACAATCTCTGCCAATCCGTATGGAGGCGGCCAAACTGATCAACAGTTCTGATTCGGAGCAGTCATATAGTGCCGTGCTTCAGCTTGCTACAGATTTACAAAAAGCCTGCTGTGACCTCGCAACCTACTTTCAGCTGCACTGGCCACAATACTCAGGCGAAACCGATCTGCATAGGAAGTTCCTCGACATGCAAATTCGTCGCTATATCCTACTGCTTCACCGGCCCTACATGCTACAGGCCCAGCAAGATCCACGGTTCTACCTCTCTCGGAAGATCTGTGGAGAGTCGGCTATGATCATAGCATCATACGCTGAAAGCATTCAGCTTCCTTCCCAACACCTTGATGACCTGTCACGTCTCATGGTGATGAGCACTGGGCCATTCTGTGGTTCTCTCCACCTTGACATTATTACCGTTCTAGGTCTGGAGGTAATCAGTCAGCTCAAAGAAACAACTACAGTATCATCAGAAACCGGTCATCTCATTGTAGACCCTTTGGGTGAGATGTCCAAAGCCCAACGAGAGCCTATGATCCGCATCCTGGAGCATATCAACGACCAGATGCTTCAGATTGTTG